TCAGATTTTACTTATTTAAATATACAAACAAAATTAGTGACCTCTATATTGGTACACATACTTCTGGAGGGCCTAAAACACCAGTACAAAGTTTCAATTACAAGTAACAACGTGTCACCAATAACCAAAGCTAAACCATAACTCAAATTTTCATTTGGTCGCATGTCTCCACGCTCACCTGGGTAATGCACCCCAGATGTTATAGCTTTGTTGTGTTATCCAACCACCCACACATATCGGTACTCCCAAAGTCTGTGAACCAATGGTGGACACCGGAACGTGGTATGTGTACCCGGTTAGTATTAGGACATGATTTTATACCAACTTTCCTTATTTTAGTTTGGGGACTAGCCAAGTGGCTCCCGTAGTATTTGTACCTGAAATTATGGCCTAACCCTAACCTGGTACACATACTACGTTATGGTGTCCGCCATCTTGGCTCGCACACTTTAGGAGTGACTACCCGCATAGCCTCCTACGCAAACTATCAGCAGAGTCGCTAGTCACCATATGCCACCCATAAGCGTCAGGAATACGCTTGTCATTGCACCACTGATTACCTTGCGTGGGTTCGAATCCTGTGAGGAATGCTAAACTCCTCGCTCTCATATAAAGTGGTTCGTGTAACCCAGGGATGGGCAAGGTTTTAGGACCAGAGGCCACAAAATTCCCCCCCCCCCCTAGACTGTCGGGCCATGTAAGTGTGACGTAAAAAGTTACACTTATAAACAGAATTTTATCCACAGTGTTACAAAAGTGGAAAACAGTAAGCCTCGTTCCGAAACTAAATTTAACCGCAATCTCAACAAATTCTTCGAGTTATTTTTAGCTAAAACATTTGTTTTCACTTATGTTGTTGAAGCATCAGGCGAGCCTGATTGAATTACTAAACGGGCCAGATTTGGGTCGTAGTTTGCCCATGTAAGGACTGTTACTACTAGCTTACACCATGAAATCAAAACAAATCAAATAATTGGCGTACCAATCCCATACCAGACATGTCCTGGTAAACAGACAAGAGACTTTCATATCCTTGGGATAAGTACCGGTATGTGAAATTTCTATCTTTAATCCCATTTCAAGCAGAAAGAATCATTTCGCACCACAACCATGTATTACTACATCATCACCCATAATAAGCAAAATATAAAGGCAAAAATATCACAGGCGAAATATTATAAACAGAAGTGCAACAGATTGTTTGCTTCAAGGAAGCAACAAGCAAAATAAACTTGCTTAATTAGAATATCTTGCGAGTCTTAAGCTGGAAATAAGATTGCTGGCCGGATCTTATTAACCAAATGAATGGTTCTCTTATAGGGGGGGTTGCTAAATACCATTGGCATTGTGATAAATGAACTGAACATGTTGAATAAAAGTCAAAATACCTTGAAAAAAAAAAAAATCATGGTTGTAAAAAAATATTATTTCAGTCGTATGTGGGACAGCTCATATCTCAAGATTATTCTTAAATTAGTTTTCAGAAAAAACTTGGATCTTGAATAAACTCTAACTGGGCATGATTAGAGTTTAACAGATACCACCTTTGGCGGTACATCTCTACTATAGAATAAGGTTAGATAAAGCATTTTCCCCAGATGACCTATTTTCTGAGTTTGAGATAACCGGATTTATAGGACACAATTTCACCGAAACAGTGGTTCCCCCCCCCCCCAATTATGGCCTTTGTTAAATCAAATCAGTTATACCCGGGTACATTAAAATCTCGTTTGTTTATAGAGAAAGAGTAATTTGGATGATAAAACAACCAGTATTTTCAATAGACACAAGAAATGGGCTAATAAACTTGAAAAAAAGGTTATTAAAATTTTGATGGCAAATATAATCATTTTGATAGGAAAGCTACTACTTTGGTGAAGAGCAGAAAAGCAGTGTTTTAGTTTGCTGATTAATTTGAGCCCTGAATTAATTCATTTTTTTCTCCAATGGGTAATGGGATTGAGAGTAATTTGAATGATAAGTCAAAGTATGTATCTTGCATATAAGCAGAGTTTAAAACTAAAAGTTGCCAAACTACGGGGGTTCCCTTATACGCAACGCACATACCTCTTTTCGCACTAAATGGATTGACAGTTGTAGTGAGGATGAATTTGAAGGATTTTTTGACACTACTAAACTATTGATGAAAGTAAAACAACAATAATGGCTATAATTTTCATTAAATCTCTTCTGCAACCATTTGCTGTGATATGTGCGTACAGCGTGTTAGGATTTGTAGGGTTGGCAAATTCACCGCTTTAGGGCCATTTTTAAGGGGTCAGCTTTTATGAGAGGATATATGTACTTATTTTGATAGCCACTTGAGAAAAACACACAAGATACATGTGAAAAATATGACAAAGTAACAAATGTTCACAAATTTGATAAAAACTTTTGTTAGTTTAATAAAGATTTCATCAATTCCAATGTTTGTGATCTACAAACTACAAACATTGTATGTTTCACAAGTAATGACCATAATTCCCAAAATCAACGTCACATATATTTGGCACAAAACTCTAAGTGCTTTGCATGCAGGATAAGAAGTCGTAAATTAATTGACTGAAAACATGATACTTTCAGATAAAACGTTACAAAGCTCAGTATCAAAATCATACATTCAACAAAATTTAAGTTTAAATTATCTTTTCAAATACCCAAAAATCAGTTGTTATGAATGAAAAATCAGATGGGGCTATAATATGCCAAAATAGAATGTAAACCTGTCTGGAGCTTTGTTCAGAGCAGGGCTCTGAATACATCCGATGAACATAAGCCAGTTTTTTAGATTAGTTTGATATGAGACAAGTGTACCCAACATTGAAATACAAAAATGAGCACTCCAAAAGTGCATGTACCATTAGTACCAATATGGAGGTAACTAATTTGGTTCGCCTATTTTACATCAAGTTGTGTAAAGGGACTCAAAACTATGGGCATGTGGTATTTCAATTGGCTAACACGGGCAGTCCCTGAACTCGTAATAGATCTAAAATATGGGAAATCAAAATAAAATATGTCCTAATCTGGTACACATACTACGGGATTACCCAAAAATGATTGTTTATTGCGGATGTCATGGTGTAATGATTACTATGGAGAGCTATATGAAGTGTGTGGCAAGAGTATGTAATTTGAATCTATAGCAAAGATGGTCATGAGAGAGATTCAAAGTTGATTCAGAGCAAATGAAACTAACGAAACTTATCAATTCACTGTTCTGAATGCATTCCAAGAAATGTTTCAAAGTCAAAGAAATGAAATATACCAGTACTCTAAATTGGATTATGCTACTAACAAACACCATGACATTGATTAATATGGTGTGAAATGTTTAAACATATTCAACAGAACATACTTGAAAATTGGTACTCTCAAAGTATGTGAATCAAGATGGCGGACACTGGAACGTGGTGGTATGTGTACCAACTACCAAGTTAAGAATAGGCTATAACTTTAGGTACAAATACTACGGGAGTCACTTGGCTAGTCCTCGAACCCTTAATAGAACTAAAATAAACAAAATTGGAATAAAATTATGGCCCTTCCATAACCTGGTACACATACTACGTTCCAGTGTCTGCCATCTTGGATCACATACTTCGGGAGTACCAAAAATTTTATTCTGGAATGTGTTCAGAATAACAACTTATTCAGTTTTGAATATCCTTGATACTAATTAACCCAATTCATCAACAATGCGCTTATTTTGAATGACTTTAAGCCGGTATACACCCCTGTGCAATGAACTAGAAGCAGCACTTGATGTGTGAAAGAATGAACATTAAAAAATGAAAGGTAGCACTAGCTCATTACAAGCAGGCCTGTGAAATAGAAAAAAATAATAATGCAAAAAGCAATAGGATAATGGCAATCTATATAATGCTCAGCCTATGCTGCCTCAGTGAATTGGATAATGAAAAGCTTGACAAATGTTTGTAAAAAAGAAAGTCGTTAAAATTTTTGGATATGTTACAGATAAAGATGTCCATATTCAAACCAAATGGTTGTCAAGCAGTGACACCCTTGATATATGCTAAATTTCAGTCAATAAAATTTCTTTTTAAAATTCACAATCCTTACAGAAAAAACAGTTTTGACACAACTGGGACACCCTAAATATTTTTTTTAAATTGGCAAATCTTTACAGAAAAACAGTTTTGACGGTAATATAAAATAGATCTAAGGAGAATTAATTTCAAATTATTTTAAAACTAAACCGTATTCCTAATTGAAGATAGGTCAGCAAACTATACAAGAGAAATTCAATGTTACCTCTGTTAAACATGGCATAATTTATAATGTATATATTCCATATTCAGGATCTTTATTTCAAGACGTAATTCGAATTGTCATTATTCAATTTTAGTCACTCTTGGATAGGATTTTCATATCTACCCGGACGAGCTGAAAGCCGATAAGACAGTCTAATCATATGACAAATTACCGGCTCTTATCTGGTTACCAGTTGTTCTGATAAAGGTGTTTTGTTTGCTGAATTCAAAAGCAGTGCTCAACACAAACTCATAGTTTCAGAAAAACATCCAAGTCCAATATTGCACTTAAATTTTTCCCTTTATGTATATATAAATAAAGAAAATTATGGGCTGACTAGGTAGTAGTATTGTCTAACATTGAAAATAGGATCTAACGAGCAATCATTGAAATGTCCATAATTGAATGGCTCAAGTATTTTGAATACCTTATTACATTTTATTCTGTGATGTTATGTTTGACCAAAGTCAGACTCTGTCAAACAAGCAGTTCACAAGTGTCAGTGTCTTTTGTCAGAAGAAAATTTAAGCAATAAAATCAGCAAAAAACATGGGTAATCCCAAAGTATGTGAACCAAGATGGCAGTATGGTAGCATGTGTATCAGGTTAGGGTTAGGCCATAATTTTATTCCAATTTTCCTTATTAGGCTTCCCGCTGCTTGTCAGCAGGGAACCTATTGTATTCCTGTGTTTTATTATTATTATTATTTATTTATTATTATTATTTTTTCAAATTGGTCCTACAAACTTGAAATTCACCTCAAATGTGCAGAAGTTCTCAGCTAGCAATGAAATGCAAATTTTTTTTTACGCGGGAAGCCTGTTAAAGCTGCACGCAGCTCTAGTTTTAGTTAGATTACAAGTTAAGGGGCTATCCAAGCGACTCTCGTAGTATTTGTTCCTGAAATTATGGCCTAACCCTTACCTGGTACACATACTACGTTCCGGTGTTCGACATCTTGGTTCACATACTTAGGAAGTACCAAAAAATGTGTTATGATTTGAATATGAAATAAGCCTGATCGAGGATTTTCAACCCAGACTTAACTTTAAAACCAGATTTATAACTATTTTGTATCTGAAATATCAAAAAGTATTCAACCCTGGTCTAGCATATACAGTGTGTTCATAAAGTCCTAAAATTGTCCAATTGCAAAAGGAATTTGTCTATACGATATATAGTCCCCCAACTGATTAAAATAAAGCCAACCTGGTTGAGAATGTATCAAGAACTGACTTCAAATTGCAACTTTATGGACACCCTGCATATCATTCATCAAAGCTATGAAGCTCAAATACTATAAAAATACGCTTACTCAGCAAAATTGTACCAAAAACGCAGAAAACACCCAAACTATTCAGCAGATTTTTCAAGCAACATTCATAAAGCATTTCCTATAAAGCTATTCGTATCAAAAAATAGTTCATTTCAAACCCTTCATAATAACCAGCAGAGAATGGCACTAAAAGCAATATATAAAAGTAACTGAGCTAACCAATCAAAAGCTTCCATTGACATTTCTTTGCAACATCAATCCCAGTACTTTTAAAGTTCACTGACCTTTAAGGACAGTGGTTTGGGTCATTGATCCATAGTAACCTTCATCTTTGAACCACAGTAACCCCAAAAAGTAACCAAAAGCCATCCTTGGTTGTTCACTGATAGTCTTATAAATTGTATCAAATCATTGACCAATAGCAAGGGTCAATGACCCAGAGTTACCCCTAAGGTCATAACTCCAGGTCAATGACTCATAGTAACCTCATTCTCTATCCCTCTCATCTAAACTTCCTTTATGATATGATTGTGCTTTTGAATGTCGCTTTGATCTTCGAACTGATGTTGATTCTTTGTCCTGAATGAGAGGGATTGGTTAGATAATTATTGAGATATGTTTGAAATTGAATAAGTCACTACACAGTCCACTGGTATATACATTTGAAGGCGCTTCAGAAGTGTGTGTATCAATATGGAGGTAAATAATTTTGTTCGCCTACTTTACATCAAGTTGTGTAAAGGGACTGAAGCCTATGAGCAGGGGGTATATTCACTTGGCTAACAGCGACAGTCCTCAAATTCGTAATAGAACTAAAATAAAAGAAATCGGAATAAAGTTATGGCCTAACCTGGTACACACACTACGGGTGTACCACAATTGGCGATATTTAGAACACAAAATGGTAAAAACATGAAGTGTGAAATTATGTCACCTAAATTCGGCGAAAATTGTTATGCGGTCCATAATTCGTCAGTGGTTTGGGAAGAGTATCATGCATTATTTCGATTTTACGACTTTAACAAATTTATTTTGGATGAAAAGTGATTTGAATGTTATTTAAACAATGAAAATCAAAAAGCATAAAAAGTAATAATAGTGAAACCTTTCTTCTTTTCCATAGTCCAAGCTGGAGCAAGCGGGCACAAAAAATTAAATAGTTCTAGTTTACATTGTGATGTAATACATTGTCTTATTATACAGAAAAAAAACAGCACAATGTTAGTTACTAATTAATGTTCCTAAATTGAAATTAATTTATTTAGTGACTCGTGTGTATATACTGCTTTGTATTTAAAAAATATTCATACTGTTGCAATAAGTCTGTAATTGAAATTTGGCCCGTATACTGGAACATATAGATATAGATCAGAGATATAGAGCTTCTTTCACTGGACTTTTGAGTTTGGTCATGTGGTGGTATTAACTAAAATAAGCTAAAACCAAACAGTGATGTCACAATAAGCACCTACATTTTCTATAGCATAAGCATAGAGCGATGTTTATGGGCCCGTTTTACAGTAAACCATGGTACAAACTGCTAAATTTAACATGGTTTGTCAAATCTTAGATGTTTTTTACATCTATCCTCTACCATACCTCAGCGACCCCATGACGTATTTGCGACCCTACCTACTTATCACTCCGACTCAATTTGGGGTCGCGACCCATGATTTGGGAACCCCTGAAATAGATGTCATATTTGAAATAGCGTCTCGTTGTCAAATTTTATTAATGTCGTTTATTCTTCTTTGGACAGTTACAAAATTAGCCAAGTCAGTATTTTAGCAAATAAACGAATAACTTCCAGAGCCCCTAGGTTTCTCTCACAAAAATTTGGGGCTCTGTATGGAGCACTTTGAGAACCTATGTCATAATGCACCATAATTCTTGCATGGTTTGAGGTACAGATTAACTAACACAAAGGCAGAGGGAAAGGAGCAACAGTTAGGAACATGCTATTTAAATTAACTGAACTTTCTATGCAATTCAAAATTCTAGAGTCCTGCTGCAAACTAACACAAATGTATTTTTGTAACGTTTCGTCTGGCCAGAGCCAGATTTCCTCAGACAAGCAGTTTACAACAATGTCTGATTTTGGTCAGAAACGTTACAGAAATTTGTGTTAGTGTGCAGCGCGACTCTTGAATTGCATAGTATAGTCATGTTTATTCCTGCTACAGCATCCTTGCATTATAAGCATACGAGTTCATTAATGTAAAGGCATTGAGAATGAATTGGGAGTTAGTCTTGTTTAAACTCTACTGATAACTGAGCTTAACTCACTTTTTTACTGCTCTTTTTCCTTCTCTGCCTCGGCAATGTACCGTAAGGTCTGTCATCGCCTGATACATTGTATTCATGATGGTCGGGAAGCATCGAGTCGTCCACAGAAGTTTCTGGTGGAGCTGATGTGAATTCTATTGTTCGGGTCATTAAAGCTGTGAAGGAAGAATTATTAAATTACTTCTGAGTTTAATTCAATATGACTCAACTGCTGATTGTAAGTCAAAATTCTTGGATTCAAATTCCATGACCACCACCCAATGTTCCCTCTAATTTTTGTAGTATGTGTGCACAGAAATTTTGGTGTGTGCGCACTTTTTTGGAAATGACTAATATTTGTGCAAAAACCAATGAAGAAATTTTGACGTTCTAACCGGATAATAAGTGGGCTTATTACGAAAATTTTGGTTATTCAATAAGTTTTTCTATAGATTGTAAATGCTTTAGTGAAGGCTATATGTTATCAGTAGATAACAAAGAACATACATGGAAAATAATGAATGAAATTGATTGTAGCAGATGGTTTTATTTGAATTCAAATAAAAGGTGAAAAAAGAACATTGTTACATTACATCGAAATACGTCTGTGCGCAGTAAATCTATGCGTGTGCGCAGCCTCTGAAAGCTGTGTGCGCGCGCACACGCGCACACCTTAGATGGAACACTGCTACCACCTCACCCATGGTGTGATAAACTTGGTAGCACATCCGCACAGGGAAATTCTGGTACTTCCAAAAAGTGCTGAGAGCAAGCATACTTAGGATTATATCTTATGACTGTTTTCTGAATTAGCTTGAACAGCTATAAAATGTATAAATAACACATCATGCATATTTACAACCACAACCACAATTTTTAATTAACGACAGTTTAGTAGCTCTTGTGACTCCAGTGGTCACTCAAAACTTTGCTCAGAGAAGTCTTTTTACTCATGAGCTCATGCATGGTATTGCTTTAGCAAACTTTCTCATGATCAGATTTTTCTACCAATTCATCTATATGAATGTCAACCCTGACTAAGCAGTTTCAGATATATTATTAGGTAGAGCAGGCTTGGCACATCATGCTAAGTATTAGGAAAATGCTTGCCATCGCACCTCACTCTGTGGGTTCGAATCCCACGCGAAGATAGGATAGGATTTACATATTTATCCCGGGGGAGAGGAAAGTTGATAAGACGGCTTAATCATATGGCGAACCACGGCCTCTCGTCCGGTTACCAGTCCAGGTCGGGTATGGGATTATTTAGCCATTTATTTTGTTTTCGAAAGCATGGACTTGATGGTGGAGGAAGCCGTAACCGACCAGCTGTCACGTGAACCACCCTACGGCGGCGAGAAGTCCAGCAATCCTCTCGCACATGATCATCCCCGCATGGGATTCGAACCTGCGAACCCGTGAAGGGTAATCAGAGGTGCGGTGGCGAGCGTACTCCTAACGCTTAGCACGATGCGTCACACCGCCGATAGACCAAGATAGTGGTGTGCAAGAAGATTGCTGGACCGTAGGGTGGTTCTGCAGTTCGGTTACACCTCCACCATCAAGTCCATGTTTAATAACTAATAATTACCTAATCCGATACCCGTCATGAACTGGTAACTGGACGAATCGCCATATGATTAAGCTGTCTTATCGTCTTTCCTATTCCCGAGATAAATATGTAAATCCTATCCTAACAGAACAATACAAATTACTTACTGTGTCCTTCATCCCCTCTTGCTTGAGAGAGATTCATCATTGAGTATGCCTTGAATTGGCCACCAATATGGCCTCCGTGGTCACCTGATGCCGTCACCATGTACCCCTCACTGGACGGAGCAGAAGGATAAAGGCCACTAGATGGTGCTGTGGGTGCATGAATCATCTGATATGGCTCATTATTCATGGCTGAGGCTGAAGTTGAAAAAAAAAATTCGAAAATAATTTCAAATTTGCTAGTATGGATTGAATCATTCCTTTATGATGAAATGTGAGGGATAATTATATATGATTTCAAAGTATTGCTGGACTTTTCACCATCATGGGATGGTTCATGGTATTGCCCTGAAATGTGGTTCCAATCTTTTAGGGCTCGTGGCCTAGTTCTTGAGGCACTCATGGCCCCCTGTTTAACATCCCAGTGGTATTTATAGTGTTATTTTGATTGATAGATTCCAAAGCCCATTATGCTCAAACAATTCATGCTTAACAATGTGCAGACACTCTGTGAAATAACCTTATCAAGCAATGAAACTAGAAAAAACGGGGATTTTTCTTGTCAAGGAAAATATGAAATCAGTTCCGCGACTAGCATTGTGAGTTTGTGGCCCCACTTCGACAGCTCTGTGGCCCCCTTGGTGGGCCCCAGAGCTGGGAGCCGCAATTCCCTAGAATATGATAAAACTGTTTTATATTCTCTCTTCTGGGACAAATAAAAATCCTATCTCATTAAAATCCGGCTTGCTGTATAGAGATGCACGCAGCGGATGTAACTTCGCAGCTTTCTTAGTTATTTATTAAGCAATTGCCATGCTTGACATCGACCATGAACTTGACAAGTAAAAGTGATGGATGTTTCCTCAAGCATTTTCTTGTTTATTCCCATAACAATGACCAATAAGTCAATAATGACGTAACAATTAAAGCATGGTTGTAGACATTGCCATGTTTTCTGTTGTTTTGCGTATTATTTGCCAGTTTTGTTAAGTTTTCAGAAAGTAGTTGTGAATCAAGGAACTCAATTGTCCTTATGTTGCTCGGATAGCTTTAGTTGAGTTTCAATAATCTAAAATTTGTCCCGCAAATGCTGCGATAGACTGGGCTAAACCTAGCTGTCAGTACCTACAAGCGGCATGCGCTTAAAAACTTAAATAATGATTTTGAACATGTACACCAGTTTATAAGCACCGACTCTCCAAAATAGTTTCAAAATAAGCATACAAAATTTTGCATAGTAAAGTATAGGAAGAATCTTTTGGGGTCAAGGGTCGGAGAAACATCCATTGGGGCCATACAATAAAGCCTTCAGATTTCCTCCAACACAAAATGAATCATGAAACACCTTACCCTATTCCCGGAGATGTGTTAAACGAATCGCAGATTATAGAATACATTCAAAATTCAATATATTCCACAAAGTAAATTTTTGAATTTAAGAATAATTTAGAACATTTTTATTTAATAGAAATTAGTGAATTTGAGCTGTCAAACAAGAGATCAAAGCGTACAATATCTCAACTGGTAAGAAACAACTCAGAAATCAATAACATTTTAGATTTGTGCAGTTTTAGACGAGATCTTGAAGATGAGGATTTATGTGATTTGACAAGAACAGAACCCCCTTTAAGAATGTATTCAAAATAGTAAGATATTCGTTTTTTGACATTCCTGGGCGCTCCAGAAGTATGTGTACCAATATGAAGGTAACTAATTTTGTACGCCTAAATTTCAATCAAGTTATGTAATGGGACTGAAACCTATGGGCAGGGGGGTCACTTGGCTAACACAGACAGTCCCCGAACTTGTAATGGAACTAAAATAAGGAAAATCGGAATAAACTTATGGCCTAACCCTAACCTAGTACACACACTACGGGAGTACACATTCTTGCATATACCTACCCTGCTCAGCAGAATGTCTGTATTGAATTTCTGTTTGCATTGCACTTTGAGATTGCGGGTGTTGAGAGCTTCTTTCAAATCTTTGAGGATCTAATGGAGACCTGTGTAAATGTTCCCTTTGCATAGGTGGATTCATTGAATGAATTGGCGTTTCATCTGATAATCTTGAAAGGTCGTTGACACTAAAACTTTTTAGTCTGTCTGAGACGACGGCTTGGCCCTGAGAAAAGTAAAATGTGGATTTCAATACAAAAAATATATAATGGTTTTATGTATGATTTTAGGAATGAAGGTAAATTTACAGCAGAATCCAAACTCTCAGTCAGTTTTAATGGCTTCAAATTTGGGTTAAGGAAAGGTTGGAGGAAATTGGGTACTGCCGTAGACCGTAGTGTGTGTACTGTTAGGATTAAGACATTATTTTATTCCAATTTTCTTCATTTTAGTTCTACTATGAGTTTGGGAACTGTCTGTGTAAGCCAAGTGAATATACTCCCTGCCAATAGGTTTCAGTCCCTTTACACAACTTGATATAAAATAGGTGAAAAAAATGAGCTACCTCCTACCTTCCTGGTACACACATTTCTAGAATGCCGAAAATTGTGTACTCCAAACTTCAGAAAACCGAATTTCAGTAAATTCAGAAAATATGGTAGAATAATTCTGAACTATTATTCAGAATGAAAACCGAATAAACTTTTCAATCTCAACTTACTTTCACAGCAGCTGTTACAACAGCATTGGCAGCGACATTGATTCCTCTTGTACCAACATCAACCATCGTAGCGTAACTTCGCTCTCTCGCTGACGTCAAAAACCTGTCGATTTCAGGCTCTCTACGTGATAGCGTTGGATGTACAAATCTGTGAATATGCAAAACAGGTTGTTAGACATAAAGCTGGCTATCAATCAATCAATCATCATTTATTCGTCAGCACAAAATAAACGTATCATAAGAAAAAGCATTGGCCTCTAGTCCTAAAATCTTGCCCACCCCTGCTGTACAGGTATTCAGCACCATACACAGCCCATGTATTGGGAATGGTTATGTTATGAGCCAATAATTTTAATCACCTACACACTATATTGATGAACAAATTGCATCATTCTACTCCCACATAGTTTCTAGTTGTATAATAACGAGACAATTAAATCATAAGACGTAGCATGTTACGTATTAGGATTACTAGTGAGCATATATAGAATCAATTAGTCTTTTCTGAAATATTATGCAGCTTAATTTAATCTGTGTTGTTCAATATTATAAGCCTCACGTTATTATGCATCACCTAATTATATCACCATAGCTTATATCACATTATATAGAAATGGACATTCCATGGTCTGGACTTCAATGCTGGTCATATTTAAGTTTTGATTTTAGGTGGTGCCTTATAATATTTTCTATTCATTGGGATTTCATTAGAGTGACAGTTTGCAACCCTCTTATACCCACACACTAAACGGCACGTAGTACTTTTATAAATTTGAGTTGGGTTGCGCGAGACTAACTTCCTATCTTTTCTCTATGCCTTTATGCTAGTGGATCCGTATGCGTATACTGCAAGGATACTGTAGCTGGAATAAACATGACTATTCTATCCAATTAAAGAGTCCAGCTGCACACTAACACAAATGTATTTCTGTAACGTTTCGTCCGACCAGAGTCAGACTTCCTCAGACAAGCAGTTTACAACAACAGCCTGTTGAAAATAGTGTTTAGTCTGAACGCGAATAGTTTACAACAACCGCTTGTCTGAGGAAGTCTGACTCTGGTCGGATGAAACGTTACAGAAATACATTTGTGTTAGTGTGCAGCTGGACTCTTTAATTGGATAGAATAGTACTTTTATGGCAGCAAAATTAAATGACTAATATAAAACAGTCATTTTTATTTCAACAGAAAATAATTTGAAGTAAAAAAAAAAAATCTGCTTGTTTGCAATCAGCGAGTTTTTGAAAATTTTGGGCAATCAAAAATTGTATTCAAAATAGGGTACTCCTGAAGTATGCGCACCAAGATGTCACACAACCTGAACCCTAACCTGGTACACGACCTGAGTTCAGGTTATGTGTCATCTTGGTGCGCATACTTCAGGAGGTCCCGAAATGAATGCTTCCAAGATTTTACGCTGTGATACTTCCCATATAACAATTACTATTAAGCAACACTTCAAGACTGAAAATATAATAAACAATAAAATTTATCCTGAAATAAACCCAATAACTTTCGCACTTTCGTTGGAAGAACAAGCGACCCAGTTTTGGTTCACGACCCATAGCTTGGTAAACGCTGGTAAATAAATCGGCCCTCCAGAAGTACCAACTACCAATACGGAGGTAACTAATTTTGTTCGCCTACTTTACTTACTATGGGTAGAGGGTATTTTCCCTTGGCTAACACAGACCGTCCCCAAACTCTGAAGAAAACTTAAGGAAAATCAGGATAGAATTATGGCCTAACCCTAATTTGTATTTGTCCCAGTACATATACTACGGGAGTCCAATAAATGCATATCAGTAAAAATTGAAGAGATAAAATTCAACAGATAAGAATACTTACTTTCTATATAAAAATGCTGCACCTTTAGTATACGGTGATAGAAGCCAGATAAGGAATCCAACTTTGATTTCATAATAAAAAGGAAGCCAGGATAACAGAATGTCTGTGAACGTTTCGACTGTGATAAAAAGTGCAAATATAACCCAGTACATCATCCAGCGGACCTGAAAAATATGTTACAAATTGTGAAATTTCTATTCTATGGTTATTTGTCAAAAGAAGGTCTAAGGCAGAGCTCTCCAGACTGAGGGTTCCTCCGGCCTGTGAGGTAAGAAAGGTCTCAATGGGGATCGTTAAAAAATCTCTTTCGACACTGAATTATGTTAAAACAAAATATCGATTAAATTTGAAAGATTTGGAATCAGAGACCCACCATCATATGCAAGCATCTTCTCACAACATCATTCTCGTATAATAAGGTATTGTGGATTTTAATACTATATATTTTCAATATTCTCTGTAATATTAAATTTCACCTCAATTTTTATTTTAGTTCCTGGAGGTTGCAAAGAAATTTGATCGTGCCAAGAAGGTCATGATAACAAAAGTTTGAAAAACACCGGCCTATGAATTGTTCAAAACTCGCATACATTAGTAAAATTGTAAGCAATCTCTGATGAACAAATAACTATGATAATAGCAAATAACAACGCGCACCACAAGATGCTGCTTAACAAAATATGTCAAGAAAAAAAAAATGAAACGCAAACAGCTCAGAAGAAGCAAATTCCAAATATCAGAACGGTCTCTCAAATTAAGGATAGATTTTACAAATCTCTGAACCAGGGGTCGGCAACCTTTCCTCGCTCATGGGCCAACATTAGGGGTTGCAAGTCATTGGCGGGTCGCACCTATTTTTGAAAACCGAACGAATGATATTTTTATATTAAAAATCAAGCAGTGAAACATCTCTCGAATAGAATATAGATTTATTTTGTTCTTGTATCTCAAAAAATTCAATTTGAATATATTTTCAGCGCCATTGAACCCTTTGCAGTTATCATCAACTTTTCTGCGTTTTGTTTCCATTTTTCTAATTATAATTAAATTATAGGCTTATTAAACGAGTAATTGTGAATTATATACTTGTCAGGTTATAATATAATTTAGTCTAAAGAATATAATCGCCAAAAGGCTGTTTTATTACTATAATTCAGTGAAGCGTCATTACTCATCGGGCCGGATCCGGCCGTAGGTTGCCGACCTCTGCTTTAAACTAAATACTAAAACAGTGGTTACTGAATTTGATTGACCGTGTACGTGAGGAAAAATTGAAAGCGGAAGGATATTCATGGACTGAGAGAAGGAAACGATTCAGCCGGCACCAGTAAATATACCACCAGTTACGGGCAAGTTAAAACATAGGTGTTAAACTATTTCTTTCAAGTCCGGCGGGCCATATTAAATCGCCAATAACAACCCGCAGGCCGTGTTTTGGGAATTACTGATCTAAAGGTTGACTAGCAAAGATGTCCTATTCGTTATTTATAATCATCTACTTACATATTGTCTGACATTTGCGCTCTTGACAGCTTTGTAAGATTCATATGCTGGGTATAGGGTTCCTCCTACGAGCCTGAGAAATATAATTTTAATATGGAAAAATTTATTAGACAACGCACAAGGATTGATAGCCAAAACAGAATATTCAAGTAATCCAAATGCTGTATAAAATCATATTTTCAAATATAGAAGATATATTCTGAAGTGGGATATGTCTGAGTCTAATATAGCAAAGGTACTCAAAGTGAGAGAAACCTGAGGGCTCGGCGTGCTATTTGTTTACTCACTACAATACTGACTTGGCTAACAGTCCAAAGAAGTAATAACAGCATTAAGAAAATTTGACAACGGTAGCATCAAAATTTGACAATGAGGGGTCATTAAAATATGACACTATAAGTTCCAACAGATATTGTTTATTCATTTATGTGGCCTTGTTGACACATTCCGACACTTTATTATTATGTTTGACAAGTGTATAGCCATATAAATTTAGTGAGGAACATTAGTCTGTATGTAACTATGTGTGTTTTTTATATAAATTCATTGTCAGGCTCAGAGTCTCTATCAATCTCTTTGCGAGCTTCATAACACCAAAGGTTTGAGAACCCCGATAATATATAACGTTTAGAAGTTAGTGAATTTAGGAGTTTGTATTTGAAAATGCGACAAAGCTAATAATGTGAACAGTGCTTAGGTTGCTTCTCAACTTTTCAAAATTTTCTGAAATTATGGTAAATGTATTTTAAAAAATAATCATTTTTCAAATGGAACTTTTCTTAAATCAAACATTCAACTTATGGATATATTTAAATTCTAATCGACTAAAATATTCGAACTGTTATACAGTTCGTACTTATATACAAAATAGCCATTTCTTATTTTAATTATTATTCTGAAACATTTAATACAAGCTTCTGTGTCATTTCAATCGCTCATTTAATACCCGGTACATCAAAATATTAACTTCAAACTGTTTGGACATGCAAAACAAACATTTCCCATTTAATTGTTTTAAAATATTCTATTTCAGGCTTATTGACTTCTTCATTTTAGCAATAAATAATATGTATAATACTTACACAATTAGTCGAGACACTACAGCACCTCCCATATTGCAGATTTCGAATTTGATCTTCCCAGAAACCAATTTTTAATTAATTTTATCTAATATCAGTCCAATTTGGACCAAAATTTAATGCTATAAGTTCATTTTCGTCCTAAAAATTAAACAAAAAATGGCATTGAAATGAATTTTTTTACTGATCCAAAACACACAAAAGCAGAAAATGTTACATCAATCGAAATTTTATTGCAAAATGGGATTTTTCGATGGAGAAGTTACAAAATATTTATTTTATAGGGAGTAAAAAATATCTTGAAAATTGATATCAATCGATTAATGGAAATCTTTACCAAGCCTGTCATTTAAAATAAACAATCATTTATAATCATGTCCAAGTCCAAAATATTTAAAGTAGATCCATGGAAAGAAAAATTACAACTGGGCAAATGACAGTCATACTTTGCAATAAAATTTCAACATGGCTAACATTTTAAAAATTGGAGGGTGAAATTAATTTTTTTTTTCATAATAATATTTCGATAAAGACTAGAATACACAAAATACAAAAGGAACATAACATATTCGCTGTAACAAGAAGGCAGGAGAATTTTAAATTTTGGTAAACTGAAATTTTCTTTTTCGAAGGTTCCAGACAGGATAGAGAAATCTGTTTTACAGAAGAGGCTACGCCAATATTAAAATAGTCTGGTTCATTAAACTATAACAGGATGCCTGTTTAAAGCCCTAAGTTAGGAAGAAAGTTACTAAGCGCCAAGCAAAATAATAGAAAATTCTTTGGCTGTAATACATTAATTTTTTTGCTTTCGTTAGTTGGTTTTTGTAATATTAACTCTGGCGCATTAAATAACTGATGGAGACCCATCAAAAGCAATATTAATTGATTTTTATTAAAAGCGGGGGGGGGGGGGGGTAAAAAAGTATGGAGAACCGCTGATATAAGTTCACAAACTCTCAAATTATCAAATTTCTGAAATTCTCCTGCCTTCGTTTTTTAGATAATGATATTTGGATAAATGGAACCCCAGACATAAAAATATAATTTGAAACACACTCGGCCATGCTTGAATCAACTATAATAACAGCCTTCGGTCACATTTTACCTTCGGTTTATACATGGCCAAGCCTGCTTCAATCATAACTTTATACCTGAGTCGTGCGAGTGCAAACAACATACAGGGAATATACTCGGCCATGGATAAATCTTACAAACATTTAAAAAATGACACTTTTGTTTTTTATTGCCTAAAACAAGACAATATCTATTTTATGTTAGATATTGCAAATCAGCAAAAAAATTTCTAAAATATCCAGTGGAGCGGAACTGCTTGATGAAATGATCCATTAAGCGTGCCGCATCTATGGTCAAAAAATCCATATTTCGGACTGCTTTAATAAATTTACAACAAAAAATGAAGTTGGAATTGATGGCACTGATCAGACAGACCTCACTTTTAATTAGAGAATGACATAAAACTTTTGGGACTCTTGTTTTGAGATCTGATAAAGCAGACTTCATATAGTAATCAACCTAATCTCAAATATTAATAAGTTTCTATAATTATAGGCCGAATAATAAAGATTTTGTCTAATATTGAACAAAAAAAACAGTACTACTCTAGGTAACAGTTAAAACATTGGTTCAACTTTGCCCAGTCCATATTTGGCCACTGTCTTCTTTGTATATGAGCATAACAAAGGCCTTACAAATCCACAAGATAACAAAAAAACAAGTATACCAACGCAAAAAAAGCTCAAAAATGTCAATACATAAAATGATCATAATATGGTTAACAAAATTTGAATTTTGCGCCTCAATAAGACATATCCCCTTTCCCCTTGAGTTCATTATAAGAATCAATACAAGATATAATTGGGAGAGGATTCGCCTTATTTAAATATTGAATTGAATCACCAGACAAATTCAATAATGTAAATCAGTGAAATTCGAAACTAAAACTAGGCATTGGTATATCCAATACAGACAGTCACAAAAATATTAATTTAACTCAACTTGCTCAAGTAAAGCCACACCCCGATTTCACACAGTATTCAGAATAGTGCCAGTGAAATATTCTAAATATCTAATCTTAAAACCCATATTAGTATCACTGTCTGCATATAATAACTCATCAAAAACCCTAAGATAACTAAGACGTCCTGTGCTGTATTGTAGGCTAATATATTGCTGATACATTAGTTATATAATGAGGATTAATTAATCAATATTATAGAGATTAATTAAGATTTTAATTTATAAATAATCGCAGATTTACAAAATGTGAAATTAATTTAATTCAGAGAATATTGATTAATTTTATAATATTTATATTAGGTGCTCTAACTAATGGTGTTAAAATAAGCTCAAATTTAGTCTAACTCATCTATTTTTGCCAAGTTAAAAGCTCAAGTTATTATACTTGAGCTGAAACAAGCCAACTTTATGTGTACTGCCATATTCGGTGCCCTGACCAGTGGGTTAAAATAAACTCAGTTTTTGGGATAAATTCATTTTTCTTTTTGGTTGGGTTACAGTTCCATACCACTACAAGCCCACCTTAATTCACTGTCAAATAATATTTATAGTACTTTATCCCTTTTTGCCAAGTTAGGAAAAGATTCGAGAAATCTAAAAATATATATTTCTGGACGACTCCCTTTAACTTCTGTACACTTGCCTTCGGCAGACACTGTCATGCTGCGATCACTCAGAATATTTCAAGCATTTGGCAATCACTCTCTCATTTGCAAACCATATCAAAACATTTGGCACCACACTGTGACCCCATGGGAATACAGCATTCTAGTATTAATAGTAACAACTCATGTCCTATCTAAATTGTCACTATTCTTCGAATAGTTGATTAAACTCTTATTTCTATGACGTTGAAATCCAAAAATTTCATGAAATTTTATTTTTCAATCCAAATTATGTTTGTTTTTGTGCTAGATCAGACAACTTCAATAAAGCTTGGTCCAAAACTGAAAACCTGTTTGCTGAGAACCAGATTAAACCTGTTTGAGTCGGTTTCAATTCGAAAATGAATATACCATGCATTATCAGGTTTAATTGGATATTAATTGTCTTGACAATTTGTTTTTGACAATTTATAGGTTACAATATGATTCAGAAACCTCTCATTATCTAGATTATTCCGGTTTAAACCAGTCTGCCACAATTTCCATCCTCACTACAGAATCGATCTCAAGCGGGTTCACAAACACACAGGCGATAAGAGACGGAGATACCTTGAGAATTTGTTCTTGCAAAATAAAAAGGTACAATATGACTCGAACACCTAATCCAGATTATTCCGGTTTAAACTGGTCTGCCATAATTTACATCCTTACTACAAATTCTATCTACCTAAATCTGTTTTACTTGCATAAACTAACATTTTATTAAGCATTTTCCAAACCCATTACTCATCAAACTATTATATACCCTTGAGAATATGCTCCTGTTTGTGGTCGCAACAACAACTATACAACGGAAGCGCAGTGAGATTTAATTGATGACAACATTACTGCAATAACGGGGATCGTTTGCATGACCTGAGTCACACTGTAATATTATTACATGAATGATGGTTAAAAGTTCGTAGCATTTGAAAATCTCGTTTCAACTTAGCAGTGGAATCAAATTAAAATGTTTACTTATCTGATGATATACCTATTAGAAAGAATACTACTTGAAAATTGCAAATTGAAGTTAAAACTTACAAGTTACAACACAACGACAGAGATTCCAAAACATAGCCTTTTTGTCTGATTATATTATTACCTATTTCAAATGACAAACTTCAAATAAAATTACTAAATTGTCTCACTTATTAGATAGTCCTTAGATCTTTTACCAATTTATAATTATAATATAAAAAGCAACTCTAACATATAAACACCACCAGCGGCTCCAACTCAATTCTGATTTCTGACTACCGGTATTTCACATACTGAGCACAATGGCCATCACCAGACAGCCAGAATGTAATGATATGGAACAACCATTCAACTCCAATCAATAAATAATTATCACTTATAGCAACTGGAGTACTTGGCAGCTTTTATTGTTTGAAATCAGGGCATGCTACTTCATATTTGATCAAGTATGGCCAGAGAAAAACTTGATTAAAGTCGAAGATGATACAATATCAGGGCAAGGAGTATGAGTTCCTTTATCTTTGATCGGGTGTAGTCGGAGATTAACCATATTAAATCCAAAGATAAATTTTAGCAGTTTTAATTATTTGAAATAAGGGCAAGTAGTTCAAGGGTGCTTTAGCATGTGCTATTTCTGTATTTTATCGAGCAAGGGCCGGAGATGTAATTTATCAAATCCAGAGATAATGCCTTGTATAAGAAACGCTTGGTTTTAGTATTTTACAGAAATATAAAAAAAAAATTTGCAATTTTAGATATATTTCAAAAAGAGACTTTTAACTCTGGAATATCAAATTTACATTTTCTATTAGAAGAATTAGAGAATTAAACTGTAAATAATCTGAGTAGATTCAAACTAACATATTGAAAATTGTTTGTAAAATCAAGAATTTACTATATTGACATACATAAACCTGGCATCCCTCTATCAGACTAGCAATAAGTACTAAGAGCCAAATAAAATAACATTTTGAATTGATGAATCCGTAACAAGGACTAATAATTATTAGCAATCACGCCAAAAACCAAAAATATTTCATTTTCGGTTTTTGGCGTGATTGAGTGTAAAATTATATTCAGTGGAAAATATTTTACCTAAATTTTGATTTTTATCAACATTTTTGAGCTTTTCGAGTACAATATACTTGAAAAAAAACATGAAAAAGGGAAACAAACACACAAAATAGTGGAATTCTTTATCATATTGAAAAAAGAAAACACAGAGGTCCAGGAAGTGACTAAAAAATTTATGCGGCTACTAATGAAACAATACATAATAGCAAAGTGATGCAGCGAGCAGGAAAACAGATTTTGGAGCAAAATAAAAATACATTTTGCGGAGAAAGATTCAGATCAAATAATAATACGCCAGTACAGGATAGATATAATATACGCAAGAATACATGCAATCAAATTTACAAATTGAAATTAAGCAATTATGCTAGACAAAAAGGTTCCCAAACTTGTTCATAATACACTCCAGTGTTCCCCTAGAATTTTTGAACAATATTACGAATCTGACATGAACTCTTAAAACTGTAATAGTTTCGGTTATAATGGTAGCAGGCCAACCAACTGGAAGGCAATATCTATGATTCAATTTGAACAATGTACCCCAGTGCCTTTTACATATGGATGGCAAAAACTATAATTTCAATTTTAATCAGAACTTCCAAAAATTTTCTTTTAGAGTCAGTTAAACACTATCATTATTTACACCTCCTGCCGACATAATAAGGGGACTAAGTTTTTTGGTCATATGATATATGAGAAATACAGGACCCAAATGTATAGTCTTCCTGCAAAATATTGTGAAAACTAGAATTTAATTCATTCTAATAGCAGTTATTATCCTCAAATTATTTCCTATAGTTTCTAATCATAGAAGAACTTTTAAGCACTAGGAGAACACTGGGACTCAGAGAAATGAAAGATTGGGAGGAACACTCAATAGAACTAGTCATAATTGTAGTTGGATGATCAGGACACATTCATTTACAAATTATAAACACTATACAGTGCTGTTTCGATCAATAATATACATAAATTATATGCGGCCATGTGTGATTTAAAGAGAATAGGTCATGCTTGCCTGGGCATGACTAGGGGGGGGGGACTTGTGATGCTATATTCATATATTTATTCAGAGCATTCTTTCAAATATTATTTTTCTGAATATTTAAAAAAAAAATTGCGGGAACTTGTGATACCATGTCTTCATCTTGATGGGATAGAAATAATTAGAAGGGTCTGAATTCTGTTTTCAAAAATTTACTGAAAATTGAAAAATGTTGAATCAAAATACAATCTAATGAGTGAAATCAACTTGACAATGGTGCGATTACATAAGTCTAAAATTTATCTATTGCTTACTTCAAGAAACCAAATTTCAGACAAATCATGGTTCTACTAATCTATTTGACACTCGACAAGTGTATGAAATTTAGAGTTCTCAAATCAAAATAAATTGCAGAGAAATGTATAATGTTGAATTATTAATCATTAGCACAAAACAATCAAATGGTAAAAAATTTATAGTATTTGTCAGATGAGAAATTGAAATGTGTCCTCAAAAGCAGGGCTATTCAAGGTTTCTTGCTGTTACTGTTTATGGTTGTGATATAACCAAATGATATTGTGTGTGCATGACATTTTGTTAATCGAAACTATTGTGATAACAACGTCAGGTATAGATGACAACATAGCCAGACAGCTTGTCATAATATTACATCGTATCATTATTAGGTATTGACATTCAAAATATTATCGAGTATAGTATAACGGCTGGCTAGGTAATAGAAACGCCAATCAAAGCGTTATTACGTACTATTACATGGTATAAATTGTGTGTTAGAAAGTCTAATTCAATTTTCGGTATTTGGTTTCAATCCAAATTTTAGATTACGGTAGTTTAGCAAAAATCTATCTTGTTGCTACAAAATGTATTATCTTTTTTTTATGATATACCATACTTATAAAAAGTGCTGTTAGGAAAAATCTATCAATTTATTCAATTATCTGCTCATGTCATTTTTATAAATCAAATCCTACTGGAAGAATTTTTTTTCACTACATTATTTAAAATTTCTATCTAAAATATCCCTGGTCCAGACCAGAAAATACTTTTTTATGCAAAATAAATTAGTTTAGCTACCTATAACTGTTCAAAATATTCTTCTGCAACTCATCTAGATTATGAGAATATAACCGATCATCTATATACCCACTGAAATACAAATGATGATACAATAAGATATGGATTTTGAGAATTCAAGCTGACCAGCAAACTAAAAATACAGACAATAACAGCATCATAATGCCAAAGATATTTTTGAATAGGGTAATTTCACTCATAAAACTGTAGTTTCAATCCATTTTAATTTTTAAAAATACGAATGCAATGAATTCCATTGATCTGTCTGGGGTATGTACGCTTTGTTAAACTACCTAAATAGCCATGGCCTTGTCGATAATTGGAGTAGAAAATTTGAATTTACTAGAGCAGATGAAACCACTATGTAATATAAAATCAATGATGACAGTTTAATTTGAATAAACCACAAGATTACTAGAGCTAATGGTTTAGATCCCAACAGAATTAGGATGGAAAATCTCATTAATAAAATCTAGTGATAAACGTTAGAACACGCCCAAGAAAGTATTTGAAACCGTTTAATCTGAACTTCATGTGAAAAATATCAGTGGGGAACATTACATTTTTCCAGATGTAAAAAGAGTTGAAAAGGCTTTGAATTCGGTCAAATATTGAAATATCACTTCATGTAACAATAAAATGAATATTAGAATATTATGTGCATCAATGGGGAACACTACATTTTTCCAGGTGAGAAAAAATGCAAACGCTCTGAATTTTGCCACATATAGCATCGGTTAATAATAACACTTTCTTGAAACTAGCATTGAATAATTTGACAATATGATATGCACAAAATAAGTGTGGAAAGCTGTGGTAAACAAGAATAGTGGAATTGACAGTTTGATAATAGAACAGCAAGGATAATTTGGGGAATTTTTAAATGCTACAATCAATGAAAATTATGCTTTTAAGGTATTCAAGTCTAACAAAATATGAAAAGCCAAAATAAGAAAAAATGATCTATGATATTATTAGAAATTACAGTTATTTAACACACACTTATATCCTCTGTGACAATTTGTTGAATTTGAATGTTGGATTTAATTCAATATTTGTACATGGTACCGTACATGACTAAATTTAGATTCAGATTGAAACATTTCGTAGAAATCATACAGTTTAAAACAGCAAAATATTATGAAAGTTATGCCACAAGAAGTAGAATTGAGTTGCAAGCAAACCACAAAAAAATGGCATAAAAAAACAATATCACTTATATTTATCAAGCGTTAGAGCTGTCAAAATAGACTTCTCAAACTTAAACAAATATGACATCTTGTAAGACGCAAGTGCCTGGTCTTAATAAGCCCATAGTCCCCTATTTGTTAATGGCCACTTGGTTAGCCATGTTCTGAGTTACATTTTAAATTATCCTATTAAATATACGATAAAGAGTAAAAGACAATTAGACCAAACAATGATAAAAAATATTAACATCACAAAGCGAGTTATCCATAAACAAAAACTGCAAAATTCTGTTTAAATTATCCCAGCTTTTTCACAGTAAGAAATCCTTGAATATTCTTACTTGAAACCGTGAACGGAACATACATCAGAAACATGGTAAGAACCAAACCTTACTAAAATGTAATTACCGGCATATAGAGGGGATTTTTCGCAACCTGTCAATAATAATGTGGATAGACTAATTGAGAAAGGGCATTCATACTTTAATGGCCTCCTCCATATTGAACTGATGGTTACCATTTAGACAGCACTTTCTGAATGGCCTTCTTCTTATAGTAGGGATGGTAACATAGCACCAATTAGCATTCAAAGTGTCCATGGAGGGCTATTGGGCTGTTGTATAGACAGAAGGTTAAGAATAAGACAGATTTAGGGTCTCAATCTGCATTTGAATGACCTCATTAGAGGGTTATCGGGTTGCCATGTAGATAGCAGGTTACAAAAAGGGATGGATACATAGTCCTAGCAATTTTTGAATGGCCTAATCTGTAGAAAAATTAATTTGGTTTCTATTTAAATAGCAGATTTCATTATAAGTGTTTTTCTAAAAATGTTCCGCTTGGTTTTCAAAATTCCAAGATGATCAAGTCACGACAATAAGTGAAAAACACCAGTAAATATATGATCCAAAGTGGCTTGATAAAACCGATAGTGGGATAATTGAGTTCCAGAAATCTTGAGTGAAAATCACAGGAAATAATCGGGAGTGCGTCTAGTAACATGGGGTTCTCCACGTCTCGGAGCGGGATCAAATTGTAAGAATGAGTAGCGTAGAGCGTCGTCTAATTCCATAAGAGCGGCCTGGTTTCCACATCTGTAGCAGTAGTTAGGAGCGCTGAAAATCGTTACGACGTTGCGATCTTGACTCCAGTTATAACCTTCCATGACAAGTTGGTGAGCACGAGAGATGAGAGTGAGACCATTGTGATGGTTAAACGTTTCCGAGATGTCTTGTCCAAAAGTATATCCAGCACCACGAGGGGAAATACCCCAACCGCTTCGATCATCTGGGTCAGACCATAAAAGGTCACACATCGGTCCTTCGTGTGGTACTTCTTGAAGACGGTCCAAAGCACGAATGTGATCAAGCGTATCAATAGAAGGTGACAGCCCACCATGGAGACAGAAAATTTGTCCGTCGACGAGCGCCGTCAGCGGGAGGTAATCGAAAAGATCAGTGAAATATTTCCAGACATTAGCATTTCCGTATTTTCTTAAACATTCGTCATAAAATCCGTAAACTTGGGTAATTTGTCGAGATTCATGATTTCCACGTAAAATTGTAATACGGTGCTGAAATCTGACCTTCAAAGCGACAAGCAAGGTTACAGTTTCGACAGAATAGTAACCTCTATCCACGTAGTCACCCATGAACAAATAATTTGTATCAGGCGAGCGACCACCGATACGGAACAATTCCATCAAATCATGGAATTGTCCATGGACGTCTCCACAGACAGTCACCGGACATTTCACTTCTTGCACATTTGATTCTTTTGCTAAAATCTCCTTGGCCTTGTCGCACAACGTTTTGACGTTGCTTTCCGCTAGTTGCTTGCAGTCGTACAGTTGTTCAATCCATTGTTCCAAATCCTTACTTGTTGGCAGGGCTGACACTGTAGTCTGCTCCTCCATTTTTTTTTCAACAAAAATATTCAAGACTTAAACTTAATTTGTTTACGAGCATAAAGCTAGATCAAAAATAAAATAAGTTAGATCAGAAATGCATTAAAACTAGGAGTAAATTGAATTAAAACTGGAGTACATAGGTGAAGAATGAACATATTAAAACTTCAAATTTGCACAAATTTTGAAGTTTCTCAGCAATGAAATTCAAGAACTCATTCGTACCTATGAATCAGTGGAGCATAAAATGACAGCAATGGTAATGCAATGTTTAAATAAGGATATTCTGGCTATTGAATGAACACAACAAAATCACAAAATTTTAATTCCAAGTTTTGCAACTTGGATAGGATTTTAAGAAAGATAAATTGGTCTAGTTCGGTGCGATTTGACCATGTTCATATCAGAGAAATAAGGCAGAATATAATGAAAACACACTTTGGAACACTAATCTAAATTAAAACGTAAACTCTGATATATTTGATGTCACACATTCTCTAAAATGAATGCAGCATAAAAAGAAACAGTTCGAATTCCAGACAGAATATTATTATTCCGACGAGTCGCACTTCATTGATTTTTACTGGTGATAATCATACCAAGGTGAACCAGAATGTAGTAGATGCAGTTAATGCAAAAAATAAGATAAAGCTCCTATATTCCTGAGGGAACATGCTTTAAGCAAATTAAAAAAAAATAAAATAAAAGCACACATCAAATTTAGGGCATTACAGTGGTATCATTAACCCCAGGGCTTCTTATCTATCAAAATTTTGGCCGCAAAAACGTCGCTATTGTGAGTGTAAATTATGTTTTGCACCAGTTTTGATAATTGTGTTTCGAATCGAACGCCTAAAAAAGTACAACAGATAGGCCGATAGCACTTTGTGTGAATTTGGTGTGGTCTTTGCAACCCCTAAAATTCGTTGTTCACCCATTCGGTTTTAGAAGCCCTGATCTACCCTTTCATTGCTACTCCTGATTTATTCCTAAAGAAATAGGTTCACAGTTGAAAATAATACGTAGCATAACGTAGTTAAACCAACTAATTAAAATGCCTACGAAAACCTCTATCAGGTTTTCCTCGTTCAATAAATTTCCTTTTTTTATTATTCGATCTGTCAAAAGAATGGCCAGGATTATTCGATTTTCGCTTTTTACTGTTTGAACGATAAAATTCATCGTTTTGTAAATTAGGTTCTGGGTTGTAATGTTTGTTTTGAGATTTAGATTCTTTGTAAGATACTTTTCGCTTTGAGCTTCGCATATTTTTAGAAAATTGCACATCATCTTTTGACACTTCATAAGAAACAACCCTTTTGTCAAAAAAGTTTAGAGCTGAAGAACTTGATTCTTGTGGAATTTGCTTTTTGAACGTTCTGTCAAGCTTTTTTCTAGTGGATGAACTTGTTTCTTGTGGGCTTTCTTTTTCAAACTTAGTTTTAGATCTTTTATTGCTCTTTTTCCGTAACGCCTTGTCAGCAGGACGTAGCTGATTATGAGCTATTCTCTGCCTTTCAGTGCTTGGTTGACGACTCTCTCGCACTTGAACTTTAACACCATGTTTTCTGGAATTGGAAGGTTGGCGTTCAGGTGAATCAAATATAATATGTTGACGTTCTTTCCGTCTTGCATAGTTATTATTAGACTCTTTCTCCTGTGAGAAGTCACCATGGTTACCACGATTGCCTCCATAAGATCTTTCAAAATGCGAACTTCCTTGAGACTCTGAACTTCTCTTTCCTTTCAATTTCTTTCTTAAATCCTGTGGAACCGTAGAAACAGCTCTTTTATCGTATCGATGAACGTAAGGCGCTAGCATCGCGTAAAATTGATTTGCTCTCGGAGATTCACATTCATGACCAAAGTGGCCGATCCCTGCGCAATTAAAGCATTGGGGATCACTTTTGAGCGGCACTGGTATAGTTGGGACTTGAATAGGACCAGATTTTGTAGTTATATGAAACTGTCTCCATAAATCCGGGCAATCAATTTGTATATGACCTTCTTGAGAACATCTATTACATACCATGTGTCGCCCCCGGTATCTTAAACCCTCCTTTTGAGGACAGTCACGGCCAACATGACCCCTGTTTCCGCACATGAAGCATGCTGGTCCCTTCTTTTCCACAGTACAGTCTTTCACTTTGTGGCCCACTTCATCACAATTTCTGCATCTTATTCCTGAATTTTTAGAATTACCAACAAAATACCTCCCTGCTCTGCCAGCATTATTATTATTAGTAGTAAATTGCTTAGTATCTTCTATATCTATTTTCCAGCATGACTTTGGGCCTTTTTCTGGAATCCACGCATCGTTTGGTTCTTGTCCTATTTCCATGTCGGGTTCCTCTTGTTTTTGTGAGATATGAAGGTCTATTCCCCCATCACAGCTATCAGAAGAGCCATCTTCCACACTATCAACTATTTCCCAAGTTTCAGGGACAAAATCGCTTGTTTCAGAATCCAGATGTTCTCGTAAACGAGAAAGATCTTTCTCATTAAAGACTTTGTCATCATTTTTTTCATCAATTTTTTGCAAAGTGGGGGTTGCAGTACCGCTACAAATTCGATCGAGCCCAGAATTACTTTCATCGCCTGAAACTTCATCAGTAACAATAAAATCATTTTCTATGATATAATCGATAGAACTATGTGATGAATTTTCATCTAAAACAGCTTGCTCAACGTTCGGCCTTTCAACGAGCAAATCAGTTTCAAGAGAGTCAGAATCATAGCTGAATTTTTTCGATTCTGAAACAGGATTGTACTCACTTGGAATTGAAGGTTCAATTGTTTCTTCGGCCTCTGTGACATTTAGAATTGGGGTAACATTTATGAGATTATTCTTTGAACTAGGACTGTCCGAGATTTCAATAGAACTGTAGAAATTTTTACCAAACCTTGCATCGCTGTCTTGGGTAGAGAAGGTTGCAGTTTCATCTTGTCTTTTGCCACCAAGTGGATTTATTGTCTCAGTTCTATTTTGGTTACGAAAACTCTTAAAGGCACTTTGATCCGCAGAAAAACAAGTTTCTACGATTGCTGTTTCATCCTGTCTATCGCCATCAAGTGAGTCTATTGGCTCAATCCTATTTTGGGTACGAGCATTCTCATTCTGATCCGCAGAAATACCAGATATTTCTACGACACTTACTTCATTATGAATTGATATGGCATCAGGTATAACTTCGTTTTCCGCAGCATAATGAAGTTGGCTGTACAAATGAAATTCTACGTCACTGTCTATTTCGTCAGAATCCGAGAAATCACTACTTTCTTCATCCGATAAAAAATTGTCAACAAAATCATCAAAATTAGAAACAACGGGGAAACGCTTGTTCATATTTCTGACTATGAAATTAGGTACAAACACATTTTGGCTTCTTATTTACATGAGCTAAAATTTTTCAACAATTTTGGTTTGATTAAAATGTCCGTGAAACCTTGTAATGAGGAAAATAACACAAGAGAACTATAGTCCCAAGCAGTCCTACACACAGAAACACTTCAACTAAATACTGTCTGAAGAAAAATGTCTAAAGAAAGAGCAGTGAAGACTATTGTCTGGAGATGGCCAAAAATCCATAGTTTAAAGCAGGGGTGTGCGGATTGCGGCCTGCGGGCCAAATGCGGCCCGTAAAGAAAAATTGTGCAGTCCGCGAAAAAGTGCCAATTTTGAAGGATGTGCCCGCGAAACGAGCTTTTAGTTTAATTAATCTGGAGCGTTGCGAAGCCTATATACCAGTATCCGAGTGCCACTGCCATATCAGTGAAACTAGCTCCTGTTGGAAAATACGCAATGTTATAAAAGAGCGTTTCCCACTGAATTCGTTTAAAGTCGGTGTGACAATAAATTTAAATACCAGTTTGCTTCAAAATTTTTTGCGATTCAACTCAGGATTTCTGTTAGGACCCCGAACAATGCCGTAAGATCAATAACAAAAAGGAACAACTTTTTGTGCTTGCATATACAGTAGAAACTCTACCTACGAAAGGCCCCGGATACAAAAAATTTGACTTACAGGAATTATTTTCTTAAAACTTTCCTGGACTAACGTAAGATTTTCCACATCCGAAAACAAAAAATGCGTGTAGTGTAGTGATATTCGCTTATTTTGATGCAGTGCTTGAAGCACGGATGTTCAATTCAAATTTATTATTCCAATATCGCGAACTTCGATTATCGTTTTTCGTGTTTGTAAGAATACAGAATATGGCGCACATATGTTTCGTATCCAGAGAGTTTCTAGGTGCGGCCTGCGGTTTCACCCAGTTACTTGTATTTGGCCCGCCTGTGAAAAAGGTTGCACAACCCTGGTTTGAAGCAAGGGAAGCCAACATGTCGATCGACCAAAAAATTGCCTTGAACCAGTTTTGAGCAGCGCAGTTTAAACTATGCATGCACAAAATACAATACACATTACACGCATACAGTATTTGAGACTGGGCAAGCTCGAGAAAGCATGAAAGTTTCGCCGCTGCCGCGGTTTGAAAATGAACGTGTCAAATATTGTGTTTTTCGACTAAAAAACGATCATACAATCCCCTCTGCAGTATGCGAAACTTATTGTCTAATTCCAAGATTAGTTTGAAAAATGTTATTCGCAAGAAGACATTGCAGTACGGCACACTATACAGATCGAGAGACATTGTCTCCTTTCTGAGAATCCCATTGGCAGATGAACAAACACCCCTTCTTTGGGGGACGTCTGAACATTGTTGTCCCTCAATATCGGTAGAAATACAGTAAAATGAAGCTGCGCAAAAAACTACAAAATAATGCAATTTAAAAACGTCATCATTGAATTCTTCTGGAAAAAATAATCCGATTTACCAAAGGGAAAATTTTTCTATCATGGCATTCGAGAGTTTTTAGCAAAGAACTGCAACTTTGGTCATGTGACGGCACGATTAATTTAGATTATTACCGAGAGAAGCATGGCGTAATATGACGTTTCTGCTGTTACGCCAGGCGGCCCTTGTTTGTGAGACACATGAGGTGTTTGTTTTATTGAACTAAATGACAGGACATTATTGGAATTTGTATCGTGTGCCGTACTGCATTGGCACATAACAAGACCCATTTTTTTAATTCCGAGCGAGCGAAGAATCGGACTATTTTATAGGTATCGAAAATATCCACATATCCTTTAGGCCAAATCGCACAGAGAAATATCAGGTGTCAAAATGACAATTCACCGTTTGTAACAGACGGTGGTTTATGGGAATGACCAATATGAATGTTGCAGAGAATACGAAAATCCAATCTGCCGCTAAAATATTGTCAAATACCGGTAACCTAACCTTTTTACAAAATTACCAGAGTAGTGTCAGTAAATGGCCGCCTCACCCTGTAACCTACTGAACCTAAGACCAGAAAACAGTAAAAAAGCCTTCGCATTCCTCAGCGTTGGCCTTTATCCTTTCTTTAACTTTGTTCTTACTTTTTGTCACAGGAAAAAGAGAAGAACTCTGTGTTTACCAAATAACATAGGACAAAGGGTTGCGCCATGATTCTATCAAACATTAACTGAGGCTATTTTTACGCAGGTGGCATCACGTCATCAACGATATCTGATGGTAGTACCAGCCCACACCATTTTGATGACGCAATGACGCAGGCATAAATTTAACCAATTAACAAAGTTTAAAATATTCATAAAATACCTTTTTCAATCTAGGAAACCTTACCGATCAAATATAGAACTAGAAAAACGGACTTCGTGACGAAATTGGAAATTAATGGCGACGTCAAGACAAAAATTCGACTCACCTGAAGTAATCGGTCGCGCATAACGACGTTGAAAAAATAACATTTAATATTTTACAGATGACATTTTTCACATTACGCAACATTTTGGTCTGATAAAAAATTGATAAAAAATACCAGAATAGATGAAGGTTATATTATATAATAACATCGTTATTTTTTGATTATTTAGAATATATCATATTTTTGTGTCAAAAATTAAGAATCCAATATTCGAATTTTTCTTGTGAGTTTCTGCCCACGAATTACGCTATTTCATTAGACTTTAATGGCGTTACGTATTATATTGTATAATTTTTCGGATAAAACTGAAATATCCTTATTATTATTTAATATCCACATGCAAATAGCACATTTAAAAAATGCTTTTGGGGCACATATATGATAAAAATTCACAGAAATTTATTGTTTGATATAGCATTCAAATTAAAAGATCAAGTACAAAAAAATAAATTTTGCAACTCATCATTCAGTTTGAAGATAAAAGGAGTATGAATTCTCACAATTAGTAAATGATTTATATACAGAGACCCTCGCCTAAAGTTTGAACAACTTCGACCGCAAAATTGCGTCACTCACCTCGACGTCACTCGTTCGTTCGTCGTGAGCAAATTTGAGCAAACGTTGATTTCATATCTGTGTTTTCTCTCGTTATGTTTAGCGCTGGGGGGTTTTAACCTATATCATTTACCACAAAGTGAGTTTGTTAATTCGATGCGGTACCGTGCTTTTATGTCTCGGTTTCTTTGAAACCTCAACTTTCTCGTTGTACGTTTGTTGCTGTTATTATATGCCAGAGCTACCAGGGTCTCATTTAGTTTCGTACCCAACATACTTCTGGTGGGCGTAGCATGACAATTTTTTCACCTATCAATCCTAACCCCCACCTGACTACATCATACAAAAATTACGTCAACACGACGTCGCAGTGACGTAATAGAGCCCTTCAGACTATACGAACTGCCATCCAAGACGAGCAAACGATCACCCGAAATCGAACAGTTATTTCTCTCGTTTTCTCGGCGCAACGATTCCAATAGGGGAGAGATCGATAATGACAGTCAGTTCTTTATCGTCGGCGCCAATGCCATTTCGGGCGATTGTACGTATATTTGGCAAGCTCTATGACGTGATTGTGACGTCGTAGTGACGTTTTTAGATGGCGTAGTCAGATGGGGGTTAGGATTGACATATCAAAAAATTGTTATGCTACGTCCACTAGAAGTACGTTAGGCACGAAACTACACGAGACCCAGCTACCAAAATAAAGTTGACTGATTTGAAACTTTCTCAGCTTTAATGAATTTCCGCGCTGTGTCTTGCAATTTTTTTTGTATCATAGCAGGATTCAAATAAATTAATTAGGAGTAAGAATAGGATGTGAAGTCCATCTATCTGGCGCTAACTAATCCCATACCCGGCATGGAATGGTAACCGAATGAGAGGCTGTGGTTCGTGAGAGTCCTACCTCATTTCAATTGCCACCTGTTTGTAGCTGATATCATTCGTTTAGTTTGTCATAGAATTTTTGATGTGGCACCTGTCAAATCTGCAAAAAGTGGCCCAGTTGCTAGTTTTTGATTTAAGACAAATAGACTATAATCTACTTTAAATATTGTTAGCTTGTTGATAGGTTTTTCGCCCTCAACACAAGCTGCAAAGTTAAGTTCGACCACTGAAATGCCAAGATCCAATGATACTATCTAGAAATATCAAGTTTTTTTTAGCAAAGTGCACAACAGAGACAACCTACAGAATTAACACACTCAGATGAATGTTTAGAGCTAACGCATTCTCCACAAGGTGGGGAATCAAAAATTGTTATTGCGAAAGTCAATACGATTTGGCAATCGATGGCCTTTTTAGTCCATGGGATTATCAAGGTATTTGTTTCACATGCATGGACTTGATGGCAGAGGAGACCATATCCGACCAGCGGTTACATGAGCCACCCTACGGCAACAAGGGTTCCAGTCCTCTTGCCCATACCCATGGGATGCAAAACCGCACTGGGTAATCAGAGGTGCAATGGGCCTCACACTCGCTCGCTATCATCAACACTCCTTGCAAGTCATTTCCAGAACATTTCTCTGGAAACAACACTCCTTGCAAGTCATTTCCAGAACATTTCTCTGGAAAACCATCTTGAGTTGTCAACATACATCTAAACATACATCCTGACTACGCCTCTAAAATTCCGCAGACAGACATTCAACTTCATACACGTAGCTTTTATTTTCTTTAATTACAGGATTATATCTTGGAATTGAACAGACAAAGCGGTAAAAAAGAAACACTTATCCCAGAATAACTTCAATTCTAGATTGTTGTAATTGCTTTAAAAAGCCGTGAACCAGAGACATTTCCATAACAAACTTTCTGGCACCAATGTTAGGCACTGTGTACGCTGGGAAATCAATCAGGGTATATTGAATGCAAATTCGAAAATTCAGAAACTACTTGTTAAAGAACCAGAATGCTATTGAGAAAAATGTCACGAATGAAATGAGTAGTTAACAATATTTTTTTATCAAAATTCGTACAACTTAAAACTAAGTTGAGCTTGATTTATTCCATAACTTTGATTAAACTATTAAAATGATTAAATCTATCACATTTCAAAAGTCTCGATTCAGTTACCAAATAGACATTGTACGTGTGATTAAAACAAAGGTCTCTGTGAAGTTCTTAAACCAGGGATGTGCAACATTTGTTTGCAGGTCATATAACCAACTTCAGACATCTGACTGGGCCACGCAGTCTTTCCATGTACACAACGAATGAAAAAATTGTCACAATGAAAGAGACTACCGCTTAGCCTTACAATATTAAAGGCACCAGGCAAAACGGCGAAAGATTTAACGCAATGAGAAGAGCAAAAAAAGTATGGCTTTTACCCATGTGTGCGCCTTTTGGGCATAAACTGTCAGATTAGGATTCAACACATAATAGAATCTGAGTGTTGAGGGCCACACTGGCTTGGCGGCCGTGTTGTGGCCATGTATGCCTGTTGCACACCCCTGTTTTAAATGCCTGGGACAAATGCATAGTCTCAAGGTTGTCCCCAAGGGCGATCTTTGTGAATTGTTCAAATCGAAGGCTTCTAACCCAGAAGAGCAGAGATTGTTAACATCGTTTTGAGAAAATGCAAAATTTTTAACTCCTGCAATTTTTACTTTAATACTTTGGTAAATATTGTTTCAAACCATGATTAGATACCAGGAGAGGCATTTCATGATAATATATTCAGGCCCATCGTTTTAACACACTGAAAATTGAAACCATGCCAGTGAAGGCCACTATAAGCATTAACATACAGGGTGATCGCTAGAAAAGCAGAAAATTTGTAAGTCAGATGAGATCACGATTAAAGGTAGGTTGAATTGGAACGATATACCACAAGTTAATCTTCGAAACGCTAGACGAGCTTGGACTTCTGGTTAAGACGCCGCTCTGAAGTGCACGGATGACATTTTGCGCACCTATGAGTGTTATATAACACATGCTTTCAAAAACTTTATAAATTATTCTTTCTAAAAAAAATTAGCTGTTTGATTTTTTAGCGACCACCCGATATAATTGTCCGTATCACGAATCACAGCAAGTACTCGACAAATAATAAAATAAATTACAATGAGCTACTACTATTTACAACTATACGGAAAGTGCACTTTTATTAACAGGATACATTGGAAATACATTTGTTATCAGAGCCCCTCTTCAATATTATATTTGATAAGGGTATAAGTTTGAAAAATGAAACATCAAAGTATGTTTGAAAATTTAATAACCACAGATTTCGATTTTTTCATTTCTCAAATATGTCTGAATTTTGCCGACCATTATTTTTAAAATTGTAGTTAACATAATTATCTGTCATATCGGATAGTAAATAAACAGCACTTCAGAAGTATGTGTACCAATATGGGGGTAACTAATTTTGTTCGCCTACTTTGCATCAAGTTGTGTAAAGAGACTGAAACCTATGGGTAGGGGAAATAAAATTATGGCCTAATCTGGTACACATACTACAGGAGGACCAAATAAATAGTACCATTGAGAATCCTCATGTCAGTCCATCTCTAGCGAATGCTACTAAACAAATTAAAATAAACTATAGGACACAAAATGATAAACTTCTACATGCAAAAGAAATAAAAGGCCCTGGTATTTCAAGGACAATAATATAACTGCACAATATTCATAAAACATCAGTGATGCTTTGCCACAAAACCACCACACGGCTATCATTAGAATTTTGGGCGCTGTGTGTAACAATATGGAGGTAACTAATTTTGTTCACCTACTTTACATCAAGTTGTGTAAAGGGACTAAAACCTATGGGCAGAGGGTATATTCATTTGGCTAACACAACAGTCCTCGGACCCGTAATGGAACTAAAATAGGGAAAATCGAAATAAAATTATGGCCTAACCCTAACCAGGTACACACAATACAAGAGTACAGTAGAATGAGCACTGATAGAAGAATTATATGCACTCAATTAAAGTTGTAATATTTTAAACAAGTTTGATCACTTATACGTGACGAAACCACGTGTCATTTCGCAATCCAAAAAAGGGGACGAGCCTTCAACTGATGTGGGGATTATTGATAGAAGAGTTGAAATTCAAGCACAAACATATATGGATGAGCTATCCTTGCAATGGAGATGCCAAGAATTTATTTGGTTTAATGGCATCTTCTCATCAGCTTTTTATTTCACCATTGTCACAAATTTTGAAAAAAAATAGGAAACAATACAAGGTCGTCGCTAAAAAATCAGAAATTTTGAAGTTTAGATGAGATCACGAATAAAATGGGTGCTTACTCATTTCTTTTTTGATTCGTTTTTATTTATTCTAGGTTGTTACTTATCGATCTTTAGATCGGTAAGTATGTTAATAGGTATTTGTCTGTTTGTCTGTCTGTTAGATGCACACGATATCTCACGAAGGCAAGGTTTTGCATGTGCATTCATCATATCTCGGACCAGAAGCCTATTGATTTTGGATGAATTATGTGATATAATTAGCGAGTTATTAATTAATTAGTGATGAAACTCGCGGTGTCACTATAGAGTCATGAATTGAAACCGCAGTTTCGATCGATAAGTCTTCTGTCTCCGACCGATATTCTCGTTTTAAGTTGTTGAGACAACTATGCAGAAGTTATTCTTTTAGAAAATAAATGACTGTTTAACAAATTTTCTGTTTTTCTAGCGACCACACTGTATATTCTTCAGACTAAGGCATAAATTGATTTCCCATAAAAAAAAAATCACAATTGGACTAAGTACAACAATTTTAAAACAGTTTCCCCCCCTCCCCCCTCATAACTTTGATTCTTGTGGCACCAATAAAAAACTACAAAGCAAAAATAAAAGCATCACAATATGGGAATGCCCCTTCAATAGTAAAAGTGTTTTTCCAGTGTGTCTGTATTATATATATAGCTATTTTCTTTGTTTTTGTCGGTGTTTGAAAAGTCACATTTTTTTAGTCCTCCCCTGTTGAAAATTATCAGTCAACTTTGACGACGCTGTAAATCTTACTCACAAACCAGAAGCAAGCTATGAATCCGATGGTACCTGAAATTAAATGTAAATTTATTAATTTGAATGTCACGATTGACTCTGCTCAGAGATGAGTCTATTTTACTTCGAAATGAATGCGCATAACTTTGGTCAAAGACGAGTCTCCTTTACTTCTGAGTGAGTGCTCGTACTTTGCTCAGAGATGAGTCTCTTTTACTTCTGAGTGAGTGAATGTAACTTTGCTCAGAGACGAGTCTCCTTTACTTCTGAGTGAGTGCTCATAACTTTGCTCAGAGATGAGTCTCTTTTACTTCTGAGTGAGTGCTCGTACTTCGCTCAGAGATGAGTCTCTTTTACTTCTGAGTGAGTGCTCATAACTTTGCTCAGAGACGAGTCTCTTTTACTTCTGAGTGAATGCTCATAACTTTGCTCAGAGACGAGTCTCCTTTACTTCTGAGTGAGTGCTCATAACTTTGCTCAGAGACGAGTCTCTTTTACTTCTGAGTGAGTGAATGTAACTTTGCTCAGAGATGAGTCTCTTTTACTTCTGAGTGAGTGCTCGTACTTCGCTCAGAGATGAGTCTCTTTTACTTCTGAGTGAGTGCTCATAACTTTGCTCAGAGACGAGTCTCTTTTACTTCTGAGTGAATGCTCATAACTTTGCTCAGAGACGAGTCTCCTTTACTTCTGAGTGAGTGCTCATAACTTTGCTCAGAGACGAGTCTCTTTTACTTCTGAGTGAGTGAATGTAACTTTGCTCAGAGATGAGTCTCTTTTACTTCTGAGTGAGTGAATGTAATTTTGCTCAGAGATGAGTCTATTTTTACTACAAAGTGAGTGCCCTTATTAACTTTTCTCAGAGATGCACCTCCTCTGTTAGGATCCCTTTTTGTAATGTACAAAACGCACTTTTCTGTATAATATATAGCAATTTTTCGTAGTAGCTTAAAACGATTTTTCGACCATGAAGGCTCTTGGAAACCCACATTTTCCGGTTTCCGACCGGACCTGCAAGCTGTTGCCATCGAACTTGGCAATTTTTCGTAGTAGCTTAAAACCCCCCTCCTAATGGAAATTTCTGACTACACCTGTAGGCGTGAAAATATCTCATACATAACACTCACCGCAGAAAAGGAAAATCATGATCGTCATAATCAATGTGTAGCCGAAATAAAGAATAGCTGACGTGACTCCTTCGATCGCTAACTTAGTAACGTAGAAATGCATTGCATACAAGAAGAAATAAACTGCTGTAAATCCTGACGTCAGGAACGAACGCCACCACCAACGATAATCCTGGAATGTAAAGGTCAAAGTTGATAGGTCATATGGAAGGAAGTGAATAGGATGACCAGGAAAGATATTCCAAATTGTATGATCGCCTTTTACCTTATCATTTAAGTTATTCCCTGGATTAAGAACGAGTCTAAGTATAGCCTTCAGTTTAATAATACCCCCCCCCCCCATCATGCTAAGCGTTGGGAATACACTTGCCCCCGCACATCTGATCACCCTGCGTGGGTCCGTGGGGGTAATCACGTGCAAGAGAGTTGGTGGACTCCTCTCCACCTTAGGGTGGTTCAAATAACTGCTGGTAATTTAGTTGAATTTATTACTCATCGATCTTGAGATCGGTAAGTATATTGATAGGTATTTGTCTGTATGTCTGTCTGTCTGTCTGTTAGATGCACGCGATATCTCACGAAAGCGAGATTGAATCTGCTCCAGATTTTGCATGTGCATTCATCTTATCTCGGACCAGAAGCCTATTGATTTTGGGCGAATTATGTCGTATAATTAGCGAGTTATCAATCAATTATTGATATAGTGATCTAGATTTTTGTAAGGCGAGAGAATTTTGAAACCCGCCGAGTGTGTGTGTGTGATGCGCAGTGCGCAAGTTACAAGAGCGGATGAATCGAAACTGCAGTTTCTGTTTTGGGGGATCCCCTAACTATCGATCGATAAGTCTTCGGTTTCCAACCGATATTCTCGTTTTACATTTGGTTGCATATTTTTTTTATAAGAAATGATCTTATTGACTGATACCCACATAGACGAGATTCAAGCATGGCTTTAAGCGTCCAAAATAGGGTGCTCCGAAGTATGTGTACCAAGATGGCGCACAACCTGAACAAAGTATGTGTACCAGGTTACCGTTCAGGTTGTGCGTCATCTTGGTACACATAATTCCGGAGCTCCCAAAAATAGAGATCTAAGCTAACTTTAAGTTGAAATATTCTCACCTCAGAAGCCAAATGGAAATAGCACAACAGTACAGCTGTCTCACTACAGGTGATGACCAGGATTATGGCAACAAGGAATAGGAAGCCAAACATGTAGTAAAGCTGATGTGACCAGATGGAATGAAGGATGAAAAATAGTTGGATGAAGATGCAACCGAACGGAAGGATTCCACCCATCACGATACAAGATAGTGGTTGCGTGTAGATCAGCTGAGGGGGGATCTGTCTCGGGATTTGATTGGTGCGGACTGGATGCTCAATTGGCTGAAATAAAAATTATCCAATTTAATCTTCTATTTATACTTTGAAAATCTGTATTAGAAAGATGAAAGTTTTATTATGAAAAATAAAAACAACATTTAAGACAGGTTAACCACAAAATAGTCATACGGGTCTACTCGCCTATAATAGCATAAAACATCTATAAAATATTCGATAAAAGTACCACAGTGTAAAATAAATTGTATGCTAGGACAGCAAGATAGAGCTGGTAAGCTATACTCTGAAGATTCTTATTGAATAGTAAATTAGCAACCATGAGCACTTGAATGTTCAATGTGTTGTGAAATGATCTAAAAATGAAATTTCCACAAGAAAAATAGCCAGATCCCGATAGTTCAATATGACAATCTATCTCTTTTCAAAAACCTTTTGTGGAGGCAGATTTTGGTGCAACAATAAAAAAAATTTGGTGCTCCCGAAGTATGCGAACCAAGATGGCGGACATCGGAACGTAACATAGGTAACAGGTTAGGGTTAGGCGATAATTTCTTTCCAATTTTCCTCAGTTTAGTCCTATTATCAGTTCGAAGACTAGCCAAGAGCCTCTCGTAGTATTTATACCTAAAATTATGGCCTAACCCTAACCTAGTACACATATTACATTCCGATGTCCGCCATCTTGGTTCGCATACTTCGGGAGCCCCAAAAATTTTATACCGACTCACAGTATGTAAAATATAAAATATCCCAAATCTATCCGAACAGAAAGCATGAAACTATCTCTTACCCTTTTCTTATATCCAAAGTATGCTCCAATGAATGTCAGAGGAACAGAGATTCCAAACCACAGAGCAAGTACGGCTACGAGAGTAAAGAATGGGATTGCTGCTGAACTTCCAGCTCCCCATAGAATCAGATTCATGAAGAAAAAGACGAGAAAAATTGTTCTGGAAATTGAAGGCAAAGTTATAGATTATAGGAAAGCTACATACGTTGTGTTGGCCAACGTAAGACTCAGGAAACTTCTTTATGTGGTTCATGACAGACTTAGCACCCAGTTATTTTTAAATGGCTTTTCTTATTTGTAGAGGTGCTTTCAACATCTATCCAGTTATTACTTATCGATTTTAATCGGTAAGTATGTTGATAGGTGTCTGTTTGTTTGTTTGTCTGTTAGATGCACGCGATATCTCACGAAAGCGAGATTGAATCTGCTCCAGATTTTGCATGTGCGTTCATCTTATCTCGGACCAGAAGCCTATTGATTTTGGGTGAATTATGTCGTATAATTAGCGAGTTATTAATTAATTAGTGATGGGACACAAGGTGTCACTATGGAGTGAGAGCGCTGTTTTGAGGGATACCCTAACTTTCGATCGATAAGTCTTTGGTCTTTGACCGATATTCTCGTCTTATGTTTTATTCAAAAAACACATTGAAAACATGTGTACATATTTAATCAATTTAAACAATAAAGAAATGTAAATATTCAAAACAACGCGGGCAAGATAAAATCTAACATATATTTTTATTTTCAATTAGCTTCACTCCCTCAAAAAATTGTCTATGCCCTCTTGTGGGGCGCACCCCACCGTCAGAGAACCACTGGCCTTGGTCAGGGTGGTCCAAGGTTGTCAGCCTCGCAGGCCACAATAGTGCCAAGAACAGGTAAATGGTGCAATACAAAACAAACACTTTTATTGTCCAAACACATTGATCTTTATTTGTTCTTACATTTATTCTAAGCTAAAGCGTGCGAAAAGCTTACTATATCCACATTTGGTTCTACATTTCAAACTCTTCATTACGAAGAATGTGCCACAAGAAGAAAATGCCGTATTAGATTCTCACAACTCACAAACGTATTAGGTGGTATTAGCCCTCCCATATCCAGTCAAAAATCTGTGTGAATTGGTCAGATATTCCGGCCAAAATCTCGACCAAATAATATCAATTAATCATATAAAAATATTAATTACTCACCCAGAGACTAAGAAGGACGTCATCATGACATTGGTTTTCCATCGCTCGCCTCCAAATGCTGAAAAAAAAATTTCATTTTTTTAGGAGTTTCAAAAAGTTGATGTGATAAGCCTATTAGTAATGGGGGATATAGTTGGGTATGTCTCAAACGTATGTTTCCACGGGTATGTATACCTTTCCGGAGGAAAGAATTTTTGAAGTGTACTTGTCTTAGAGTCTGGATAATATTTGATATGTAAAGAATCAGCGAGTATTGATTATCATTTTTTATTAGAAAACTTTTCCATCATAGCGGAAATTACCAAACACAAAAAATCCACCCATTTGAATTAATAATAATTGAAATCAATTGGAACATGGAATTTTGAACTATTTCAGGTATGAAGCGTTTCGACCTAAATATACAAATTCACGCCAAACAAGAGTTATCAAAAGTTTGAATTCCAAAGAATTCCAGTCCATGGATTTTTTTTAAAAAAAAAGGGGGGAGAGGGGGTAAAAATATAAATTCAGCGCCCCCATAATTCACATGCAGCAATAACAATAACAAAATTATTCCTGTGAAAATCGCATCTTAGTAGCGACTTTTTAGGTCATCTCTAAATATTTTAAAAGAGGGTTACGACCCCGGAAACTCCCCAACTGTGCCACAGTTCCAGGCCCCTTCCAAAACAATACACAACTATACTCACTTTTATAAAATCTTGCTGAAGCGTAACCTGACAGAATTCCAAGGCAAACAAACAATACAACGGATGTCGTACCGAGTGCCCCACGATTTGCCGGAGATAGGAATCCCAAACAAGCGAATATCAAGGTTACAAACACCATCACGTAAATCTGAAAATGAAAGAAGAAAATTATAAACTGAAAAGCAAAGATTTTATTAATTGTATGAAGTATGAATGTGGAATAATAACCAGAAGCTGGAGTCACTAAATGTCAGTTAGCTCCAACTCCTAGTGTTATGGTAAGCTTGGTTCCGTCTCCAACAAAATGGTAACAGTGTCTAGAGGGGGGCCAAAGGGGCAGCCGCATCGGGCAGCACTTTATAGAGGTGATTTTGTTGCTCAGTTCGATGATTTAATTAGTAATATTAACAAACATTTCAATCTCACTAGGCCTTTACTTCATTTAATATCATGTAAAACAACATCTATAATTTGTGAACATCTATTTTTGAAGTTAGGTATAGGGGGCAGCATTACCAAAAACTCGCCAGGGGCAGCAGGTAAGTTTGACACGCCACTGCTCTGGTAATGACATTTCCCATTTCATGAATGGTCGCTGACAAATAGAGCAAATCACTGCAGTAAATTCAAAGTAGTCTGTCACATTTTTCAGAACTGGACTTTTTTCTGTCATTATGGACCGTGCCACATTTTGATCTTTCTTTTTATTTCTCTATTTTATTAAGCTCTTTTAAATTTGACTAATCAAAAAGCGATGTGATAAACTGAAATAAATAATCGAATTCAATAACATTACCTGTATCCCAACTCCATTAAGAACAGCCAATAACATTGGTTTCTTCGGAGATCGGAAGACGTCGCCGTGAACAAGTTTCCAACCAAATTCCTCTTGGGCTTCATCCTGGAAAAAAAAACATTGTTACTATGATGTATGGCGGCAGTGAGCAACTTTAAAAACAGAAGGGCCAGACACAAATAACCGGGTGAAACTGAGGGCCGCATTTTTATTTGACATAAGCCTACTAGTAGTTCCAGGAACACAAAATTTGCTTATTGATCTTATGACATGCGTTGTCGCTTTGCTGCACAAGCTAACTGTTAGGGCACTGTGAAAAAGTCATAGGCATAGATAAATAGTATGACACATTCCAGATTAATCTAAATTAAAAACCTGTTTCGGAGGCCGCACAACTTCATTTGACCTGCGGGCTGCAGGTTGCACACCCCTGAGTTAGAAAGCTATCCAAAGAGGTTAAAAATATGAAACAGACCCAACGACTTACCTGAGATTCTGTTTGGTTGTATCTCGCGATATCTTTATGAAGCGATCGAATCATAATCATTGCGACCATACCGGACAAAAACAACACGATAACCAAGGAATTCATGATAGAGAACCATTGAATATTTGTATTTGGTAAACTGTCCAACACATAATCCCATCTTGACGCCCATTCAATTTTATCATCTGGCTGTAAATTCAAATTTTAAATTTAGGGATAAAAACGTTAAACCGGTAAAATTTAGCTAAGTTTATAAAAAACAGAATAAGGGTTTACTCATCTAGCCTTACAATGAGTGAAAATTGATAACCAACTTATGATTACCACAAGCATACACTAAGAAATGAATATGACTTTCAATGGATAGGATTGTTACATATTTATCTCGGGTAAGAGGAAAGTCCATAAGACAGCTTAAACCTATGGAAAACCGTGACCGGTTACCAGTCCATGTAGAATATGAGATTAGTTAGCCTTACAATAAAATATAAAATTCACAAACAAGTGTGAAATGTGGAAATTGACGAGCATTTCCTGACTTGAAAAAATTTCCGGCGCTCCAGAAGTGTGTGTACCAATATGGAGGTAACTAATTTTGTTCGCCTACTTTACATCAAGTTGTGTAAAAGGACTTAACCCATCAGCAGAGGGTATATTCACTTGGTTAACACAAACAGTCCCCAAATTCCCAATAGAACTAAAATGAGAAAAATCAGAATAAAATTATGAGCATTGTAACGTCATAGGCATAGATAATAAAATGGACTTGCACGTGCCAGATTAAACTAAATTGCAAACCCGTTTTGCGGCCCGCACAAGTTTCATTTGAGGGCCCAATTTAGCCGGCGGACCGCGGGTTACAAACCCCTGCAACCCCAACCTGGTACACACACTACGGAAGTACAGAGTTTACAGTCTACATATATGACTAGAATGACTTACAATAAAATATACGCTGTAAGTGTAAGGAATCGTCACATCATCTTTATTATCCTTCAGAATTCCTAAAGGTGCACCAGAGCATTTATCGTCTTTGTAACTGAAAAGAAATATAGAATTGTAGGAGACTATTATTGAACACGATGTGTACATATTGGTAGTTTTGTAACATTATTGTTGTTGCCGGAAAATTGCTCTTCTTTGCAACTATACAGCCTAATGTTGCGATCCCGGGAAATCCAGATTCTGAAAATGCGTAATGCGGTATGCGGCCATCACTCAGCCTTACAATAATGAAGGCACCAAGTGAAAATGGCAAAAGATTAAAAACAGCAACAAAAGCAAAAAATCATCAAATTTTCAAAACATAAACAGCCAGATTAGGATTTTATTCGAATGAGAAAAAATCTGAGTTTTGACAAGGGCCAGAGTAAATGACTTAGCGCAGGAGTCCGCAATTTTTTGTCGATCGCCAGCCAAAATTACAGGTTACAGGTCATTGGCGGGCGGCACATATTTTTAGAAAGTTGAAAACCGAACGGACGATACTTTTTATAATAAAAATCATGCAGTGATCTCTCAAATAGAATATAGAAATATTTTCGTATTGCATTGCATCTCAAAAATACCATTTAAATATTTTCGGCGCCATTGAACCCTTTGCACTTAGCATCAACTTTTCTGCGTTTTGTTGCCATTTGTCTAATTACAATTATATTATAAGCTTATTAAACGAATAATTGTGAATTTTATACTTGGATTATAATATAATTTAGTCTACACGTGTCCCACAATAAATTTTGTTACGTAAAGAATAAAATCGTCAAAACTCCTGTTTTGGTATTATAATTCAGTGAAGCGTCGCGGGCCGGATTATATTACTCCGCGGCCCGCGGGCCGTAGGTTGCCGACCCCTGGCTCAGCGGATCGAGTTGTTGGGCAGCCAATGTTGCATCAGAAAGATTAAGGGCCGTCAAAAAATAGTTACTCCTTACAGATTCTTATATATAAATGACTGCCTTTGCACAGCCTGGTGCGGAGGCGCGAATATGGGATGAAAAAGTCTGGCAAAACATTAATATACACCAGGGCTTCCCAAACTAGGGGTCGTGACCCCACAAGATGTCACAAAAAAGAGTACACAAATTTCACATAGAGAGCTGTATTATTTTAGACTTTTGATTCAAGACACAATTATTAAGACTAGTGCAAAACATAAATCCCCTATTTTGAGAGAAAACATAGGATCAGAGAAGCGTTGGCAATGCCGACTGATTATTATGCCGAATTTGATTGTTATACCGTTTAGGCATTAACAACATTGGAAATGCATATTTCGAAATGTTTGGCATTTTAAACGTGAACAGGTGTCGTGGAAAGTTTTAATATACAGGGTGTCCATAGAATCCCTTTACAATTTGAATTTTTTTATGGAGTCAGTTCTCAATATATTTTAACCAGGTTTGTTGTTTTTTAGTAATTGTTAAGTACTTTTACTTCATCTGATACATCTGTGAGGGCCAAAACAATATATGGTATTGATAAATTCCCTTTGCAATTTTAAAAATTTATATTACCCCATGGACACCCTATATTGGAAGGGGTTAGAGCAGGGGTGGGCAACATACGAGATTTTGAACAGCCCGCTGACTGTACATCGGTACCAGGGATGGCCAATTCGAATAAAGTATTCGAATGTATTCGAATATCTCGTCATTCGAATATCGGAATTCACGTTCATAAGAATATCGGATATTTGTGTGACGTCACACATTTTCGACGCCGCTTCCAAGACGTTTCCGTTGAATGACAACATTCTCGATAGAAACTTGCGCGTGATTGTTTTCATCATTCATCAGCGTAACAAGTTATTTGGACCTGTAAACGCCTTTACGGTTGGTTATTTTCTATCAAACGAAAATTTTCCACAAATTTGTTCCACGATAACGATAACATTTATTTTATTTTTGTACGCGCACGGAATTGTGAATCTGGTAAATACGTTCATCGGCGCGAGTTTCTAAAGACAACGCAACTTTTTGATTGAAAAGGGACAATTTAAAATACTGAAAATAAAACTGTAAACAATACAAGTTTTATTGAGGCCCGCGAAAATTTAAAAAACGCTTTTCTAGGCAGTGAAAATCGCAAAATGTCGTGTGCCTCTGACACACATTATGTTTGGTCGACGTTTAGAAATATATGGTCACTAATTGAGGGCGGGATTTGCCTGATTATCCATTACTTTAAATTGCCGTCGAATATTTTCTGTTAACACTATACAAGGTTTAAAACGCGACTTTTTCCCGAGTTGTGAGGATGTATATAATATAATTAATCTAAAGTATATTCAATCAATTTTATTGTAATGAAATAAATTTTACTCTGAGATATTACAGCATATTTATTAATAATATTCATTAACAAGTACATCTAAAAATCTGCCGGATTCGCAAAATACGGATCAAAACAATATTTAATCGGACAGTTTACCTCCCGTTTTTTTTTTCTATGACCGCGGATTGCAATGGTATATAAGAGTGGTGGGGATTTTATTTTGTCGACGCAACCGCAGGTTAAATTGAAGACAATAAATTAATAAAGCAAGACATTTTAAATATGCCCGTGTCGGTCACGAATTCATCACTTTGCACAACAGAAAAATATATATTCGTTGTTATAATATTTGTTGTAAAAGTCGACTCTTTTAACAGGTGGCATAATCAGGCGATGAATATGTATTTTTAAATTACTGCTAAACTTCATATGTATATTCATTGTATGAAATGAATTATACTCTACACTTAACAGGATTTTATATAATTATTTGAGATTTTTCTAACGGCGATAACGAGTTGGCAAGATTGCAAAAATACCTATCAAAATTAAATACATCAGGCAGTTTATCTCGTAATTTTAGGTCACAGATCGCCGTGGATCGAATAGTATTGTTTTTTTTTGACGTAAGAAGAAGCAACCGCGAGTTACGTTGGACACATTAAATTAATATATAATGATATTTTAGAATCTCGTAGTTGTCATATTTTACGTAACGGAATGATCATTATACGCTGAAAAGACGGCTCTTTTAACGAGCGTGGAATCTCGGTGGGTGTTACAGGCGGCAATGGGAATTTCCCAATTCGAAAATCCAGGCTGCGCTCTGGCAGTGGTGGTCATCTATTCTCTACTAATTCATTTCTAATTTCAAACACAACAATATGTTACACACAATAACAATATGGTTCACATAAATTAATATACAAATATACTGGTAGGTAGCCTAGTAGAATACTCTAGGCTTAAATATTAGAATTTTTGAAGACATAATGGATTTTCGATTGTTGTTGCCTGTATTGCCAATAAATTTTATTACTCTCAGAAAATATACACAATCATCTGAATACAAGTAGTATTTTTGTCAATAGACTTGACTATTATCGTAATATCATGGTACCAATGATGGAAAGCGTCGGACAACCCCTTAGCTATCTTTTCATATGGTCATTTGTACAAAGTGAATAATTTTAATAAACTGACTGTGTCACAAGTTGCTATTTTTTTATTGATAGCTATAAACTATCAATTACTTTGTGTACATATACTGTTGGTTTGTGGCTTCATTCTGATATTTCTATTGAAGCTTATTTCCTAATTTACTGGGTTTTAATCAACTAAAACAAAAATGTGTTATTTTCGATTTTAGAATGTATTCGGAATTCCAGATTCGAAAACATTATTTTAGAATGTATTCGGAATAGTTTAGTATTCGGAAATGGCCATCCCTGATCGGTACATTATGATATTACATTATTACACTTTTAGTACATTATGATAAATTCATTATGTGTTTTTTGGTTATTTTTTTGTAGTTCAAACTTTACTTTAAACGCGATTTATAATTTTCTTTCTTGCATTAGCGAATAAATATGTGATTATTAAGATATTGAATACTATTCATGTTATAATCCGGCCCGCCGAGAACTTCATTTTCCCACATCTGGCCCGCCGACTAGAGAAGTTACCCACCCCTGGGTTAGAGCTTAAAAGTTTGGGAAAGCCTGGTATACATCTTTACCTTCTAGGATCCACGGTCACTCGAACCAGTCTGGCCCCGACCCAGTCCTTTGCTTTCCCGCTGTGATATCTGATCTTTATGTCAACATGGTTGAATACATAGAACGTCTGCGGATCGATGAAAGTTTTAGGCTGTAACAAGACAGGAAAATGTTTAGAGCAAGGGATGGACGAACAACGATTCTCCAAAGCAATTCATGCTCTCGAAAAAAGATTTTTTCCAGCTACAAGCAAAAGTTAGATTTATTTTTCAAGTGTCAAGCTGAAACAAGACAAGAATACTTTTGATGGGTAGCTGGAGCCATACCTTTTTATTAGAGATGGAGCTGGAGCATTTTGATTTGAAAGTTTGAAGCTCAATTTTGAAATATGAGACTATTATATTGTAGTTTTAAGTCCTGAACATCCATGGCTATGGAGCCGAAGTCATTACAGGCCTATGGGACGTTTCCAAAATTGTTGTTCTTGTTGGATTGGAACATTGTTGTTGTAAAAACACTTTACTACTAGAACAATCAATTTAAATTTTTAGAACTCAAAGACGCCATTACTTTTTCAATATTGTCTTTTCTTGCATTAGGTATGATTATTTTTTTACCCGATTGGAGTATTTGGTTGTATTAAGATAGGGTTTGACCATTTGTCTATAAGAAGACCTGCAAGTTGGTAATATATTGAAACTGATCAGCCCTGAAACAAGAATCTATTTCTTGACCACCCGGTATATAAAACAATACATACGTCCATCTGGCAAGCATCTTTCTGGCGGCCTTGCTTGTCCACAAAACATCCAATCGGGAATCCTGTGCTGCAGTATTGCTGTCCTACACTTGTCTTGTAGCACCAGGCTACTGGCATGTTGTCCACAATCCTAAATAAGAGAAATTGATTGAGATTTTTCATGCGAGACACTATGATAAATTTACATGAGAATAATGGCAAGGCGGCTAAAACAGGAAATCTAATAACATTCTGGAAAATTTTTAAATCCCAACAGAGGAATATACTGGCTGGTCGATAAAAAAGCAGAAAATTTGAGGGTCAGATGAGAACACAAATAAAATGCGTGCTTACTCATTTCTTTTTTGACACGCTTTTGTTTCTTTTAGGTTTTAGGTTGTTTTAGGTTTTACTAGGTTAAGACTACATGGAGTGTGTAAAGGTTTGAAACCTATGGGCAGGGGGTTCACTTGGCCAACACAGACATTCCCCGATCTCGTAATAGAACAAAAATAAGGAAAATGGGAATAAAACTATGGCGTAACTCTAACCTGGAAGATACACTACGGGAGTAGGCCTACCATATTATGCTATAAAAAAACTAAATCTGCTTGCATATAGCCGTGTATAGAACAGTACAAACAGACTTACCAATGGTTCTCATAGCTGAATAGCATTCCATATTTCAGGAATTCCACCTTCTTCTTGTCTTCAGTGTTACTCATTTTGTAAGATTTTGTGCAAACTTTCACACAAGTTTCATTCTTATCAAAACTGAACTGAAATGAGAAACAAAATTTTAGAAATAATATAACCAGAGAAACCAGTATTAGAGAGGTCAGAGTTTCAATTTAACAAAGAATCTGGGTAACTTAAGTCACCAAAATAATATAACTCAGTCTCAGACTCTTGAGCGCTTGCCACCGCACCACTGATTACTTATCGATCGTAAGATCGGTATTTGTCTGGTTGTGTGTTTGTCTGTTAGACACTTTCGCATGTTACTCGATATCTCACGAAAGCTGAATCTCCTCCAACTTTTGCATGTGCATTCATCATATCTCGGACCAAAAGCCCATTAATTTTGGATGAATTATGTCGTATAATTAGCAAGTTATTAATTAATTAGTGATGGGACACACGATGTCACTATGGAGTAAGAGCGCATGAATCGATCGATAAGTCTTCGGTCTCCGAATGATATTCTCGTTACCCTGTTTACAGGTTTGAATCCTGTGGGAGATAGTCATGTGCGAGAGGATTGCTGAACTCCTCATAGCCGTAGGGTGGTTCACATAACCACTTGTCGTTTATGACTTCTTTTGCCATCACGGCCATGCATATGAAACAAATAATTAACTAATCCCATACCCGACATGGACTGGCAACCAGACGAGAGGCCGTGGTTAAATGGCTCGGGTTCCAAATAGCGACTGTCAGAACAGCGACTGCCATAATGGCGACTTCATAATAGTGACGTAATCAAGTGAGCGACTGTCAATAGAGCGACTACACGACAACAATTCATTTAAAACAGCGACTACACGACAGCAATTAATTTAAAACAGCGACTGCCACAAAAGCGACATCACTTCCTTTATTAAATCTAAGGCTTACGCGCACACGCACTCTTTCACCCTCGACCCCCCGCTCCGCCACACACACATTCCATCTTCCACACCCTAACCATAACTTTGTTTTGTCATTCTTGTACAAAAAGTTAAGTCGCTATCATAACAGTCGCTGTTTTTAATGCAGTCGCCCTGAAGAAGTCTGACCTTGGTCAGACAAAACGTTACAGAAATATATTTGTGTTAGTGTGCAGCAAGACTCTTGAATCACTTGCCATTATGACAGTCGCTGTTTTGACAGTCGCTCACTTGATTACGTCGCTATTATGACAGTCGCTATTATGACAGTCGCTATCAGGCCTGTATGCCAGTTAAATATGTAAATCTTATCTTATGTAATCAAACACCAACCTGGTATGGTGAGGTGTGAATCCTCTCACCGAAAAGGACTTGTCCCAGATTCTCTGAGATGCCTTTTTGCCCAGTACCCTCTGGTGCTTCACAAAAATCAAACGAGCTGTAGTCGTACGGTATAACACTTTCTGCTGACGTCAATCTGTTCACGTACATGTAAATTTTGTTCTGAAAAGGAATTTTATAAGAGTTATACTGATAAGAATAGTGGGTATAAGATGGCTTAGAACAGCGTTTTTTCAACCTAAAACCGGGGCACCTGAAATTTTTCCTAGGTCGCTTGCTTTTTTTGTTAAAAACCTAAAATTAACTACGGTAATTTTTTATAGTAAATTTTATTGTTTATTTTATATTTGGTATTAAAGTGTTGCTCAATAGTAATTGTATATATGGAGAGTATTATTTCGTAAAAAAAAAAGGCAAACATGCGCAACTTTCTCCCTTTAAAGCAATTTTTAGGGAAATAAATGTTATATAAAATTGATTGTTTTATGTTATTCATTTAATTTCGGTCCCAAAAGTACTACAAGTTTAACATTTGAGCATCTCCTTGGGTCACGAATTATACAAAATCTATTTTTTGACAATTGGATATCTTGATAAAAAAAGATTAGAAACACTGGTCTAGAACAGTGGTTTAATTAATTAGTAAAATAATAAAAATTTATACATTTTGATTTTTCTTAGCTTGTTTTCACTTTAGTTTTTACCGAGTCAGCAAAGCAAAGTGAGGAAAGAATAAAAAGTTCCAAAACGAAAAAGTTTGGGATTGCATTCATTTATTGAAAACTTCAATATATTCATCTAATGTGATAGATGCCATTATTCATCGGCAACCAGCTGTTCAATGTCTGGTGGAGTAGTAGATAATGCACAAAGGCAGCCAGATTCAAAATCAGGTCGATTTCCTGCTTTAGATTTTATTTTTATTGTTTTTGATTTGGATTTGTATACCTCTGAAACAAGGAAATTCACCCACAGGGTGAATATACCTCAGATTAATAAATACTGGTTTTAGGAATCTCAGCCAGATGACAAAATTGAATAAGTTACTATCAGGGATACATTCTGAAATAATCTCCAGGAGTGTGTGCACCAATATGGAGGTAATTAATTTTGTTCGCTCACTTTACATCAAGTTGTGTAAAGGGACTGAAACCTATTGGCAGAGGGTATATTCACTTGGCTAACACAGACATTCCCCGAACTCGTAATAGAACTAAAATAAGGAAAATCAGAATGAAATTATAGCCCAACCCTAACCTACACATGGGACTATGATGGGAGTTCCCACAAAATGAGCCTTGTTCAATGAAGAATATGCAATAGTTGATGTATATTCAACAAGTTTGAATCTTGTTGCAGAAAAGAAATTAGAAATCAAATGGTTTTAATGTGCGACTTTGTGAATTGCTCGAAAAATATTCCAAAATCAGGAATATTTGACATTGGACAGAATTGACAGACAACACTGCATTATTATCCACAAAGTCCAAACCAAACTGAATTGACAATTCAAATCAATTTGAAATGATTGTATCAATATTAAAAATTCCTGATTTTGGAATAGTTTGAGCAATTTAAATTGAATCAATATTAAAATATTTATATCTTTCGTATTTTAAATCCTTAATTTTGAGAATAATTTATATACTGTGTGACAGCATTGTTGATAAAAATAACGCCAATTTATTTTAAAACCAGCATATCTATCTAACCGATTGTAATTTGGACTGTGTTGCTGCTCTCACAGAACAAACACAGGAAATCAACCCGGTTAAGGAAGGAACTCGTATGTAAAACATAAATCATCACGAAATATACTAGAATGAATCTACATAACATGGCTCGATGGTTGCCAGTTGCCACATCATGCTAAGTGCTAGTGACCCATTAGGTTGTCCGGTCAGCTTTCCTCTCCTCGTAATGGATGTGTAAATCATGTCCTAACTTAAAATTGAAAATTAATATTGCACCAAACAAAAGCACAGAATATTTAGAATATTTGCGTTCTGACAAACATTTTTACTCAATTATTGTATGAATGAAAAATGTAACTAATGATAGTAATTAGTAATTAATTAGCCCGCCAGCTGCTCTGGACTAACTTGGCAATTAGAAAATTCAAAACCCTCCCTCTGAAAAAATATTCCTGGCTTAGCCCCTGTTAAGTGGTTTCAAATCAGAGTGAATAACGGGATTGAAATTTTGAAAAAATATTAACTGAAAAAATTTGCAAGGAAATAGGTGCTCTGTTCTCCATCTATTTAGTTCTCTATTTATATAGTTTATTAAAGCAATACTCAATTCAAGTATTTTATAAAAAATTACAGGAATTGAAAATCAAAAATATATATTTTCAATTTCTCAAAATCGTTTTTTTTTTCAAGTTTCACCTATTTGAATATTCTGTTTGCACATTTTCGCAAGGTTTCCAGTGGTTTTCCACAGTTTTTGCAAGGTTTTTGCTGGTTTTTCACTGTTTTTACAAGGTTTATGAAACTAAACCATCCAATTCAAATCATGTTAGTAAAGAGAGATCGCATACCAAAGTGGCACTCAATATTGTTTTAGGGTATTAGGGCTTCAAATAAGACAGACTTCTAAACTTACAACATACACGTGTAAGCAAGTTTATACAGAAATATAGATTTGCCTCAGGCAATTTTAATTTGAAAACGGATGAAAAAAGATAGACCACGAATGGTAGTAGCAAGGATGAACATTCAAATTCAAAATATGTATCGAACATTTGGTACTCCCGAAGTATGTGAACTAAGATGAAGGACACTAGAACGTAGTATGTGTACCAGGTTAGGGTTAGGACCTAATTGGCTAGTCCCGGAAGTCGTAATAGAACTAAAATAAGGAAAATAAGAGTAAAATTATGGCCTAATCCTAACCGGTACACATACTATGTTCAGATGTCCGCCATCTTGATTCACATACGATACTTCGCGAGCACTGAATATTTCGATTTTAAAAAATTGGAATTAATATTTTATGAAGGGAAATATCATCAAATTAAAAATAAAACCCGCGTTCATATCACTTGAGTGAAAGAGATATTCCAAAAATAAAATGTTCTTGAATGTCAGTTGTTTGTGGTTAAAAGCCTAGTGACGACTGAGTGCCTTGGAACCTAACTCTGTTAGCAACACATAATGTTAAAGAAACTATTTTCATCTGTTCCAAGTAGGCAATAATTTAGAAAATGCCAATAAGCTTCCAATTGCGAGACCCTTTTACAATCATTTGCATTAATTTAAGAGTTCGGCGCTCCAGGAGTATGTGTACCAATATGGAGGTAACTAATTTTGTTCGCCTATTTTACATCAAGTTGTATAAAGGGACTGAAACCTATGGGCAGGGGGTGTGTTCACTTGGCTAACACAGACAGTCCCCGAACTCGTAATAGAACTAAGATAAGGGAAATCGGAATAAAATTATGGCCTAACCCTAACCTGGCACACATACTACCGGAGTACCAAGATTTTTCCATCAGTTAAGCCTAAGATAGATTACTTGTTATGCTCCATTAGTTGAATAAGTATCTTCATCACCAAGTCCTCAGTCAACAAATCAAATAATAACTTAACTAAACGACTAACAACCGATTTGATAGGAGGTCGGACTGGCCATACGGTCACTAAATCAAAACCACTCTTCTAAGTGGGTTATTTTTACGTATTCACAATGGCAATTTAAGTTGAGTTACTATGATACGAATCCACCAGTGAAAAAGCATAGAATAAAGACAAGTGGTTGGTCCAACAGAAACCAAATACGTAACACGAGATACCATAGCTTTGCAAATTTCAATTTAAAAGTAAAAAAGCCCCTTACCTTACACTCAGTTGTCTCCTTTGGACAGTAACTATGCGGCACCAGTCCAGGTAGATAGAAACCGTATGTTGCTTGCAGACATAACAACACAAAGGTGAAAGAAACAATTCTGGAACCCATAGTATTTTTAAAACTATAATTCCTTAGAATAGCAAAACAACGGAAATATTATTATTCACACGAAATAAATGTTTAGGAACTAGCGAATAAATAAGCATGAAGACAGTCGGAAAAGCCATAGTTGTATAATTAGACTATCTTGAACCAAAAAAACATGAAATGGAGCGGAACTGCCAGAATTTCACAACCCTATTTGGGTTAACAATATTCTGTCCATCAGATTTAAGAACTTGCAAATAAATACCGGTAATCATAAAGACAGTTGGAAATGTAATTGGTTGTACAAAATATTCAATCCAGGTATCAAATACTATCTTGAAGCCAAATAACATGTAATGAAGCAGAACTGTCAGAATTTTACAATCTTAGTTAGGACAGTTGCAAGTCTTTAGTATGGAGTAGAGCACACTAGTTAATATGGTATTGGAATTCTGCTTGAATCAATAAAAAGATTCACTGGAGCGAAACTGCCAGAATTTCACAACCTTAATTAGGTTTTAAGAATATTCCTTTCATCAGAATTTCAATTCCACATATACGGGTGTGGTACTACACCACACGAAGCATTTAATAATTTGTTGGCTTTAGTTCTCGTTAATATCAGACAAATTATTATCAAATTTTGAATTATACATTAGAAAATATATCAGGGTTTTGAACTCCTGTGCAGAACTTTTAATTATACTTCAATTATACTATGGAAGCCTTGTCCAAATGGGTAGATTGGGAGCGTTTCCTCACAGAAAAAGCACTGAACATTGACTAGTTTGGAAAAAATTGTCTAAACCAGGGAGTACTATAGCTGTCAGGTTATGCCTCATTGAATTTGATGACAGGTTTCGGTCAAATTATACCAAAGCAGATTACACTCTAATATTTTGAAATTTTTGATTGAAAATATTATGAATCCGTGTATAGAAGAATAAAGCATTCAAAAATATAATATATATTAATAATCAAATTTCTTGCAGGCATTTTGGGTCAGTGTTACTAAATTACTTCCAACAGAGTGACAGTTACAGCATCAATGAATCTTACCATTGCTTAACAGTAATACAAATACTAGAATATTCAAAATAATAAATTTGGAACAGTAAATACAAGGCCAAAATTGTGGTTGAAAATTTCCGCAGGTGAAAAAATGAAACTTATTAACATATATTAGTCCAAAACCTATCTCAATCACACAAAGAAATTCATAAATCAGCTAAATAAGGGCAATTAGTGATATCTCCTACAGCGGCAAGACTTTTCTTTCCTCCAAAAACTTTCTTTGCGACTCTGGCTACTTGAGATGTCGTCACAGCGTCAATTTTCGCTGATATTTCTTGTGGCGACACAGCTCCACCGAGAAGAGAAGTTTGAACCGCAACATCGCTTAAAACTGATTCGGAACATTCTGCTTGCATTAAAATGCCTGATTTGAGACTATTCTTTCCTGCAGCCACTTCTTTGTCCGATATGCCACCCTCTGCCATTGCTCCGAGTTCCTCTCTCACTGCTGACACCGCATGGCCGATACTAGCGGGATCTGATTTGATGTAAACTCCTATGAGACCAGCGTCGGAATAATTAACATTATATGCTGAGGTTGCAAATACGCCGTCAACTTTCTTACCAACAGCACTTCCGATACGATCTGTACGTCCAGATTGTCGTTTTACGTTACTACTCGAGTCAAGAATATTCTGTACTACAGCAATAGCAATCGCATCTTGGTCATTGAGTGCCGAGCCGCAAAACGAAAGGCCGACATGAGCTGCGTCCCCTCTCTCGTGAAGTCGAACCTCGCTTGAAATGAACTCCGACGGCTTACCAGTCGATCCTCTTGATGGCAACTCAAAAGCAGTCTCAGCGACATCGCAGAGCTCGTCGTGGTTTACTCCGTTTCCCGCAAGCACCATGTTGGCCAAGTTGTAATTGGAATTGAAAAATTCTTGCGCCATTTCTGTTGTATGAGAGCCAATCATGCCTTCAGGGGATATAACAGAATTTCCAAGCCCCCCACGAAACGATGCTTGGTGCACTGCTTCAATTAGATTAAACGCTGGGTCAGTGTTTGCGTGAGCTAACTGTGTTTTCATGGATTTGCTTATTTGATCTAGTTCCCACCAGAAAAAACTATTCCGACAGACAGACGGTGCAACGACTTCTGTAATAAGGTCTCTCCAAACACGTCGTCCACATTTCAAATTGTAAGAAACATGTTCCCTTGTACCTGAGACTGAGAAATCTCCTCCAAAGTTGCCTAGCAACTGAGTGTAATGCCAAGCAGTATCCTTGTCAGAGCTAAGCAAAGCACCGGCGCGAAGACAATGTGAAATACCTAAATTTGAAGAAGGGTTTTCGTAGCGACTTCCAGCTTTTGCTAAGAGCATAACATTTGCATGAAGTGATGGAATATCGGTTGTAACAACAGTGATGCCATTCTTTACTTTTGTTTTAGATATTTGACCATCATTCGAGTCTTGTTTTGCGACTTGAGAAGAAGAAAATCGTTTCAAGACAGATTGGATATTCTTTGATGCAGCTGGGCTCCTCAGCATCATTTTGAATATTTTGTTACCCAAACTAAGCTACAACAAAACCTGGATTACAAGATTTGATATTTAATGTATACACAGAATATAGTTAAAAATTTGATACATTAATGTCTGAATGTGATATTCTCAGATTCTATAATTAATTTTGAATTTACAATTTCAATCATCCGAAAGGATATTATTTTTTTTATTTAATTCCGAAAATACAGCGCGGGCCACTCGAAACTCCTCGGCAGGCCACATGTGGCCCGCGGGCCACAGGTTGGACGATCCTGCCTCAGACCTTCAAATAAATTTGATTAAATACAATTCCAATCATTTTTGCACCTAATGTATAAGTATAGGATTTATTTTGGACTACTTAACAAATGATAAAGTAATTAATAAAAACTGATTATAGAATCTGGAGAGCAAACAAAACTTCTAGTAAAGTTTATAACGCGCAGAATTTAAGTAAGTAAGTAAGTGTTTATTTCGATTTTCCAATACAACAAAACAATACATGGCAAAACAAACAAATGTACGGAAAATCAGGAAAGTGGGCAAAATCTAAAAAGGATTTAAGACGTGCTGGTGCACGTGCCCACTTACCCCAAACAGCAAACAACACATTGAAGTAAATTGAAAAAAAGGAACACGGAAGAAAAAGAAACACGGAAGTTTGAAGGTTTTACCCAATAAAGTGGTGCGTGTTCACTGACCTCAGAGTATTTAATTACCACACAACTACACCAATATATACGGTGAGGAAGTAATAAATATGCGAGAAATAAATAAAAAAAAGTTGAAAATAAAATTCTGAAATTATTTGACAAATACTGACATACCGGTACTGTATTAACAATTTTATAACATACTACATTTCACATCTATAATCCTGTTGTTACACCTATATTTCTGTATTTTGAGTTTCGTAATTTTTTTAGTTTAGCTGTTTCAGAGTTTGTTAATCAAAGGAATATAATTAAATATATATGTATTGTTATGCTGATTATTGAGTCAAAATAAACTTATACCGGTAATAATGTATTCCTACTATCAATCAACCAATTTTATTTTGGTCACTCTGAAAAAAAAACGGACAAACTAAATTCGCAAATCTGTTGTTTAACTGCAGACAAAGCCAATCAACAAGGAAAACAAGCAGGATGGATTAAGTTATTAGAGGCATCGCTTTCCAATCTCTGAATCTAGCCCGCGGGCCTCATGACCTTGTCAAGAACCCACGCACGACGGCCGCCTATTTTGACTTCTTTACAAGTAGCACGCTTTCTTTAAACATATCAAATTTGCACAATTAACTAACAGTCGAATACTTCACACAAAATATGATAAATGATGAGCACACCTTCTGAAATAAATCAATAAAAATGTAAAATGTCACAGACTAAAACCAAACCGGCGTAACAAGTCACCACAGGTGAGCAAAGATGCGAAGGAAATCGTTGACGGATAAACGTCACCAATGCGATTGAAATTACGATGCAAATTATTTAAACCCGTCGGCGTGTCACGTTTCAAAGAAAAAGATGTAGGCTACGCATGTATGTTAATTTTTGTCTTGTGATGATATGATATACAGAAGGTGGCAATTATTAGTACAAAGAGCGAGTTACATACACAGGATCTTACTGGCCTTTTTTTTACCAAGTTTAAAACAACTCAAATTAACTTATATTATCACAAACGTGAACATCTTTCAATCTGAATTGAAAGCCATCCCAATCAAAATTTAATTTTGAAATAATACAAAACCGACAAGATATTGAATCATGTTTATCGTGTAAAAATCTTTGAAGAAGGCAACAAGAATACGCGCATTTTCAAATTCATGATTTAAATCGTTTTTGCTGCAATTATCGTCGCTATTCTTTATGTGACAACAGCAATTCCAATACGACTGACAAAAGTTTGCTTGCTGATTTACCTTATTAAACTTTCAAACAACGGGTTCCTACTACTGGTTGTACTCGTCGAAATCTTAAAACTCATTTTTATGGTAACAAATAAGGAATTGACAGACGTGAAAAATCTTGTCTTCCCGAATCAAATTTGTTTCTCGCTCTCGAGTTTCTCATTATTTACGTTATTCCCAATCGCAGATATTCGTCGCGAACAATTAGCCAACTCGAATATAATTAGTCCAGTCGCAAACAATTAGTCAACTCGGTGCATTAATTGCGTCCAATTTTCTCATTGTAAGATATAATTGACAGCGTGTATTAGCAATCAGTAATTTATTTCATCAACATACTGAAAATCTAAAAACCAATTCTGGTTATCGACCGTCTGCACCCTTGGAGAAGTCTAATAGAATATGATAAATAAAACAGAGAGCTATGCTCAAATATATGAACACGCGGCCCTACATAGTGGCAGATTTTATTGACGTTATAGCGCACAAAAAAACGAATCCCATACAGCTCACCGGAATATTTGAAATTATTGAAAGCAATAGCCTCATAGCGAAAAATTTTATCTTTGAGCACTGAAAATTTCCAGTCCAGGTCCAGTAATCAAAGAGAAAAGCGATTTTTTCTGTGACAAAGAACAAGAACAACAACAACATAATAACAAAACGATCGTTATGTCTACTAACGTGTTCAATTGAGACGAACTGAATTTGTGATTGAAAAACAATGGGTACGTCAAGAAGACCTGATATATGCCAAGCAGTCGCCGTTTCAACGAAGTGTTCTTTTGACTGTTTTTGGTGAACGGGAACGTACTTTTTTTATTAAGTAGCCTAATGCCCTTTCCTCCATGTCCTCTGCATTTTGTTTGTCCGTTTGTTGTTGTATCGCTTCTTTCAGAATGACCAAAATAAAATTGATTGATTGATTAAGTAAATTATTAGTTTAAGTCCACCGATCCACAAAGAAGGCAAATGAAAGAAGACAAAAAACGAAAATTTTGAAAGTGGTGACATCGGTGGCGATTGCGCAAAGTCAGCTATGGTTGAAACCGCCTGATGTTTTCTTCAGCATGGCGTGGGTATTTGGACTGTGAAGATCGGTATTATATCGATTAACTATATTTAACCATACTGTTCTTATTTATGATATACGATTTATAATAGAATAGATAGGATTTACATATTCATCCTGGGTGGAAAGGAAATCCGATAATACAGCTTAAACATATGGCAAACCACGGCCTCTCGTCCGGTCACCAATTTATGTCGAGAATAAGGTTAGTTAGCATGTGACTTGTTTCAGATACATGGACTTGATGGCGGAGGAAATTCGAAATGCACGATATAACGATCGGGTTAGTTATTTGTGCAAAATAATAATCGAAGTAGTCTACGTATGAGGGGGTTAATTCTTCGACAGAAAGAAAATGGGATGGTCATCGTTAGCTGTAAAGAGAGAAAAAACGTGTCATCTATGATCAATTGAAACTCGTAGTTTGTGCTTGGTGCAAACTTCCGTGCGTGAAAATGTGTGCTAATACGCTGGACCGCACACGGGAGTGCAAATGTGAATGGATTACCCTAATGCATGGGTGTGCAACCTTTATTACAAAAGGGCCAGATTCAAGTAGCCTAATTGGGTGAAACCGCAACTCGGACCTTCATTCAACATAGCCTTTCTAGTAGGCCTAGTTGCAAGCACAAAATATTTTTTTTTTGTTTTGATCTTACAGTGTGTAATGAACAAATTTATTGTCACACCGACTTTAAACGAATTCAGTGAGAAAGACGTGTTAGAACATTAGGTATTTCTTTGGCTAGTTTTGCTAATATATATGACAGCGGCACTCAAGTACTGGTAAAGGCTTTACAAAGCAAGAGAATTGAAATTGCTAGCACATAATAGTTTAACTGAACTAAAAACTCGTTTCATGGACTCAACTTTTAAAACTGGCACTTCTCTGCGGGCCGCACAATATTTCATTGCGGGCCGCAGTTTGCACACCCCTGCCCTAATGAATTTCGTGGTAAGAGATCAAGCTATTCCCAATTTACTTTACTTATGCGATGGCAGTCGAATCTCAGCTATAAGGTATAAGTTTATTTCGACTCCATAATCAGCATAACAATACATTTGACAGATAAAAACAAATAAATAAAAACTGATTATGAAATCAGGGGAGCAAACGAAACCTTAGATAAGGTTTATAACGTACAAAATATAAGATGGAAGGTTTTGCCAAGAGGAAGTGGTACGTGTTTACTCACCTAAAATTATTAAGTTATTCCACACACGCTCACACGCACCCACCAGCCACACACACACACACCACTGAGAAGTTATTTGAGTAAGAATAAAACGCGATAAATTTAAGGTATATTATACAGTAAACAAAAAAAAATGAATAAATACTAGAAAAGAAGAAAATTATTTGCCACACCATATTGATATTTTTGTAATGGTTGTCATTGCCAAATTGATCGATCTTCTAATCGTTAATTAAAATATAAAAGGAAGATTCTATTGAAAACATATTGCCAAGCTGATTATAGTAGTCTGACTATAGTCAAATCTAAGGCGTCTTTCCTTATTATGGTTGTGATGCTTGGCGGTTTACCGCATAGTGTTTTTGTTTGGGATCTCGTCCTGCACTATTCACCACTCAAGACTAAATCTCTTCACACATCAACGTTAATCCGAACAGTCGGCAAATGAGGTACTCATTACACAACATTTTATTCCCTCCAAGATCAGTAGACTTAATACGATTTCGGGCTCCCTATAGTACACTATTGAAACATCTAATATATGAATAGTAAATTTTCAGTTGAAAACAATCTCATATTTCAATATCAATCCGAGCGAAATTCACTATTTTTCTGCTTTTTCGTTTGATATAAAACAAGAGAGCTATGCTCAAATATATGGACACGTAGCGCCACTCAGTGGGAATAATTTTGATGACGTCATAGCGAAAAAAAAAGTAATAGCCTTCTGGAGAAAAATTTTATCTTCAACCACTGAAAATTTCAAAGCAATTGGTCCAGTATTCGAAGAGAAAAGCGATTTCTTCAAAACGTGTCAAAGAACAAGGACACTAAGAACAACAACAACATAATATTGAAACAATCGCTATGTCCACTATGTGTCCAATAAGCAAAGTTCACTACATGCGTTTTTTCGGTTTTTGTATGTAGAAGCGTCTTTCCTTAGTCGACGCAATATTTCCACAAAAACCTAGGAAACATATCTTAAGTCTTTCGTAAATAAAGGCTCTACTGTATTTTTAATATAATTCTTAGCAATCATGCTATCCTGTGTTTATCAATCTAAGATTAACTTCTTGAAATATACGACACATGGCCCTACACAAAACATTTCAGCTTCAAGAAAATGTACATCTCCTGCCCCCTGCTATTAAGAACATCTTCAAACAGTTGACGTTTTTCCAGTTTAATATTGCTTCATGATTTTGCTTCATTCGACAATTGAAAATATTTTCAACAATTGTTACACCAACAATCCCCCCTCACACAAAATTTGTTAAAAAACATTGAGCACAATTAAATATATCATAGTCTGCTCGAAACAACTGTCAAAAGTCACAAGGACACCCTGAATAAAAACAAAATATCCAAAAATTAGTGTTTGATGTCTTAATTTTTTTTTCAATTTTGGAATTCGGAAGATCTTAATGTATTTGTTTCAATGGTTCACAAATTCAGCTTGCCAATCATACAGAGAAAATTATATTGTGAAAATCATAGCCATAGGATCTAGGGACGTAATAAAGTTCTCAATATAGAAAGAAATTGTCAATACAAATCTTATGCTTCATCATTAATAAAGCGCTTCGAGATCTGGCAACTAGATTATGGAACTTCAACATGTATATATTTTATACTATAACAATTTATCCCGACAGACATCAATAGAAGACTATTTGGTTAAGAATGAGATAAACGTAAGTGAACATTGGTGAATAGTGCAGCTGGCTCTCTTTCATAGTAGTTTACAAATTTTTATGCAAACTGCCACAAGGCAAGACGCTAGTACACTAAATGACCAATAAAAGTTGTCACCACTAGATTAGACAGATGGGCATAAAGGTATGAAAACCCAATTACCATTGACGATCATTGCAACTAGATGTCAACCAGCTGAAGGAATATTGGAGGTATCACAGATGACCATCAAAATTAGATGGTCAATACAGGTCAGCATTCAAAATGATCACAAAGGGGAAATCCCAACTAATGGCTATCAGAGGCCTGGAGACCGAATGATTATTGGGGTAATCTCAACTAGCGGCCAGTATTTAGAATGTTCCCAAGGGCCATTACAATTTGATTGTCACTGTAGGGCAGCAGACAATGATTATTGAGGGTAATTACATGTAGGTGCCACAGCCAGCAGACCAACTGGTAACCGAGAGCAACCAAAAGGTAAAAATACACTTGGATTGAGAATCATCATAAACAAAAAAAATTTAGCAGAAAAGTTCAAAGTTCTTTTTTTTTGTGTGGAAATTGATTTCTTCCTAGAGTTTTCAAATATTTAATTTAGCAATGAAACAAACACTTCCTATGTCCCTTGAACTTTAACCTTTTTTTGTTCCGGTTGACAGGAGAGCAGTAAGGCCGCTCGCACCGATCATCGATAAGACATAATTGGGGAGGGAGGAATAACTTTTCAGGAGAAAGAATGAGATGGTGATCATGGCAACGAGAAACAACGCGTTGCTGTACAAGATTGAAAGTTGCATCGATTCTGCTTCCGCTATCTCGTTCTTTCTCCAGAGGATTCTGAATTTTGAGAATAAAAAAAACACTGAATGGATGTACAGCAGAGGTGAGCAAGGATTTTGAACCATGGGCCAAATATGTTGTCCACCTAGACTGGCTGGCCATGTAAGTGTGACGTAAAAAGTAACATTTATGGACCAAATTCATAGTGTTACGAAAGAAAAGGTGGAAAACAATATGCCTCATGCCAAAACTAAATTTAACCGCAATCTCAACAAATTCATGAGCTATTTTTTGCTAAAACATCAAAATTCGATTTCGGTTTAGTTGTGGCAGCATCAGGCGGGCCAGATTGAATTACCGAACGGATTTGGCCCTCGGGCCGTACCTTGCCCATGTCTGATGTCAAGGGTGGTCGCTAAAAAGCAGAAGATCAGAAGGTCAGATGAGATCACGACTAAATGCGTATAAGTATAGGTTGAATTGGAACGATATCCCACAAAGTTAACCTTCAAAACGCTACACAAGCTTGGACTACTAGGGTAAGACACTGCTCTGAAGTGCATGGATGACACTTTGAGCATCTACAAGTGGAATACAACATATGCCTTTAAAAAGGAAAAGTTACTCTTTGTAAAAATGAATAGCTGTCTGACAATTTTCTGTTTTTTTGCGACCACCCTGTAAGGTCAATAATTATTTGTGAAAATATCGGCGTACCAGTACTGTTGGAACCAATATGGAGGTAACTAATTTTGTTCGCATACTTCACAGGAGTACCAAAATATCCAGCTCAATCCACAATTCCTTTTTAATAGGAATGAAAAATTAACGACCGACTACCAATGTTCAACGAAGCAAGACCAGTCAGAATATTGCATAATAACATTCCATACTCTTAATGCTGCTCAGTCATGCTTTGGTGATTTTTAGAATATTTTGAATAAATATACCTTTCATCCTTTTCTTTCTTTGATATTTTCTCACTGAGTCGTTCACTGATTTCTTTTGCAATCGGGTCTTCACGTTTTTGTGCGAGTCTGTAACAATGAAAAAAATAAATGATATTTGTGAATATGGAAAGAGGAAGCATATTCAGGGTTTCAAGACAAAAATATTACGTGATAATAGAAGCTTAGAACTGGTATCTAAATATTTCAATGGAATGTGACAATAGTTCACAAATTGAGAATATACATATAATCATTCTCTCAAAACAGCTGTATAAAGTCTCGTCCTATTGGTTGCAAGCAGAACTGGGGAAACCACAAGCGCTTCGGCTCCAGAGCTATAGTGTAACGGTGGCTCCGGCGCTTCACCTCTTTATAGTGAAGCCGAGCTTTAGTTCCGGCTTCATAACCATTGATGATTTAAGTTGTAACCACTACTAGTAAACCATTAAACATCAGCCCAAATGCAGTTTCGTGGCAGTGAAACTTTGAAGTATGACATATGGGGTACAAAATTAAACTGGAACTTGCATATAAACTCAGCTTGAAAATTAATTTATTTGTATGAAGTATCAGAAAATTATTGGTGTGAATTAATAATCAGATGGCTAGGAGCTGGATTGTTCGAGGTGTTTCTACTCCCCTATTACAAAAGAAAGACTCTGTAGAAGAAGACACTAATACAGTGGTCGACAAACTGTGGACCGCCACCCAGTGGTGGGATTCAAATTTTTTGTCTGCCGGTTCCTTCACAAAAGTCATATTTTTCAGCCGATTCAAACAGAACATTGACAGTAACTAGTAATGCTAACCGGTTCGCTGATCTCATAAAGTTTCCTGAGACGGTTCTATAGAACCGGTGCGAACTGGCTGAATCCCATCACTGCCGCCACCCAATCATGAATCAAATTCAAAACTTACTTGTGCTTCAGCTCAAATTTATTGTTCTTGTAAGCAATTGTAATGAGATACATGCTGATTAAAGTCACGAGGACAAATGGGATCGGGGTTTCAACAAGATCCATTTGATGGATGCGAATGTAGAGCCCTGAAAATATGAAATAAAATGATCAATGAAGATTGCTTTTTGTAAGTAGGCAGAGTTCTCCAATTTCAAGATGTCCCGACATTTGGTTCAATACAACAAACACTCTATTTGTCTCTGAAATGGAGGCATCTGACACACAGAAAACGCATCATTTTGGGCTGTGCTTGTCTTGATAATAATTTAAATTTATCATGGCCGTCAAATGACCAAAAATTTTGTTTTTTTGCTGAAAAATCTCGAATGCTACAATAAAATTTTTTCCCTTCGGTAAATCGTATTATTCAGAGTAATCCAATAGTGACATTTCAGACTGCACTCCTTTTTAGTTTAATGCGCTGAGCTGATTTGTAGATATAAGTTGGACCGTCTCCCAAAGGAGGGGTTTGCAGTCACTGTGATAATTGAGGTCTTTCAATGTGGGTCTAATCTTGGAATCGGAAAATGTGTCGTACTCAAGTACAATATACAAAATCAGACAAAGCCGCAATACCTAAATTTCGAAAAATTACATTGCATTACAGTATTAGGCGCGGCGGTGTGGCTCAACGGGCTAAGCGTTAGGAATACGCTCGCCACCGCACCTCTAATTACTCTGCGTGGGTTCGCAGGTTCGAATCCCATGCAGGGATGGTTATGTGCGAGAGGATTGCTGGACTCCTCGCCGTCGTTGGGTGGTTCACGTAACCGCTGGTCGGTTACGGCTTCCTCCACCACCAAGTCCATGCTTCCGAAAACAAACAATACAGTAAAAACTAATCCCATACCCGACTTGGAATGGTAACCAGACGAGAGGCCGTGGTTCGCCATATGGTTAAGCCGTCTTATCGGCTTTCCTCTCCCCCGGGATAAATATGTAAATCCTATCCTATCCTAGGACAGTGGAATGAATGAAAAATCCCATCTTTGAGTCTTCTCATACTCTAAACTATTGAACTAGACTATATTTTTCTTTGCTTTCAACATTTTCTTATAATAATATATATATTTTCTTATGTAATATTTATGGTGCATAATAGCCTATGGAATATATTTAATAACATTCCACGGATCCCATCCTCAAAACTCCTGCAAAAAAAATAGTGAAAACGCAACTCACATATCGGCACAGCGGAAATGAAAAGGCCATGAAAATAGAAAATGATTGATGATTTTCTAGAGAGGTTCCTCCCAAAGTCACGCAAAAGCATTTCCTCTTCCTGACTAAATTGAGATTTCGGAGCCATCTTTTCCGCCTTTCACAATGCAAAATCCTTCAAAATGAAACGTGAATTCTGAATTTGAGAATCGACACAAACCGTAAATTCGCAAGACGTGGAAGACCCGCGGTGTTGATGTGTCAAAAAGGCGACATCTGGTGTGCGTCACGCAACGATACTTGTCGTCGTTGTACTCATAAGTTTACTTCGACTCCATAATCAGCATAACGGACGATAAAATATTTATAAAAATGAATAAATAAAAACTGATTATAGAATCAGGCGAGCTAATAAAATCTTAAGTAAGGTTTATAGCGTACAGAATTTGAGTTTTGTCAAAAGAAGTGGTACGTGTTCACTATTTTAGGATTCTAATTTTAGTTGTGGCTTATAAACATCAAAACATTATACAGGAAAATTACTCGAAAATTTATTTTTTTATGTTAGGGTTATCGTATTATATCACAAATTAGCGTAACAGAATTTAAAACTTATTTTATAGAAATTTGACTAAAAAGTGTTTTGAATGTGAAAAAATAATAATTTTAAATATCGCTAGAAAGTTTTCTTTATAAAACTCTCAGTTGTAATGATATATTCAAGCAATCCGTAAATATACGAACATGTTCAAAATGATTGTACGGTAGATGGTGACAGAGAACCGTATTCAAATCACCATAGAGATATCACACGCATCATCTCACACGCCATAACTTTTCGTCATGGCCAAGTTTGTTATCGCAGGTTAGTTTTTACTCTTATTCTTGCATGTTTTTAGTCTTTCAGGTGAAAATTTTCTTAAGCGCCATTTTCCAACTAATAGATAGTGGTATATAAATGCTGAAATGTCTGAATTGCCCCAAAATACGGTACATTACATGTTATAAACGTGTTCTAAAGTCTTTCTTGCTCTCCAGGCATTCTGTGTTCTGTTTTCATATTTCAGAAATAAATTGTATTGAACCGTGTTACCTAACACAGTAACAAAAATTATTATAGTAGTCTAGTTTTTGTATCATTTCATGACTGAATACTCATAATTTATTCAAGTGTAAGAATAATAAGTTTTATTTCCCCAATCTAATGTCATGTCATTTATTTCCCAGGTTCCTGTAATTGTCCATACTATGCGAAACTTGAACTTCTAGCAGATGAACTTTGTATAAATCTGCCTCAGTTCAAAGTAAGTTAAGTTTTGTTTGTTTATATCAGAAATCTTACCAATTTTCTGGTCTGGTGTAGATTCGTACCGTAGGATAGGATTTACATATTTATCCCGGGGGAGAGGAAAGCCGATAAGACGGTTTTAATCATATGGCAAACCACGACCTCTCGTCCGGTTACCAGTTCAGGTCAGGTATGGGATTAGTTAGCCAGTTATTTGTTTTCTGAAGCATGGACTTGATTTGGCTTGGACCTTAAGTACTTTTAGTTGGCATAACGATTTTTGCACATTTCAGTTCTAACACTCACCTGACTACGTCATCCTTAAATCACATCACTATGATATCCCAATGATGTCATAGAGATCGCCAAAGTATACCTACGATCACCCGAAATGGCATCTGCGCTGACGATAAAGAACTAACGTCAGCAATCTCTCTCAAGAGAAATTGTTTGCTCGATTTCGGGTGATTGTCTGTGGTCTTGGATGACAGTTCATATAGTTTGAAGGGCTCTATTACGTCACTGTGACGTTGTAGTGGCATAAATTTTGGATGACACAGTCAGGTGCTGATTAGGATTGACATATTCATAAAATGTTATGTTACGCCCACTAGCAGTACTTGAGGTACGAAACTAAACTAGACCCAGTAAAAAATATGTCTTGTTAGCCTTACAACACTAAAACAATTTCAACTCATTCATAAAAAGAAGCTTGTAAATTTATGATTTCTTTTGTTTTCGACCACAATTGATCAAATAATAATAAATTGCTTAGGATGCATTTCATAAAAACATTTTTACTTTTTAAGGTTCACAAAATTGTTAAACCAGTCGAAGAATGGTCGGATTGGCTTCGAGATCTTTGTATAAAAAATAAATGGAGTCATGTGAAGAGCCCCATCGTGTGGCGAGAATTAGTCGACCGAGGAGGAAAAGGTTCATTGATTGGTGGATTTAATGAATTCCTTGAATATGCCCAGGTTGGAAAGAGTAGAATTAGATTTTCATATTTATCTCAGGTGAGAGAAAAGCCGATAAGATGGCTAAGTCATACGGCTTCTCTTGTCTGGTTACCAGTAGAGATGTACCGATACCACTTTTGTCGCCGATACCGATACCAGCTAAAAGGTTGATACGCCGATATTCGAAAACGACCGATATTGCTGATATTCCTATACCGATATTCCGATATTATGTAATTATTACCTCAATTGTGCAGGGAAGACGGTTTAAAACAATAGTCTTTGAGCATTTTAAATAGCGCACATTATTTCGAATCAAAAAAGAGAAATATCACACACATATATATGAATATTAGGAAGTTAGATGTTTTGGATCCAAATGCGGTAATTGTTCCAGATGCATAAACTTTAGAAAGAAAGACTCCATTTCAAACTTACTATTTTTGTATGTTTTAGGCTGGTCTGGTCTTGTGTGGATATCCTGTCTCTGAGATTTATTATTCTTGGGTTATTATAAACAATCGCGGTCTCCATGAGGTCTTGTTTAGACTACAAATTATAAAACAAATAAATCAACTTCTATCATTTAGTGTTACTACGGAGTGACGTCAAATATCATGACGGATTTGATGTTGAAAATGAGAGAAGAAAATGAGAGAATGAGTGATGAGAAGAAAAAAGAAGAAGAGTATTATAAAAGTTTAAGCAAACCTATAAATATTTGTATTACTAAGTAAGTTTTTTTTAAATATCTTTTGTGTTTTGTTTTATATGTTCTTAATGAACAAGGATCTCCAGACCAGGGTTTCCCAAACTGGGTTCCACGGACCCCTGGGGTTTGGTGATGGCTGCATCGGGAATCTGCATTGGTTGAGCATTGCAAACTTTTATCCCTTGCTGTCAGAAAAGGGCAATTCAAATATTATTTTAATTAAATTTTCCACAACCTAGCTGTGTGAGGCAGCATTTTCAGCTCTTACCAATATGATGACAAAATTCTTCCCTCGCACATAACTTCTGATATAAAACTAGAAATTCTATGTTATTTTTATTGCAGCGCTTCCTGTCCATCGGCCTATCATTTAGTTCCGGCTATAGCAAGTGGAGAAGTGTTTGGTTCAGAAGTTGAAATATCTTTGAGATTGCTCGATTCAGAAGATAACATGAATATATTGAAAGGTAAGGTTTTTGATCCTAGAGCATGCTGTTTATAGGATAGGATTTACATATTTATCCTGGAGGAGAGGAAAGCTGATAAGACTACTTGATCATATGGTAAACCACGGCCTCTCATCCCATTACCAGTTTATGTTGGGTATGAGATTAGTTGGCCAGTTATTGGTTTCTGATGCATGGACTTCATGGTGGAGAAAGTCCTAACCGAACAATGATTATGTGAACCACCCTATGGCAGCAATCCTCTCGCACTTATTTATTCGATAAGCCGATATGACAACTCAATCTTTTTGCAAATCACATCTTTATATCTGGTAGCCAGCTCAGTGACCTTGCTAGATTTGAAATACTCATTTAATCAGTCATTTCTTTCAAGTGCATAGACTTCGATAGTGGAAGAAGCCAAAGCCAACCAACGGTTATGTTTACCATTCTACAGATGCAAGAATTCCAGCAATCCTCTTTCCTACGATATTACCCCCCTGGGTTACGAATCTGCAAACCCACATGATGTAACATCCATCAGGTCATTTGCATTGCCAATACCCCTAATTTAGTGCACCCTGGGTGACATGGCAAGTTTTTATTTATATTTATCATCATATTCTTCATTCAGGACTTGAGTTGGAGTCGTTTGACCTTGCATATCCCCTTCTTCGTCAAACGACCTTGACCTCTGATCCTGAGCAAGCATTGAAAAACACAACAGCAGTTTTTATTCTTGACGAAGTTTCAATGGAAAATGAGAAAGGACAAATAGATTCAAAGTAGGTTTTTTTTACCGCAGATTTATATGCTCCTTGATCTAAAGAAGGCTCTATACAAGAAGCGGTACACCCGTAGTATGTGAACCAAGATGGCAGATACCAGAACGTAGTATGTGTACCAGGTTGGGATTAGGCCATAATTTCAGGTGGAGTCACTTGAGTAGTCCCGAACTCATGATAGGACTAAAATAAGGAAAATTGGAATAAAATTATGGCCTAACCCTAACCTGGTACACATACTATGTTCAGGTGTCCGCCATCTTGTTGCACATAATATGAGAGCGTCCAAGAAGCAACTTCTAGGCACCACGGTCTAGCTCAGTTACTAGTTCATTTCGGTATAAGATAAGTTATTTGCTCTCGGATACATGGCAGTGATGGTGATTCATATAACTGACCAGTGGTAGATTGTTTCTGGAATCACTGATGTGTGACTGGTCGGAACAATTTTATTTTAAGAAATGAGTATTAAGATAGTGACAACTGGCTAGTATATCACACTAAGCATTATGAATAGGCTTGCTATTGGATAGGATTTACATATGTAGGGAAAGGAAAGTCGATAAGATGGCTTAACCATATGGCGAACCACGGCCTCTTGTCCGGTTAACATCCCATGTCGGGTATGGGATTAGTTAGTTATTTGTTTTCGGAAGCATGGACTTGATGGTGGAGGAAGCCGTAAACGACCAGCGGTTACGTGAACCATCCTACAGCGGTGAGGAGTCCAACAATCCTCTTGCACATATTCATCCCCGCGAGAGATTCGAACCTGCGAACCCACTCAGGGTGATCCGAGGTGCAGTATTCCTAACGCTTAGGACGATGAGCCACACCGCCGCACTAGTGCTGATTTAGTTTATTCCCTCAGGGATAATTATGTGCGAGAAGATTTCTGCACTCCTATCTGTCGCAAGGTGGGTCATGTAACCTCTGGTCAGTTCCACCATCGAAGTCCATCATTTGAAATAATTGGGCAGTTATAATTCTTAAATTATATTTTATTTCTTGTTTCTAGAACTGACTGGTTGAAGAGGAACGCAAAGTTATTTGAAAAATATGCTGAAATATTGAATAACCATGCTCTGGCTGATGTAAAGGTAGGAATAAGTATTTAATTAATAGTGTGTGATATTTGGTACGACTTGCTAAGCGCTAGAAACATGGTTGCAGTTTCATTGCTGCTTAACATATGTAACAAAATGTTATCAAATGCTGCCTCCAGAAAATTGGACCTCCAGAAGTATGTGCACCAAGATGGCGCACAACCTGAACATTGTATGTGTACCAGGTGAGGGTTCAGGTTGTGCGCCATCTTGGTGCAGATAGTTCGGGAGCCCCTTCTTGCTAACCAGACACACATCGAGATGTGGCGCATCGCGCTTAGCGTTAGGGATGCGCTCGTCATCGCATCTCTGCTCCCCGTATATGGGAAATAATTATGTGCAAGGGAAAATTATTCTCCGTCATCGAAAAAATTTCTCCCCGGTTGGGAAACAGGAAGTTATAGCTCTATTCGTTGTTCAAGTTCTTGCACCTGCGAAACCGTTTTGGTCGAAAGACACTGAACTACTCATTCAGTTTATAACAAAATATTCTGTGTTCAGGTAATCGTATCAGGCAGTGGGCCAGTCAACTTCAACACTCATGTTCTGACAGAAAATGCGACAAATATTTCAAAACAAAACATAGTGGCTGCTTCCAGGCTGCAGGTAAGATCCCTGGATATATTTTTTTCAAGTTTGCTTTAACCAGTGGTTCTCAATCTTTTATTTTCTGGCCCACTTTTGTTGCGGCCCATCCTGAAAATTTATCTGTGGCCCAGCAGTGGACCATGGCAGCACCTCATTCCCACCACTTCGTCACAAGTTGTAATAAATTGAATGAGCAATGCCAAATAAAAAAAATCGCTGTTTTTCCAGACTATTGTAACTTCTAATTTAAAAGCACCTGCTCGTACAGAACATTGTGTGAGGTGAAACCATGGAAACGGCTCGAAAAAATATGAAAATCTAACCTTTTTCTGAAATATTTTGTCAACCTTAATTTCTTCCTTTCTTATTGTTTCTAGGAACGTAGAATGAGAGCATCGCTTGCAAATAAATTGAAAACAAATTCAGTTGGAGTGAAAGACGCCATCGTGTGGGGAGATTGCGCCAACGATGGAGCAGAAAGAATATTTGCGGACATTTCTTTAGCTCGAACGCACAATTATGATGGCGCAGTTTGGGGTCCTGATTGGTTCTCGAGACCTGTCATCGAAATGGTTTATGACAAGTAAGATTTTTTTGGTTTGTAGTAGGCTCATAGCAAGGCTTTGAACAAGGGCACTAATAATTTATAGAATCGTTATGGCTTTCTTTAAATCCAGTTTTCCTAATTATTAAAGAGTTTAGGTTGCAGCTTCTGAGTTTCAAAAAATAAATTCGTATAGGTTTTTTCCATTGCTAGTGTGGCCACTGCGTGATTCAATATTATATTTGCTCTGGTTCATTTTCCCTGTTAAAAAAGTGCGAGTGCTGGGTATGCTAGGTTGTACTGAAATATTTTTCCAATATACATATTTTTTGACTCTGTACCCTGCAATTTTTTTTAATTTTTTTAACTTGTGTTCGTTTAGTGTGTATTTTCAGAAGTGTAAAAATAAACTACTGAATATCCTTTCAGTAAATGGTTATCAACAGATTTCATATCTGACCTTCAAAAGCATGAAACGACCTTGAAAGAGCAATTGCATCATGATGGAAGTGTTAGCGCAGCTTCGGCATTGTCTTCACTCATGCATGATTGGTTTTTGGGTTCAAAGGGCGATGAGATGTTCTCCTTAGGAGTGGAAAGTGAAGGTGCGTGATAATTTGGAGCGAGTTTTGCAAGCAAGAAATTAACACTTTCACTAGTGTTAGGCGCTACGCTAGTTAGTAGGCTTTGAGTGTTATCATTCATCAAATGCGGTTGTTTTGCACAAAGGTTGTCCATGCTCAGTCCATCCAAGTCCATGCTTCTGAAAACAAACAATATAACTAATTCCATACCCGACATGGACTGGTAACCGGACGAGAGGCCGTGGTTTGCCATATGAATAAGCCGTCTTATTGGCTTTCCTCTCCCCCGGGATAAATATGTAAATCCTATCCTTGTTTGTGATTTCACAAAAGCCTCATTGTTAGCGTTATGACGTCCTCTGTTGCATGGTAATTGTTATTCTGCGCTCACTGCGGTTCATTTGATAATGTAACAAATTGCCCGATAAATTAACTTCAATTCAAGTATTCGACATTAACAATGAAATTAGTTTTTGACATCATATATGAAATTCATATCGTTCGAAAAAAGGCTTACAGCTTTTTCTGTAATTTTTCCTATTTTCTAGGTTGGTACGGCGTCAAGAACTGCGTATTCTCTCTCCCAGTTAAATTCACGACACCAGGTTCGTACCAAGTGGTTTGGGATCTTAAACCTGATGACGAGACAATGAAGAAAATAACGGAATTGGAAAATGAAGTGAAAAAAGTGAGTTTGCTCTGAACAAGGCGCCATAGAAGTAGCCACTCTTCAAGGTTTTTTTGAACTTTAAGTAAATTTTTTGATTTTAATTATAAATGAATAAATTTTTATTTTTCAGGATATTCGACTTGTTTTTCCTGAGGAAGAACCAGCATTAGTAGAAGAAAAGGTTTGTGTTGTTTGGTTTTAATATTCAAATTAAAATGTTGCCTGTATTCAAAAATAACCGGGTACGAAAATGCAAAAGTCTTACCCACCAGTTTACCCAGTATGTAATAAATTGGGCAGGGGTGTAGGGGAATTTTGAAAGGGGGAGGGGCAGGGGGTTCTAATTTGTAATTGCCAAATTAGGTGTATCAGCTAGCAGGTCCGAGAGAGTTATGAGTTTCCAAAAGTCTTTAGGCGGGTCTAAAATGCATTCAAACTACAAAAAGCTGGTATGTATGACCTGAAAAAATGCTTTTTTTTACATTTCAAGTAGGAGGGTTACAACCAAACTTATCGCTGTGAAGTATGATTCTCCACAATGACATCCATTAAAAAAAAAAACTTATATAAGCTTGTCGATGATATTAGATGCTGTCTGTCGACCACTTTGCAGAGGATTTATCGTTTGACATCACAGGAACCATTTTTTCATTCATTCTAGGTCTTTGGTGAAAATGTTGAGGTAACTGCGGAATCCATTACAACAGACTCCCTCACCAAAACACCAGGTGGCGATAAACTAGAAATTATCAAGGAGGAAAATGAGGCAACCAATGGTACAGAAGGAAAGGTTTGTCAAGAGATTTTGTTTCAAGTTTTAATTGATTCAAAGGTCTCTATATCGGTGGTTTCCAAACTTTTTGAAAAAATTTCATTACAGACCCCTTGCAATTTTATTAATGATTACCAGCCTTGTGCACTAGAACAAAACATTGAATGATCACAACAAAAAATCAATCCGTCGTACGGTGAAAAACATCAAGACGAACAAAAGTATATGACGAAGTTTAATGAGACTTGTTTCGTTGTAAAACTGGCATAACTTCATAAACTGCCTAGTGCCTACTGTAACTCCTTCCTATACCAACAAACATGCAAACAGGCAGCGTCAGCTATACCGCTTAGTTAGCTTGTATTGACAGCGATTGAACTCTCTGTGATATCACAGGCCCACAGCTCTTGGACATCACAATGAGCAGCGTGATCAAAACAGTTAGAGTAAAGAATCAGTGTCTTCAGCAGTGATTGCAAAGGGGCAAAAGGCGACAAATGTGTATTTGGCAAATTCAGGCACTTAATTTTGTATTATCAAGCTATGAGCCATATAATAGATAATAGGACCCCACTTTGGTAACCACTGCTCTAGATTAACTGATATACCTCCATCTTATCTCAAGTCGACAATCCTATTTGCCAAGATTGACACAAGTTTGGTCGAGTGCCGGTGGTATTCGAGTCGACGATAAATCAAAATAAGTTGCCGCATTTGGTAAAGACAGGTAATCATATTTGGCCGACATACTGCGAGGCAATGTGAAAAACATATTGAGCAATGCCAAGTCCGGACAGATAAAATCGGTAACAGAACATCAAGATTTTGTAATAGAAAATGGATCTCGCGCAGAATAAACACGGGGAATCCCGTCGTATTGTTGTTAATGCCGAAAAGACTAAGTTGCGTTGGTTCATTACGCAATTTCTCTTCCGTCTTTATATTGCTGCTTGATAAGCGCGACATTAATTATCACGGCATTTACAAATAGACCATGTTTTATAAGTTGATCTCTTACATTCTTTAGTCATTTCACCCGGTCCATCGGTCTCAACACAATTCTATTTCTTATCTACGGTTAATATGTACATTGGCCATCCTAGATAAGTTGACGATAGGTTAGTAAATGACGCGTTATGCCTTCCCCATCTGCCTAACAAGAGAGAGAAAAACGGCTGCGAATACCGGAACTCTAACTTCTTTTACTTAAACTTTAATTTTTTACAATCGACGGAATTGACTGCTCTGAAGAGAGCTCGTTTCAATCGCGAAAGCGCTCGACCAATAATTACGACTTTACGTAATTCGTAACTTCGCTTCCGTAACTCGAAATAATTCCGTAATTCCGTAAATTACGTGCAAGCCTACATAATTATATACAAGATTCGAACTTGCGAACACACGCAGGGTAATCGGAAGTTCGTTGGCGTGAGTATTCCTGACACCAAGCACAATGTCCCATACAACCACGCCATGAATAAGTGTAATATACAAAAAATCAAATCTCACACTTTATTTACATTTCACAACCAGGATTCCGCAGAGAAAGAATCTGAAGAAAAACCAGAAGATACTGCTGAACCAACTGAAGAGGAAGCAGAATTGGATCCGGATATGGATGATATAGAGGAAACACCAGAATGAATGAGGACCAACAATTTTTTGACTTCTAGAACATATATATATATTATTTTTGTGAAATAAATAAATCTATTTCAATTTTTATTTTGAGTCTGTTTTCCTTCAGGTGTGCCAATTTTTCATGAAATATACAAACACCACAGCAAGACTATTGTAACGTTATATCCATGGTAAGTGCAGGCTGCACTACTGGTATCGTGAAAAATCAATCTCTCGTTAGTTTGCGAGCATTTCAGCATGTTGAAGAACTTTGGCAAATACTGATTCTCGGTAAAATGAGAGAAGAAGACACTTAATTAATGAGACGTCTGATTTGGCGTGAAACGAATTCTCAAGAATATATTCACGACACTTCGTGAATACCATTTTCACAAGAAAGTTGATACTTTACTAACGCAATGATAAAGAAGTTTGACGAATAGATTGGTTTTTCAGAATTGGCTCGCTAACTTTGGTTATTGTAAGTATTAGATTCGAACCCAAGAAATTTCTCTCTTCACCAGTGTAAGCGAAAAATGTAAGCTGCGTCGCTATTTAGAGTATGTCTTGTCTCGCGCCCCACCTCAAAAATAATTATCTAACAATAAGTAAGATAGTAATTTTGAGTCTGTTTTCCTACATCTCACTGACATTTAAAAATAAATTGGGATTGACATAACTATACATATCTGCGTAGCCATGTCACCAATTTTTTCAAACCAACAACACACACACAAAATCTTTTGAGTATATATTTTTTTAGTAAAATAGCATAGTTATTATAATAAAAAGCAACTTTAGGAATACCGTACCATTTCTAGCTACATAACAAACATATTTTTCAATGTTACAGAAATTGAGGAATAAAATATACTTTACACACTTCAGTAATTGCTATCTCAAAAAAATACTTGCAACTTGGATTTAATTACTGATATGACACAAATTAGTCACCCAAGCAGAGCTAAAAATAACTACAGAGGTAATAAAAAAAATAGTGTAATAAAGAATGCAACACCAAAAACTAATACCCATTTGGTAATTAAATAATATTTGTCTAAATGAGTTAACTTTTGTCAGACGAAACATTGCAGTAATATAATTGAGTTAGTGTTCACCAAGTCTCTTGAATCACTTAGGACAGGGCTACTCAACTATTTTTATCGAAGGTCCGCAAACAAAACTTCAAAATTATTTGGGTCCGGTCTTTCCAGAAATGATATTTCGGCATCCTTAAACGAGCACTTCCTCGACTGACTAATGATTAGTAGCAAATTAAAATTGTTTATTATGGTGTTATAGTTCTTTTCGTGTATATTCAAAACTATGAAAGTCGTTTTATAATAGGAAATTCAAAAAGTTGGGGTAATGATCCCAAATAAATAATTAGATGCGGTCCGAATCAAATACTCGAAAGGTCCGGATTCGGACCGCAGTCCGCCAGTTGAGTAGCCCTGACTTAGGATATTCATCTTCATTGTTGCTACAGCATAGTCATTATGATAATAAAAAGCAACTCGAGAATACCGTACCGTTTCTAGCTACAAAACCAACATATTTTTTTCAATGTTACAGAAATTGAGGAATAAAATATACTTAACACACTTCAGTAATTGCTATCTCAAAGAAATACTTGCCACAAATTAGTCACCTAAGCAGAGCTAAAAATTACTACAGAGGTAATAAAAATAGTGTAATAAAAAACGCAACACCGGGAACTAATAATCATTCGGTAGTTGAATAATAATTGTCCGAGGAATATGACTTTTTTCAGACGAAACATTGCGTCAGTGTTCACCAAGTCTCTTGAATCACTTAGGATATTCATCTTCATTGTTGCTACAGCATAGTCATGATAATAATAAAAAGCAACTTTAGGAATACCATAACGTTTCTAGCTACAAAACCAACATATTTTTACAATGTTACAGAAATTGAGGAATAAAATATTCATACAGACACATCCAGCACAGGTGTGGGCAAGGTTTCTTGACCTGGGGTCAAAAACTTTACATTTTATGAAAAATATTTACAGTGTTACGGAAGCAAATGTGGAAAACACTTCTGGAGCGCCCAAATGTTAGTGTAATAAACAGAATAATGAGTAATATTGAGAAGTGAAAAATGGATGTACATATTAAACATACACAAATTGAGAAAATGACATTTCCAAAAACCAAATCCAAGATATTTTATCAGATTGAATTCAACTGTAATAATATTTGAATTCTTATATTAAAAATTTTCGGTGCTCTCGAAATATTCATATATAGATGCCACACAACCTGAACATAATAGGTGTACCAGGTTGTGCGTCATCTTGGTACGAATATTTCCAAAGCGCCAAATTTTCCTTTCTCAAAATTAATTAAAAAAAAAACTTAATGAAAGGGAGTAAAGTGTACCGAAGTTCGTAAATAAGTAGGTAATACAGACTATACGTACAAAAAATATTTGTTATCATGTATTTCTTAGATTGTATTCCAACTGTAATGAGGTTCAACTTATGTTAATAAGCAAATTTTTTATTTCTAAAAAAGAGTTTGTAACAAAATAGTAAGTATTATGAACTATGTAGGTGTGCAAAAATATTCGTTATCCAGTACTTTTCAGATTGTATTACAACTGTAATAAGGTTTATTTCTTGTTAATAAGCAAATTTTTTATTCCAGATAAAAGGGAATAAAGTGTACCATAATTTGTAACAACATAGGTAATATGAACTATATATGTGTGCAAAAATATCCAGTTGGCACAGAATTCATCTAAATTAAAAAAAAAATTGAAACACTTAAATATAGATAATAAGCTAGACCAGGGCTATTCAACTGGCGGACCGCGTTCCGAATCAGGACCTTTCGACCATTTAATTTGGACCAAGTCTGCTTGTTTATTTTGGCAGCATGAGCATCGTTTTAGTTTTAGATGATTTTGATACAATTTAAATATACAGCTATACAGTTTGTCTTACTGGTACCGATGGGCGAAATTTGCGTCTATATTTGCGAGCTATTCATTGCTCTTGTATTTAATTTAATATCGCATTTGACGTTTCATTTATTTAATGAAATAAATTTCCTGTAATGTCCGGACCCCAGTCATTTTAAAGTTTTATAAATGGACCTTTGGTGAAAATAGTTGAGTAGCACTGAGCTAGACCAGAGGTTCCCAAACTTTTTGTCTGTGCGGCACCAAATTGTCAAGAGAAATAAAATACACAGCATTCAAAACCAGAAACAATAAAACATTAAATACAATATGTGAAATATTCAATCATATTTTAGTAATGCTTAATACAATTCTGTAAATTTTCGAGGCTGACTTGGCAACTCGCAGCGACGCACTCTTTGGGAATCGCTGAGCCAGACGAACTGCCTAAAATCATTATGCACTGAAAACAATGAAAAACTCAAAAAAATATTATGCGATTCTTTGAACAGAGCTGCAAAAGTATGTGCACCAAGATGGCGCACAATCTGAATATTGTATGTGTACCAGGTTACGGTTTAGGTTGTGCGTCATCTTGGTGCACATACTTTTGCAGCTTCTATATTAGAAAAAACACAATTTTTTTATCCGAGCATTAATAACAGAATTATGAAACCCTTGAGTAAGGTGGTGGGTTTTTGTTGGGTTTGCTTTGAGCAAAGTTACATGGAAAATTGTTAATACTAATTACCCACAGAAAATTTTCTTAATTATTATCTATGATTTCTTATCAAATGTTTTCAAACCTTGGGCTCTGAACAAAAAGGGCACTGATACACAAAGAGCTGTTAATTTTTCAGATAGTCTCGGATCTTCTCAGATTGGCATTGCCTTAACCAATTTAACATAGGATTTAAATCAAATTATTTTTAAAAATTGCAATATGGTCACAGACAATAATGTGGAATACATATCAACCTTGAACTGAAATATAAATATTTGCCTTTCAACTTTTTATGAATAAATGATGACAAAGCAAATTCAAGCAAATATTCCAAATTACGAGAAATAGAATCGCCAATGCCAACGTTAGTGTAATAAACACAATAATGGGTATTATTAAGAAGTAAAAAATGGGTATACATATTTACCAAATTTTAAAATCAAATATCTCCTTTTTCAAATAGAATTTTGATTCGTTTTGGACATCCTTGTTTCAATTTCAAATGTACCTCCAGTTTTATGCAAAGCAAATGTTTAATACTAATAACCTACAAAAAAATGTGTGAACCCAAAAATAATACATAAACGTGAAATACTTGAGGACAGAACAAAGAAAATTGTACAATATGTAGCTATGTTAACATAAAGACTACCTGCCTTATTAAACTTTATATATAAACTATTTTTTGCAAAAAAAACTTCCATGGTCGGCCAGTTCAAAGCGTTTCGAAGATTAAATTAATGATTTGTAATGCTTTTTCTGATCAAGTTCAGACTTCTTAAGACAAACATAACCCAACTTACAGAAATACAGTCAGTGCACAACATAAATGTTGGAAAATTTAAAAAATATGACCATATAGGTATATGGTTTAAATCCACCAGTGCAATAGCATAGAAGAATAAATAGCTAGTCTCGAAGAAACCCAACTAATAAGGGTCTGATATTGTTAAGTTAATAATTAAATTATTGAGTTATTATATATAAATGCCATATTTTCTTCAGGAAAAATTATACGCAAAAACGCCAACCTGGTACACATACTTCGGGAACACCCTTTCATGTCTCATTTGATGTTTTGGCAACTCTCTTGAATTTTCGTCATGTGTGTTTGTTTTTTGTATTGTAATTATTTTGTACCATGACGTAGTTCGAATTGAGTTATCTTTTCTAACTCATAATGCCTATAATGTAATTATGAAAAAAAATGTAATTCAGTGTCAAAGGTCACTGATGTCATCATCCCAGTCTGATTGTTGATCTGCAGTCGCATTTTTACCAGTTCCCGGTTTACCTGAAAAATATACAAAATATGATTAAAGGTGTCACAGTTGGGATTACACATCTAATACAGAAAAGTCATTCATAAATACATGCCAACCACAACAATATCGAATTGACCAGATTTTTTCATACCGTATATATACTGGCAATAGATTCAAACCTGCGAACCTACACAAGGTAATCAGAGGTAGGATGGCCAGTGTATTCCTGACGTTTAGCAGGATGTGCCACACCGCCGAGTCAAACATTTACCAGCCATTCATTTCTACTCAAGTAGCCACTTGTTATGGATTCCAAATTTGAATTTTTGGGCATGTTTTATGTATTTACCTTGGTTAGATCCCCATACGCTTGTACCCAGTGTATTTGTTGATGAAGCCGTACTTTGATGGACTTTGGAAAGAGCTTGTTGGGAACCTCTGGGTGCTGGAAAAAGAAAAAGAGCTTTAAACAAAATTTGTTCCTCTAAATTTATTGAGGGGAACTGAATCTGATGACTGTATGGTTGTATCGCTTTCGCAGTCTATACGAAAAATATTTTGCTAGTGTCAGAAAATTTCGCCGCATGAAAAATCGCAGCAAGAGCATTTTGCTGTAAAACAAGTATTATGTGATTAAAACAGTTATGTTTATTGGGTTAGGGCAGTGTTTTTCAACCGGGGTGCCGCGGCACACCGGTGTGCCATAAATTATTGTCAGGGGTGCCGTGGGAAATTCTCCAAATTGTGTGTCTATGCGGTGTAGCGCCCGGCAGAGTAATCATGTAGTACGGTGGCAGCATCAGGTGGCGATTTGCTTTTTTGTCTTTGTTTTTATTAGATTACTATTCAGGATGTCCTATTCAACATCTATCTTCAATGTTAAAAATCTTATATTAACAATATAACACTTATATTGTGAATATTAGGTCTTTTCCTCATATTTTCAGCTGTGTGTGCTGCGGGATCTTCTCACTGAAAAAAAGTGTGCCTTGGCTCGAAAAAGGTTGAAAAACACTGGGTTAGGGTATGATCTTAAATAACGAATCTTTTTTAAATACGGCGATTTTTCATACAGCGATTTTTCCTATGCAGTGAAATTTCCTACGTTGATATTTCCTAGAACCACTTCGCTTATGCTGTTGTATATTTTTATTATTATTGAAATGCCACTTTTTTCCGGTTGAGGAAATAATAATCCCTCTTTCTCTCTATCGCATTCTTTTGCAGTGATTTGAATCAGTTCAATATTCACTAGGTTCAGGCTGTTGCCAGATGCTTCCAGTCACTTCTTTGCTCCTGTTTTTTATTGGCCTTAGCAAGGAAATATTTATCATTGTTTTTCACTGTTTCTGAAAGGTTTTTGACAATTTTTCACTGTTTGTGCAAGGTATTTAGCGTTTTTTCACACCGAGCTTTTGCACATTTTTTGTGGCTTATCACAGCTTGCTACTATTCTATCATAATTTTTCAATTTTATGAGATCCAGAGATTGTGATCTTATTCCAGCAAACTTGTGTAAAAAAAATTCATATTACTCAATCGCATAGAGAAGATTTTCAGGGCAAAGAAAGGGAAGATGGGTGTGCAAGTTACTATTCAAAGAGCAGAGTTCTAGAAATTTTTCTGATCAAAAATTTTAGTTTTTTTCTTCAGCTTTCAAATTTTAGTTATAGTCTTCATACCTTGATTTGAGTGAATACAACGAAAATTTTACTGTTAGAAATACACAGTTAATTTTACCTGGTTTTGGTGATGGTTCATGTAATGATGAAACAGGTGAAAAGTCATCGTCGTCAGAATCAAAATGCTGAAAAAAAAAAAAAAGCTGAAATATTTTTTTGAAAAATGTCATTGTCTTTGAACTCAAAACAATTTTGATGGAATTTTATGCAATTTCACTGCTCTGATAACACATGGTGTAACTTTAAGCTGTTAGAGACACTTATCAAAATTACCCGGTAATATGCTACACTCCAGTATTCCAGAAATCAGGAAGTTCAGGGGCAAGACTGCTGATCTTTGTCTCCATCATACAGTAATGAACACTGTATGCTTCTGGTGGGTTCAGGGTTGCGGTTGAAAACAAACATTTTTCGGTGCTCCCGAAGTATGCGAACCAAGATGGCGGACATCGGAACGTGACATGGGTAACAGGTTAGGGTTAGGCGATTATTTTTTTCCAATTTTCCTTATTTTAGTCCTATTATCAGTTCGAAGACTAGCCAAGAGCCTCCCGTAGTATTTATACCTAAAATTATGGCCTAACCCTAACCTAGTACACATATTACATTCCGATGTCCGCCATCTTGGTTCGCATACTTCGGGAGCCCCCATTTTTCTGTGTCAAACATAGCAATTTTTCATAGCTTGAAACACTAGCTGTTAGCAATTTCAGAACCCATGACAATGCCCAGTGGTGAGATATTTTTGTCAGCCGATTCCATCACAAAAATCATATTTTTTACCCGGTTCTGTTACAAAAAGTCATGTTTTTTTCAGTAATGCTAACCGGTTATCTCATAAAATTCTGTGAGATGGTTCTATAGAACCAGTGCAAACCGGCTGAATCCCACCACTGGCTACGCCGCTGACTATGATGCCAAAAAGTTAAATTTAACATTCTTAAGTGAAATTTTGAACAACCATTTTCAATTTTTGAAACGAAAAGAAATATACTCACTTTGACCTGTGTACTGCTACCAGTAACAGAATGTTTCCCAGCCATCAGATCAACCGATCCTGCAGGGGGTTTAGAAGTTGTTCTAGACTGAAGCTGAGATTCTATGTTTGCTCCAAGTTTCTGGATTTTAGTGCTGCCTGGATTTGAAATAAAAATCATTATTAACAAAAGCATTCTATGGCTAATGGATTTATCGAATTAAATTTCCAATACTAGAATATCGGTTGGAAACCGAAGACTTATCGATCGATAGTTAGGGGATCCCCCAAAACAGAAACTGCAGTTTCGATTCATCCGCTCTTGTAACTTGCGCACTGCGCATCGCACACACACACTCGGCGGGTCTCAAAATTCTCTCGCTTTACAAAAATCTAGATCACTATATCAATAATTGATTGATAACTCGCTAATTATACGACATAATTCGCCCAAAATCAATAGGTTTCTGGTCCGAGATAAGATGAATGCACATGCAAAATTTGGAGCAGATTCAACCTCGCATTCGCGAGATATCGCGTTCATCTAACAGACACACAGACAGACAGACATACATACAGACAAATACCCATCAATATACTTACCGATCTTAAGATCGATTAGTAACTAGGAAATGGAAAGAGTCATATACTTGATGCCATTACTTTTATTTCACACGGCTTGATATTTTATCCTGAATTTTGCTGTTCTAGTGAGACATTGAAAACTTGCTTTGAGCCGACTCGCAGCTCTTCTACCAGTAATCTTTTCTCTATTGTGATTGGGTTAACATGACCAAAGGACTGCTACCTGGGAAATAGCTTTCCTGAAGGACCTGGCTTTGAGCAAACTTGAACAGCTAACAGGAAAGATACTTCAGATTTTCCTAATCATAACAATATGCTAAGGGAGTGGTTCCCGACCTTTTATGGCTTCTGGTCCCTTCCGGAGGTTTTTAGCACTCATAGCCCCCCTGTTTATCATTCCACTGGCATTTGATTGGTTGATTCCAAATCCCATTATGTTCAAACAATCCATGCTCAACTAAGTGAAAACACCCACGCAATGAAACCAGGAAGAACAGTACGTTATCTTGTGAAGGAGCATAGGAAACATCTCTACACCTAGCATCGTGGCCCTTTACAACTGCTTTGTGGCCCCCTTAGAGGTCAAGGACCCTGGGTTGGAAACCCTCGCACTAAGGAAAAAATTTGAGTCCATTCTCACCAGAACTTTTTGGTCTCGTTTCCCTGATGTCTGTCTCAGGGCTGAGGATGTCATCAAGCTCATCAGAATCCCAGGAATCTTCTTGTCGCTGAGTGGATGTGGTAGTTGGAATCCTAGTGGTGATTGGAGTCTTTGGTGTTGTTGCTTGTCGGCCGGTGGACGGAGTAAGTTGCGGCTCTGATGAAAAAAAAGGTAAAATTTGCTCAAAGCACTTGTTTAGAGAAACTCAACTTTGAGTAAAGATATGGACATAAAATGCACAAACCGTAGATCTCCACCCAAAAATGGTGGATTTATAAAAATCCGCCTATAAGCCAACCCTACAAATCATAACATGCCGTATCACAGCAAATGGTTGCAAAAGAAAATTAATGAAAGTGATGTTTTTTTGTTGTTTTACTTTTATTGATGACGATGGCAAGTGTCTCAAAATCCTTCAAATTCATCCTCACTATCACTGTCAAACCCCCCAAAGAGGGCTTTTCAGTCCAGAGTCATGCGCGTATAATCTGAATTTTTAGTGCGATCAGAGTCATGCGCATATAAGCTGATCCTTAGTTTGATAACTATTGAGTTTTAAACTCGACTTTATATAATAGGATATACCAGTGTTTCCCACACTTTTTCAATCATTTCAAATTTATACGGTATATACAAATTCTCGTAAAACATTTGATGTGATAGTGAATTCCATACAACTTTAACCATAATTTTTTATGAAAATAATAAATTTTAGATACAAGTATCTCAGTTCAAATGCAGCATATTTATAAAACTGCATTTATTTTGCATTTTATTCAAATTGTTCGATTGTCAACACTCATGATCGGATATTACTTTACCTTGTGGTCTCGATGGGCCAGGAATGTCCCTTTGTTCACTGAGTTCGGAATCCCATGGTGATCTGGAAAGAGATTGAAAATATCACTAACTGAAAGCTGGTATTTATACACAATATAAGGCATTGGTTCCCAAACCACAGCCCGTGGGCAAAGCAAAGTGTAACAATTTAATATAGCCCACTGACTATAAGTGAAATAATTTTGCATTCTAGATACTACCAATTGTTCATTATCACAGTTCAAGCATGTGTATATTCATAACAATTCAACTATACCAGTATCGTTTGAGCGTCCATATCAAAATAACTCAAGTCTACTTACTCATCATCTTCGAATCTGGTGTTCAATTCCTCTCTTGTCATTGGTTTATCTTGTTTACGCTTGACCGATGGACCGTTACCATTTCTACGTTTTGGGGACGGTGGGTGATCTATCCTTCCTGCTGGCGCTGTTTGTCTGAACTGCGGTCCTGATGGATACTGCTCTAGCGAACGACTGGCACTAACAGGAGATGGAGAAAATTGCCTGAAGGAATATAAAGCATGTACTGTATTGTACTGTACATGACTGTATGACTGATTCCATCGAAACGAATGAACAACTTTTCAGGCAAATCATCAAAAAGAAAGAAATATGAAAACAAATGAGTAGAATATTGATATCTTGATACTCCTGAAGTATGCGCACCAAGATGTCGCATAACCTGAAACCTAACCATGTACACAACCTGAATTCAGGTTGTGCGCCATCTTGGTGCGCATACTTCAGGAGGTCCGATATCTTTAATATCATGCAGATGCTAAACCAACATGCAGTTATGGGATTCGGGTGTAGCTCAATAAGCTATAATTTACCTTTGCCTTGGTAGGTGTGATGGAGCTCTCCCTCTTCTCTTTCTAGGTGGAGAACCTGGGCAAGAGAGTTAATAAATTAACAGTTTACATGTAATGATAAATATGGTGACCGTACATTTGAACCCACGTGCATTTGAATTCATGTGTATATCGACGGGTTCAATCTATATGCGGGTGCTAAAACCCATGAGTTAGGGTTAGTATGGGTTCAACTATCCGTGAAACAAAAAAAATTCCATAGGTGCAATAGCATACAGGTGCAATTGTCATGGGTTCAAATGTACGTGGGTTCAAATGTAATGGAACCGATAAATATATATATACAGTGATGGGATTCGAATTTTTGTCAGCCGGTTCCTTCACAAAAGTATTTTTTTTTCAGTCGGTTCTGTTACAAACAGAACATTGACAGTAAATCGTAATGCTTACCGGTTCGCTGATCTCATAAAATTTCGTGAGACGGTTCTATAGAACCCCACCACTGTATATACATACATATATATATAAATATACTCACAAAAGTTAGAATTTGATTTATTTTATTATTTCATATGATTTGGCGTGAGACGCATATCACATATCTCGGCTGCAGCTGCAGTAATCCTCCCCTCATTTCACAATATATCATATCGATATGCAAATTTGCAATATTTAACATTTAGCGTCTCAAAACTGATAGCTAACTGATTTCTGATCCGGATTTCCGTTCACTAATGTTATTTGCATGGAGAATTCACGGAACGCTAATCTGGTACGCACACTATGTTCAGGTTGTGTGCCATCTTGGTACAATACTTCGGGAGCACCAAATTTTGCACACCTCTGTTATAAAATATTCGAACTATACATAAGTCAAATAGAGAGGTGCTGATTCACCAAAGATTAAACAAATAACAAGGAGATCTAAGAAGGATAGACGGGGAAACATGTTGAAAAAGGTCCAACTCCCTTACAACAAATAATCTTACCTCTTCTAGAAGCCTCTTCGTCTACTTTCCTCCTCATTTGATCACGAATTGAGAAAAATCCGGGTTGTTCCTTTGCCTTGCGTTGTCGCTCTGTCTTACGTACCATTAGCTTGTTTGCAAGTGTTTGTGAGCTGATACCAGGTGCAGTCTGTAAATGTGTAAGTTTAGGGTAAGATGAAAACAAGAATCCATATTCTAGAGCAAATGAATCAAACGATGGGACGCACAAGGGTGGGCGTAGACAATTTTTTGAGGGGCGTAAAGCTAATTAAAAATAAAAATACTTGTTAGATTATATCTTTCCCGCCTTATTTTGGATATCACATTTCTTTATTGTTTAGAGCAACGGTGCACAACCTGCTGCCGTCGTGAAAAATAAATGCGGTTGTCCACATACAAAATCCTATGAAAAAAAAAGTTCAAAATATAGGATTTGGCGGCTATGCTGGCGTATATTGAAGCAAAACAGAAGCACTGCAAAAAAGTCAGACAACACGATGCGTCACAATCTAGATGGTGTATTTGCTGCCAGTTACCTCACTTTGCAAGTTTATCTGCCCACATGCAAGACCAAAGGAGTCATTAAATTGCTACAATTCTTTGCAAACTTTTATAGAATAAATTCATCAAAATATTAGACATTTTATTATACTTTTGGGGACAAGAAAATGGGGGCGACCGCCCCTCCCCGACTTTCGATTTTTTTCAAAATTGTGCAACCATTATGCAACTTGCTGAATATATCTGCTCTAGAATAGGTCCATCGAAAAGAAAAACTTGTTTAGAATGCGAATATTATACTTCCAAGTAGACCTACATACTTCATAATTGGGCAGAGTGCACCTCGCACGGGTCAAATACGCGGTTATGACGTTAAAAGCCAAAAAATTTCGCGTGCCTTCGGCGCGCTATTAACCTCCTGGCGGCCGTATTGTATAAAAAGAAATGCAATGTGGCCGCCAATAGCAAAAAGGTTGTGCACCCCTGGTTTAGAGTTTGTGATTCCATCCAGGATTTTCAACATGTTTTTTAATTAAAGTTTGAGAACCACTGTTCTAGAGCAGACATGGGCCAAATCCGGCCCGTTGGCTAATTCAATCTGGCCCGCCTGATGCTGCCACAACCAAACTGAAACCAAATTTTGATGTTTCAGCTAAAATAACTCAAGGAATACAAACTAACATACAAACTGAAACAGTACTTATATAAGCTGGACAGGATGGAGAGTTTTAAAATAGGCAAAGGAAGGTATTCGGGAAAAAAGTTGGAACCACTGGGTTAAATAGCAATATATTTGAAATAATTATTATCGAAGGTGCTCCTGAAGTATGCGCACCAAGATGTCGCATAACCTGAACCCTAACTTAGTACACAATCTGATTTCAAGTTGTGCGCCGTCTTGGTGCGCATACTTCAGGAGGTCCTTATTTGAAAGTATTCAAGAACAAAAAACAAATTGGTTTTGGCCTTCCCTGCTCAGTAGACTTCAGATTCACTAAGATTCAACATAAAACAAAATCTAAAAACTCACTGGGTCAACCCCGCAGTCTTGTAGTTTATTCTCCATCAGTTGTAACATGAAAGGTCTCATCTGTCGAGCGAAATTTTGTTGATTTCTTCGCATTTCTGAAAGTGCATCGCTTGGACGAGCGTCAACTTCTTCATAAGACACTGGGAAAGATAATTTGAATCAATATTTGTTTGAATTGTTCTCGCAATTTCACTGGATTAATAAACCTATTTTACACCCATTGTACTGTCAACAGGACTCTACACAAGACACATAAGTTGGAAAATTTTGGAAAGAACTGGGATATCTCGAATCCCCATTCGAAGTTTTACACGTTGTGGCGACTATTAGATATTTAACCTCCATGAAACTGCATTCAGGCAGATATTTCATGGCCTGCCCGGGAAATTTGCAGCAGGAGATTTCATCGCATGAAAAATCGCCGCAGAAAAGCATTTTGCTGTAAAACAAGTATTTGTGATGAAAACGGTTAAGTCTATAGTGTTAGGGTATGCTCTAACACTATAACAATATAAAAGTGCTTCAAAAACTGCTTTTATCACAAATACTAGTTTTACAGCAAAATGCTTTGCGACTATTCTTCATGCGGCGATTTTTCCTATGCAGCGAAATTTCTTGCGGCAAGATTTACTACGGAGAAATTTCATGTGGCAAATTTCACTATTACCATTTCATGGGTGGTTGGTATGCAGCCGGGGCCAGCTACAATGTAAATGTAAAGAAATGAACTTCTGGAACCAGTGCTTCAGTGATTTCGAACTGGCTCCCCAGCCCTTGTTCAAAAGTATGTTTCAGGTATCAATACCATTTAAAACATGCCAAATTCCGACTCTAGTACTGAAAAAAATTTGTTTGAAAATCTACAAAATCTGGCATCATAGTTCCAGTCATTAACTCACCTGCAGCTTCTGGAACAGCCATCGGCACAATTTCCTAAAAAAAAAATGTAAAAATTATGAAATGAATTTCCTTGCATAAGATTAAAGTAAAGGCTTAACTATAAAGTCTCATCAACATCGTAGTGGAACAATAGATAGAATTCACTCATTTTCAAGATATTACAGAATGTAGGACGATTAGGATTTTTACTGACTATAGAGTGGGGCTTCTCAAACTGGGGGTCACGACCCCACAGAAAGCTGTGCACGAATTTCAGGGGCTGCAAGAAGTACACCAATCTCACACAAAGTACTAAATGATTGGGGCCAATTTTTCATCTACAATAGACTGTAGCAATACAAAAATTGTTAAAAATCTTTTTTGTAAGGAATTATGGGGTCTCATGTAGTTTCCTACCTAACATACTTCTAGTGGGCGTAGCACAACAATTTTTTCAAGTGTCAATCCTAACCCCCACCTGACTATGCCATCCAAATATTACGTCTCAACGATGTCACCGGTTAGGATTGACATGTCAAAAAATTGTGATGCTACGCCCATTAGAAGTATGTTAGGTAAGAAACTACACGAGACCCGAATTATGTATATTTCAGCATGGCGTTCACAACACAGATGATATGGAACCCCCTTTCCTTTTTGAATCGTAAAAAAGCAGTTTTCTGTATCATACATAGAAATTTTTCATATATCAAAACGTTTTTAGACCTTCAAGACTCATGAAAACGCACGTTTTCCAGCCTTCAGGCGGATCCGCTAGCTTTTTTACCCCCCCCCCCCATTGAAAAAAAAATGTCCAAGCCACTGCCAAGAATCTCCAACCTATGACACCAGCAAAATTATGTCAAATGTGGACTGCTACGTACAATTTATAACAGGGGTTCCCAAACCGCGGCCCGCGGGACAAATCCGGCCCGCATAACAATTTAAAATGGCCCGTCGAGCTTAAGTGAAATAGTGTTCAACAGACTTTGTTTATACTTTTTTGTGATCTATGGACACCGCCAATTGTTATGTCATTATTACAGTTTAAGCACACTCGTCTCTCAATTATACGTATTAGGTATTAGAATAACATAGGGCAGGAATTCAGATAATAACCATATAAGAAGGTTCCATTACATTTGAACCCACGTACATTTGAACCCATGACAATTGCACCTGTATGCTATTGCACCTATGGAATTTTTTTTGTTTCACGGATAGTTAAACCCATACTAACCCTAACCCATGGGTTTTAGCACCCGCATATAGATTAAACCCGTGGATATACGCATGGGTTCAAATGTACATGGGTTCAAATGTTCGGTCACCATATAAGAAAGCTTGAGACGTCAAATAACAAACATAAACTACACTCTGTAAACTGAGTTTAATTTAAATCTTAAATAAAGAAATGGCAGCGTTCGTATTTCTGTATTGGAAAGAATCAAACTTCAGTGATTTGTCTTCTTTGTCCGCAAACCATCCCAATTCTGAAGAAATACGTCATGAAGCATCATTATGAGTTAACAAACATGTTTTAAAAAAATGTCATGACTAAATCATCGCGCACTACGCTCTTCCGGTCCGCGAACACCCTTCCGATTCTAATTTTGGCCCGCGGCCAATAAAGTTTGGGAAACCCTGATCTATAATATAAGTAATTACTCACTCGCTCCTTTGGAACTTTTCCACGATCATTTAACTGTAAAATAAAAACAATTAATGAGCTTAATTAGCTCATTCAAAATTAGATTATCACATATCTCTAAGATGACATAATTGCGACACACAGCAAGGTATACAATTTATCTGGATTAATGTGGACATGCTTTTCACAGCTTATTCGATGCCTATTGAGCTTGTCGTGTGCCGTGAAGCACAGACTCAAGTTTCAATTTAGTGTAGACAAGGTTTTGTTATCATCCCTATAACGCTCTTGTAACGTTCTTTTATTAGTACTCCCGAAGTATGTGAACCAAGATGGCGGACACCGGAACAAAGTATGTGTACCAGGTTAGGGTTAGGCCATAATTTGAGGTTCAAATACTACGGGAGTCACTTGGCTAGTCCCCGAACTCGTAGTAGAACTAAAATAAGAAAAATTGTACATGAAATTATTGCCTAACCCTAACCTGGTACACATACTACGTTCCGGTGCTCGCCATCTTGGTTCACATACTTCGGGATTACCCTTTATTTATACGTAGCTTACGCATTGCCATTCGGTCATTGCCATCTTGCCATTCGGTTCATAAAATTAACTTTTTATGTCACACTTACATGGCCCACCAATCTAGGCGGGCAAAATTTTCGGCCACTAGTTTATTTCAATACTGTGTTATTATATCAGCCATCCACGACACAAAAATATTCCCCCAACATGCTAAACCATACCTTTGCTTTCAAAGAGTTGAGTTGATAACCGTAAGTATCGGCCATCTGACGTTGGTGATCTTTCAATGCTTGTCTGTTTCTGTCTCGGATAGAAGCCATTTCAGCGGATAATTGTCTCAACTGAAAGAAATATTTGGGGGTAATAGGAAGCATATGAAAAGCTGCCAACATAAACGAAAACACACTGAAATGCAAACAACTAAGTTTTTGCCCATGTCTCAAATATCCATTCAGGCCTGTTTCATCAGGATAATAAAATATGATAATAATAAGAAATACACAACTGGCAAAACCTATATTGTTTAGTCTTCATCCTTTGTTAAACTATTCTTAGTCAAGCGGAGTATGAAAAATTAGTCATAAAACGTTCAGAACCCCTGTCCTAGATATTAAAAACAACAGGTTCAAATCTCATACGTACTCTCTAACACAGAGTGTGATAAACTAGAGCAGGGTGGTCCAAGGTTGTCGGCTCCGCGGGCCACAAATTTTTTTTTGCATTGTTTGCGGGCCACAATAGTGCCATAAATAGGTAAACAGTGCAATACAAAACAAACACTTTTATTGTGCAATCACATAGATATCAGGCATAGCCATTCTAGGCTAATAGAATCCGCATTCGATTTTTAGTTTTCTATGATTCCTATATTGTTAGCATATATTCCCGACCAAAAAGTTAGAAAGCCAGATAACAATTTAGACTGCAAAGCACATCATTCAACTTCGCTAGTTTCCCCAGCTAGCCATAACACTATTTAATTCAGTGACATTAGTGATGACAATATATCAAAAGACTTTTCTGATTAATTTTATGACGAAACAACACAAAATGTGATTTTTTGATTACTCTTCGAATGTGACGCGACCACAGATAATGAAGCGGCGGGCCACATGTGGCCCGCGGGCCTGGGTTTGGACCCCCTGAACCAGATAGGCAATGCCAAACCAGGTTTCACAAAGAGTTCGGTTTTAATTAATAGGTGGTTTCTTATTCAGAGTCTTTGTCTGTAGTAAAATCTTGATAATAGTTACATAAAAGGATAGGATGGGATTTACATAATTATCCAGAGGGAGAGGAAAGCCGATAAGACGGCTTAATCATATGGCGAACAACGGCCTCTCGTTCGGTTACCAGTCCAGGTCGGGTATGGGATTAGTTAGCCAGTTATTTGTTTTCGGAAGCATGGATTTGATAGTGGAGGAGGCCGTGACTGACCAGCGGTTACTTGAACCACCCTACAGCGAGGAGTCCAGCAATCCTCTCGCACATAATCAATCCTAATCCAAACGCTTAGCACGATGCACACCGCCAAGCCCCTAAAAAATCAACTCATGAAAAGTTTTTAGACTGTTCAGTTCCTCAACTGACCTGACTTTCTTTATCAGCGTTTGTTTGTTCCAAAGATTTGATTCTTTGCTCATAAATCGATAATTTTTGTTTTTCTCCTTCAATGTCGTCGACCAGTTCACCAAGGTTAGAATGCCTTTCATCCATTGTCATTTGGAGGTTTGTTATTTTCTTGAAAGAAAATCAAGTGATTGGCAATTTTGCACAACGAATCCAAGTCTGCCTTCAACGCCAGGTGAGGTTCATGGAGTCTAATCTAGAGGGAACTTATCTTCAGTACGAAGCATCATTGATCGTTGTCTCACATTTTAAAATTAATTTTAAAAGGCATTGCCCGATTTTACATCGTGTCTTTATTTTATTGTGTTCTTTCGACTGTTTTTGGTGGACGGGCACGTACTTGTACGTTTTTAACTTTTTTATTGGGTCATGCCCGTCCTCCATTTTCTTTGCACGTTTGTTGTTGTTTTGTTTTTTTCAGAGTGACCAAAATAATTTGATTGATTGATTGATATAGCAATCAATTATGCATTAGTAAATAACGATTGACCTGGGAGTCAAAGGTCAATGTGATCAGGAAACAGCTATGAGCAAGTGAATTTCACATAACTGAAACATCTGGCATAAATTTTGTGTCTGGATGGTTACACTCGCAGTAAATGTATGAAGCGTCCTGGATTACTAGACTTTTGGGTACAATCCCACACAGATACCAACCAGTTCATGCACTAAAAAGCTTTTTCCATTTTCGCTTAAGAAATTAATAAATATTCAAATTCTGTTTTTTTTGCACGATTTGCAGGCATAAACGCTAGTCTCAGGCACTATTCTTGGTGGAGATGCTAAAGTTTTATAAAGACTTGAAATATTTGGATGGGAGAGTTTGAGGTATATGCTGCTCAAAACGATTGAAGCAGGAGTTTTTATTGTACAATGGAAATACATTTAGGATTACGCAATAATATTTGGATTTTGGATAGCTCTAGTCACTTACCAACTTATATTCCGACTCCTGAGCTCTCAGTTGTTGAATTTCTTTCAGGAAACTACCTTTCATTTCTTCTAATTCTTTCCTCCATTTTCCCTCCTCTTCTTTCTTCCAGCGCTGCATATCTCGCTTCGTTCGAGCCCCCCAGGCTGCTTTCTCCTCCTCAGCCTAAATGCAGAGAAAATGGAACATAATATCAGTTACAATGGCAAAGCGATTACACCGAACGTCTTCTGAATATTCAGGACGTCTCGGCGAACTTTGTTATAAACTTGTTTCACTACTGAGGAATTTAACACACGAAAATGTTTTTAGATTCACCCACCCCTTATTTGGAGGGAAAAGAAAGATGGTAAAAAGGAAATCAGTCCAAGTAAATTATACCTCACAGGAGATTTAGACCATGACATGGTAATTAGTCGTGTAATGTGATAAATATGTATGTATGTAATAATCTTCGGACAACCTGCATAAAACTTTACAATTAAACCAGGGGTGGGGGAATTGGGGCCCGGATCTGGCCCACCGAAGTGGTTCATCTGGCCCACTTGTGTCTGTCGAAATTATGACTATATTGTAAATGGACATAAATTTCTCTTGTAACAAATACCTATGGCAGGGTGGTCCAAGGTTGTCGACTTCGAGGGCCGTAAATTTATTTTTGCACTGTTCGCGGGCCACGATAGTGCCAAGAATAGGTAAACAGTGCAATACAGAAAAAAAAACTTTTATTGTGCAAACACATTGATAAATATTTGTCATTCATCAATCTAAAACATGCAAAAACCACCAAAAAACTTGCAAAAGTTTTCCTATATCTACATTTAGTGTAAGATTTCGAACTCTTCATAACGGAAAAAATGCCATAACACTAGTCAATCCAGTGATGTTAGTGATGTAACAGTATGTCAAAAGATTTTTCTGGTCAATTTCATGACGAAATAACATCGAATGCGATTTTTTAATTACACTCCGAATCCGACGCGGGCCACATATAATGAAGCAGTGGGCCACGTGTGGCCCGCGGGCCTGGGTTTGGATCACCCTGACCTATGGGGTTACATCAGTGAAACAAACAGGCAGGCGATGTTATCGAAGCTAGATTTTCATAAATAAACTGTTTTTCATTCATAATTTCATATTGAGTTTTAAACCTCTGGCTTAGTAACCGAGTCTATTATCTGTGGGTGGCCCACTTGGGAAAGTGATCGCCCACCTCTTCATATAGTGGTGGGATTCAAATTTTATGACAGCCAGTTCCTTCACAAAAATCATATTTTTAAGCCGGTTCTGTTACAAAGAGTCATGTTTTTTTCAGTAATGCTAACCGGTTCGCTGATCTCATAAAATTCTGTGAGACAGTTCTAAAGAACCAGTGCGAACCGGCTGAATCTAAACACTGTATTCATACCTTTTTAAGTTTATCAGCAAAATTGACTCTCTCTTGTTGCAGATCTTCATCTAAATTTTGTAGTCTTCCTGCCAATCTGGACTGTTCTCGTTGAGAATGGGCTGAAAAAGAAAACATGGAAGATAAAATTTAAAGTCTCCCAACCAGGGTAAAGATTCGAGCATTGAGTTCCCTGTCGTTTCAAAATATTGTAACTTTTAACCTAGGTCGTACAAAGAGTGGAAGACAAGTAAATGTACAGCATGCTGCAACAGAACATTTCGTGTAGCAGAAAAAATAGGGTGCTCCCGAAGTATGCGAACCAAGATGGCGGACATCGGAACGTAACATGGGTAACAGGTTAGAGTTAGGCGATAATTTTTTTCCAATTTCCCTTATTTTAGTCCTATTATCAGTTCGAAGACTAGCCAAGAGTCTCCCGTAGTATTTATACCTAAAATTATGGCCTAACCCTAACCTAGTACACATATTACATTCCGGTGTCCGCCATCTTGGTTCGCATACTTCGGGAGCCCCAAAAATAGTTTTATAGTAATCTTGGGTGAAAGAAAAGATGAATAAAGAACCACGGCCCCCTCATTCAGTACATGAAGATCGTTTAAATTTTTCTTTTCATAAAGGCCTTATTGGTAACTTTCAAAACCCTTCCAATTCTTGTGAGATCAACGGGCACTTGAGATATTTGAATTCTATAAGTGGTCTAGCGGTTAAAGTGTTTCAATTACCAATTGTTGGCATCACAAATAAAACATCTCGGGTTCAAATTCCCATGCCCGCCACCTCACCCAGAGTGTGGTGAATCGGATAAGCAATCCCAAACCGAGATGATTCTGGTCCTTCCGAAAAATAGTTACATATCAGTAGATGTTTGCATAGAACATTGTTCAGAGCAAAATGGGTGAATAAGCGTCAGTGGAAAAGTTAATTTTCTCAACTTCTGAGAGGTTTTTGTAGTCTTGTCTTGAAAAAAAAAACTCAAAAAATGGTACTCCCGAAGTATGTGCACCAGGTCAGGGTTAGGCCATAATTTTATTCCGATTTTCCCTATTTTAGTTCTATTACAAGTTCAGGGACTGCCTGTGTTAGCCAAGTGAATATACCCCCTGCCCATAGGTTTCAGTCCCTTCACAAAACTTGATGTAAAGTAGGCAAACAAAATTAGTTACATACAAATTGGTACACACACTTTTGAAGCCCAAAAAATTATATGAAATGTGTTAAGCTCCCACCTATGACATCTCCGATATAATTAACTGATCCAGGGTGCTTCCTTTGCATATGACCTTGGAGGAAACTGGCATTCATGAAGGCTTTCTCACAATGCGGACACTGTGTATAAGAATAGAATAATTATCTTCTGCAATTAATAAATGGCAGAAAATATCACCCACAAGGAGCACCCAAGGTGTGATAATAGACAAATTTTAAAATTCTCATATTCATGTGCATCACAAGAGAAACACTAGAATATGATAAAGGAATATTTATCTTCTGCACTTAATAATAAATGTAATTAAAAGTAATTCATAATCCTAAAGGAAAACGCTATTTTATTGTCCTAAGACACAGTTGTGTGACATCACAAGAATAAAAGAGAATTTAATATTGCCTTAGGTTCGCCACTATATTTAAAGATCATTTTGGCCAGATAAGGTTCACTTCTATGTATCTATATTTATAGTTTATACAACTCAGACAATAAAAGACAATCAAACTATTTCACAAGAGTTCCTCGATCCCTTGTAAGATTTCATTGGGTTATGCTCCCCCCAATCCCATGCTCCAAACAGTGGCTCCCAAAGTTAATTGGACAGGGGTCATAATTAGAAGCAGAAGAATGTTAGCGGGCCAAAAGAGGGGAGCCCAGGCAAGGGGCCGATTTCCGGTACCTGAGCGTATATTTAATATAACAGTAAAATTGTATTGTTACGAAAATACACATGCTTAAACTGTGATAATGACATAACAATTGGTGGTATCTAAAGCAGAAAAAGATAAAACCGTAAAGTTGTAAACTATTTCACTTAAGTTTGACGAGTCGTATTAAATCGTTACGTCAGCAGTAATTGGCCCACGAGCCATGGTATGGGAACCACTGACCTAAAAGGTTGATCTATGCATAGCCGTACTTCACCTTGTAGTAGCTTGAAGCCCCAGATTCAATCAACATTTGTTGTTGTTCGATCATTTTCCGACGCTTTTTATTCTCAGCTTTTAATTTTTGAACATCATCGTTTAATTCTCCTATTTTATCCTGTGCTGAATTCTGCTGTGCTGCTGCAATATCTAGATTGTTTTCGAGCTCTGCTATAATTGCTTGAAGAGAACTCTGCCAAAAGCAAAAATATTTCAAATTCTAATATAATATATAGGCTGATTTTCATTTAATAGTTGAGTTGTTTAAAACAGCTTGAAGTCTGAAATTTCTAGTTGTCAAGTTAGAACGTGACAGCTAGCAGGTTTTTAGGAGTCTTGCGGGTCTGTATGATACAGTTTTTTTTTTACAAAGTGGGGGGAGGGGGGATTCGGCCATCAAAGCCCCCTTCACTGGCTATCGCCGGGGTTTCAGTTTGAATTGCCAGAGTTTCAGTTCTATGCCGAAAAGGTGAAACACCTAACAACCTACACACCTAATCCCTGTGAATTCGATTTAAATCACAGAATTTGATGTTCTGAACTAGCAGAGATATTAAGTCGAATCAACTTTGAAAACAGTAGTGGAAAAATGATGACATGAAATGAGGGAACATGTCTTACCTGAGAATGTAGCATATACTCGATCATATATTGTGACAGCTTGAACAATTTTGCGAACATTGGGTCAAGGTCAGAAACAACATCAATGTTACAGAATGCCACAGTCTGGATGTGCTCCTAAAATGATGAAAGTGAACAAAATTATAGATGGTGACTATTTACGAGACACCTTCACTCCAAACAAGGTTCTGGACGAGCAAATATTGATGCATAATGAGATTGGAAGGACTTGAACTATTGACATTGCCTACCTGATTCCTGAATTAACAAATTCAATTATAATGAAATACATTTCACATGATCTCTGTAGAGCTCGACTAAAAATATATATATAATATTATGTTCGGTGTAGAAAATCACTCAGTTCCAGCTATTACTGGACATGAAACAAATATCAACAGCAATAAGATACTAATCCAAAAGATTGATAAAAGTTTTGATTTCCGATTTTCGACTCTAGCTCCGAACTTCAGAGAAAATCTAATTCGTCACTATTCATCACCATTGAATCTCTAAATTCTGAAATCATAATTCTAAATTTGGTACTCCCGTAGTGTATGTACCAGGTTAGTGTTGGGCCATAATTTTATTTCGATTTTCCTTATTTTAGTTCTATTACGATATCGGGGACTGTCTGTGTGAGCCAAGTGAGACCCCCGCCCATAGGTTTCAGTCCCTTTACACAACTTCATGTCAGATAGGCGAACAAAATTAGTTCATATTGGGGCACACACTTCTGGAGCGCCCAAAATTTCAACTTTAACTAGTTAAAAAATTTCATAGTTGTATTATGAAGTCAAAATAAACTAAATTAGTATGAGCCTCAGAAGTTAGTGTGAACAAATTCTTATTGAAAACCTTTCCTCACCTGTAACGTGTCAATGTCCAACTCTCTTGCAACTTTGTCAACATCAATCATTGCAACTTTTCTCCAGTTAATCTCTCCATGCCGTTTCCTGAACTGAAACACTGGAGCAAATGATTCTGGTGGAACGCCCATCTCTGCTTCATACAAATGTGGTGGAGCTATAATTGAAAATTTCGGATTTGATATATTTAGTTTCAAACAAAGTACACAATGGCTTTCGTAATGGTATACAGACTTTTCGGGTGTCCTGAAGTACGCGCCCTCAAGTACTTCTAGTGGGCGTAGCATAACAATTGTCGCACAAACACTCTCAAAATTAGTGACAAAGTATAGAAATAATGTTTGGGGTCAACGGTCAAACGTACAGTTTTGCTCTGATTCGACGTATTTTTTATCCATTATTTCTACGTAAAAACACTCCCAAAATTGATGACAAAGTATTTCCATTTTGCTCGGATTCAACGTATTTTTTATCTAATAACTTTACGCAGATGTACTGAACAGTACCGATATCCAAAGTCGCACAAACACGACAAACTGTAGAAATAATGTTTAGGGGTCAAAGGTCAAATGTCCATTTTTGCTATTATTTAACGCATTTTTTATCCAATACCAGTAATTTTACGAGGATGTATTGAGAGGTATCTAATGTCGAAGTCAGTAGCAAGCGAGCACAGTTGTTTTGCACGCCAAGAATTCTTATTTGCACGCGAAAATCTATGATTGCACGCCCAATTTCTTGTTCAAAAAGGCCATGAAATCCAGACTGAATGGTGACGTCTGGACGTCGTAGTGTTGTAATTTTCGTATGGCATAGTCAGGTGGGGGTTAGGAATAACATATGCAAAATTCGTTATGCTACGCCCACTGGAAGTATTTGTGGTACTAAACTAAACTAGGGTCTGGTACAGTTTAGTACCACATCCACTTCTAGTTGGCCTGGCTCAACAATTTTTGCATGTCAATCCTGACCCCCACCTGACTACATCACCAAAAAATTACGTCATTCCGACGTCACAGTGGCGTAATAAGGCCCACTGAAGTATGCGGATGGTCGTCCAAAACGCGCAGACGATAACCCGAAATCGAGCAAGCTATTTCACTCGTTTTCTCGTCGCAACGATCACGATAGGAGAGAGATTGCCGGCTTTAGCAAGTTCTTATTGGCGGCGCAGATGCCATTTCGGGCGATCGTAATTATACTTTGGCAATCCCTATGACGTGATGGTGACGTCGTAGTGACGTAATTTTTGGATGGCATAGTCAGGTGAGGGTTAGGAATAACATATGCAAAAATCGTTATGCTACGCCCACTGGAAGTACTTGTGGTACTAAACTATACTAGACCCCCACTGACTTTCACCCTTCAGACTTCTGGACTTTGTTTTACATTTGCCTTGGAAGTTGTTTAAGGATAGAAATTTATAAATACATTTGGATTTCAGTACCGGTAAACTCACCCATATAATTTCTGTTTGGAGATAGATGACTGCTAAACATCTGATACTGAGTTGCCGTTTCTCCAGCCATTACCAGCTATTTTATTTCACTTTTGATGATTGATTGATTTTCTAAAAACATCAAAATATCTAACAGAGAGGCTTCGCACAGCAACACATTTGTTTACGTCCTGAAAATCAGTCCTGTTGTGTCGTATTTCAAGCGGTTTGGACTGTGGTTTCGTGGAAAATTTAAACTTATTATTACGTCAGAATCCTTTTTAAAAAACAATATAATTTGTCAGATATTTTGCATGTTCACGTATAAAAAAAAGAATCTAAATTTCAATTTATCAAAATTAATCAATTTGTGCACCTTGGGAGTATTAAATGAATATTTACGTATTTCACAAATTTTCCCTTAGTTTTGTTATGCGAACATTTATGATATTACAATTGTGACCAGCTTATTACGGATATAACTTCTGGCATGCTTTGCATCAAGTACCGGTATCTTAACTTTTCCTCGTGGTGTACTCTAATTCAGCTCGTGATTTATGCAATAGCGAAATCAACATTTGTGGATATACCCTATTCTAACTAAAGCGCCGTGGATCAAGGTAAGAATTTCGACCTAAATAAATATTATTTCCTCGTTATGCCAGCTTGTAATCGCGTATTACATGATGCGTGAGAGGATTGCGAGTACCCTCGTTGTCAAAGGAAAGTTCACGTTTTTTGCTGATCAGTTATCAAAGTCCGCGCATCTGGAACGATAAACTGGTTAACGATTCTCATTTCCAATATGACGTGGTAATCGGACGGTGTAGACAGGAGACCACTGCCTGTTACACGGCTAAGTCAACTTATTTAATTTCCCATTAGCATATACCCATTATGTTTTTTATCTATCTGTCTGTATGTAAATGTATCTTCAATATTCACATGGTGATGAATAAATATTACTACTATAAATATGAAAACTTATCCTGTTATAAGACTTATCATACATGGACATATAAACAAATTTATATATAATTTCCAAGTCTTTGCAGCTGAAATATTTCACTGGTTAGGTATTTTGCATTTAGAACACGGAGGTGTCAAAATTTGCCAGAAAACCGTGCCAGGCCGTGGTTCCCCATATCAATTAGGCCGTCTTATCGGTTTTCACTCCCCGGGATCAATATGGAATACTATCCAAACTTCTGCGTTACACTTTTCCGCGAGATCAGTATTCTGAAACCTGTACTTCCACGCTAAGTACATCTTAAAGAATAAACGTAACTCTGGCGATAGTAGCGTCTTTGGCTTTACGTAATTGCGTTCCCCTGCATATTGGAGTCATTTATAACTAGCTAATCCTTAGTTTGAGCAGGTATATATAGTATATCGATATTAAGAACCCCAGTTTAGATAGCTGACTAGACTGTCTCGTGAGAATATGTGTTATTGTAATATACTTTGTTTTAGTCTGTACAATTTAAATTATTGCACGAGTATAATCGGCTGACAACCTGCTGGGGCTTCGATGGATACCCCTTCTTTAACAACGGATGTGACGAGTATTTTTGAATAGTATTAACTTTGCGCATCCTTTCTATTACTTTGGACCTGTATCTACGAATTTATTTACTTGTTGCCTTTCAGAATATGATTACTTTTGAAATACTCACTATTTAGTAGCGTGCTCAATCACAAACATGACAAAAATTGACACCGCGTAATCGCGTATATCTAATAGCATTATAAAATCTCTGTATTACGAGGAAATATTGCCTTACTATATTGCCTTACAGTACTCTACTCGAGTACTTGGTATCTCATTAAGCAGAAAAGAACTAATCTTGAACATTGGTCTCCTATTCAATAGGAAGAACACTTTAAAAAAGTTAGGGTGTTAAACCATTAATATGGAATTTAAGATACTGACGGAAAATACGAAAGCAGAGCCATTTCAAAATATTTTTAAACAGATTTGTAAATCGACTTAGTTTGCTTAGCGTTTTAAGGATTTTTTTCAGTTCAAGTTTAAGGTTTTATTGTTAGTAAATCGGATACAATGCGCCTTTACAACAGATACGTCAGAGGCTCCAATAAGTCACAGTTTCTTATTCATATCACTCCAATTTATTCGTTTCGTAATATACAATAAAAATACAGTTTTGAACACTGATTATTATAATAAATAAAATAAATTAACATACATTAGCGATCGACGAATAAAGACTACGTGTAAATTTACTCATCATCCGCGGCTTAGATATTCCAGCAGTTAAGTTTTGCTTTTTGTCTGTAAATAAATTAACTTAATTTTTCTTAATGAAATAGCGAAAGAAAGATTCATATTTGCTAACCAGAATAAAACAGTCATATCAAAAACGCATGATTGAAGGTTGATTTCGGTATCTACGGTGCAGTTTCGAACTAGGCGCATATTGATCTATACCGGAACTAAAACGTTCAGGTCTTTCAAAGACTAGCATTTATCACAACTTCATTATGACCACGCACGTTCGAATTCAAGCATTCAGTTTTTTCTGTGTCTGAGCTGTATGAGTTCAGTAGGCGACATGACGTGTAGGTTTTCCAAGCGCGCAATTGTTTGAAATCGATATTGCTTAATTAAGCGTGCGTGCTCATTAAGTTAATAAAGCGTGGTTGGTGTTTAGGGCAGGAGTGTGCAACCTTTAGAAGGGCCAGATAGAAATGACTGGGTGAAACCGCGCGCCGCACTTTTTATTTAACATAGGCTTTCTAGTAGTTGCAGCCAAAGTTGTTGCAAAATTTTGTTAATTGATCTTATGACATGCGTTTTTCACTTCGCACGAGTTAGCTGTTAGGGCACTGTAAGGTCATAGGCTTATATAATAAATTAGACAAAGGTATATTCTTCGCCAAAAGAATAGGAATTACCGTGTAAAAGTTTTCGATATGAAATGCGTGGATAATATGATAGAGAATTGTAGGTGCCTTGACGAATCTACTTTCTTGTCTTGTCGACATTCACTAAGTAGAGACATGGCCGCCTTACACTGCCTATCAGACCCTACTGAATTTAGTAGAGCCTTGCGTATTAAGTGGTCTACCCCAAGGACGTGCTATCCAGATTGAAGATGTGAAAGACTCTTAAAAGCGAATTTCTTTGTGACATATTGATTATAGTATCGAAGTTAAGCACCCGTGAGAGTGACATGGAAATCGCGATAAACTTCATATTTGTTTACATATTTGTAATTAGAATGGCATCATTTTTTCCCCATTTTCTTCGCGTCAATCAGAAAGATCTTTTGATGAAAAACAGTATTATTCAGAGTACATTGTTAGATTTCGTTGGGTCAATGATTCTTCCTGCAAATAACTGTGCACTTGTGCTGGTGTCTTCAACAAAAAATAGGAACGATCGGTCGATTTTGAAATATGCAAGATCTGATGCCTTCCGTAGAATTGCGATAGAAGCCGAAGACGCGGCAGCTTTCGTTCCTTTTTCGTCAACGACTACAGCAGCTTTGTGGATAACTGTAAATAAATATTGTAAATTGTATTGTTGGAAATCAGTTTCAGTGAAATTGAAATTTTAATTTAATATTCAGAACGAAAACAGCATTTATGCCGAGAAAAGTTGTGGACAACGCTTATTCACGACTTTCGCAATGCGCTGTAAAAGCAGACATTGAAATTTCACGATATGTGATCCATCCGGTCCAACTTTTCCTACCCAATTTATTACATCATGGGTTAGGTGAGGAAGGCATGGCTGAAACCGAGATGTGTAATCTGCGATGCCAAGTCAGTTAAGTAAAACACTTTCACCGCTATATCCCCGCGCCGATCAATTTTTTGAAGTCCGCCAATATCTTCACGTCGCCTCTTCCACATTTAAAGAATATTCGCAATAAAAAACTTACATTTTGAGAAAGAAAGTCTGTCCTCGCTCAAGTTTTCAAAGTTTGCTCTACTCCACTGGAACGCAGCTGTTATTCCAAGGCGCCGCAAGGATAATTCGAGATCAGATTGAAAATTCATCTGAAATGAACCCAAAATATGATTGTTTGAAACCTGCCACGTCTGTCAAGGCTTTTTTGGATATATTTGTGTATCATACCATCCTAACTCAAAAAAGATTTAGTGATCAAATCAAGTCATCAAATCAAGGCTTCTGGGACAATTACGAGATGTTCTGAACAATTCTCGATGTAAATCGGCTTTGTTATCAAGAGTTGTGTTAAATTCAGTTGGGTCTTTATTACTACCCAATTGTAACTCATCTATCAATATCCAGTCATTTTACCAATTCACATCTTATGAATCGGTCGAACAATTAAAAGGAGCGATTGTGAAAATATTTCACAATAAAATTTCCCAAGTAATGTAGCAGTATTTTACCTGGAATTTTGGCAGACAAAGTTCAATCAGTCCACTGACAACACCTCGTCTCCAGCTGTCATACTCGTTCTCCAAGTTTTCTTCTATGTCTTTGAAACTGAAGTCATCGTTCGGTACCAGAATGATCATAACATATTTTCCATTCCTGTAATTTAAATATTATACTTCTAATATACAAAACTAAAGTACCCAAGTATTGCTAGGATATTCGGCACCAATAACAATCGCTAGCAATCACGTTTGTACACTTTTTTATTATAAGGTTTCACACCGACACTGCTATTGATACGAGCTAATATGTGTGGCAGGACCGGCTATACATTGCCCACTAATATTTATTAGACCGTAGGAGAGTGGATGGAATACATATCCTACGTATACGACTTCAACGTGGTGAGGTCCAGCTACCCTCACACTCGAAAATATTGAATTTCCAATATTAGATGATCTAGTACAGGGTTTATCAAACTCAATATTAATAGGTACCCTTCAGACAATTCATAGATCTTGTGTAACCCCAAAATGCCGTACGTATTGTGATAAAAAGCGTCATGTGAACTGTAAATGTTAATTCGATAGTTACTGTAGTTGTAGTCAAAGCCTTTACTGGGGTGAAAATGTGACTTCCTAAGGAGTTGTGGAACTAAGGTCTTCAAATATGAACATCACGTTGTAATATTTAAAGGCAGATTAGAAGTTATAGGAGAATATTTCTATACTTAATATGATGCACCCCTTGAAAAGTTGAAATGTACGCCAGGGGGTACATTTACCCCAGTCTGGGAACCCCTAATCCAGTATATCAAATGTCTCGAAAACAACAAAAGCTGTTCTACACTTCGCCAAATTTTGACGAATGTCTGGCTAACGGTATAACACATAAAACTTACGCGTATGGAATTTCTATGACATTTGGTTGTTCAGCTCTTGTGCAAATCTGTCCGAATGCAGACAAGTCTCCCGATGAACTCTGACATTTCTTCATATAACGAAGTCGAACTTCTTGGTGCATGGTGGGAACCTGTTTTATGATATGAGTAATTTTATTTATGAAAACTGGGTTTTCACTCTAAGTTTTTTTCTTGTGATCTATGACGAATTTGAAACAACTTTTGTATGCTTAATTCACTTACACAAATCAAACCCCGATTATTGTAAAATAGCTTGAATGCAATACATCAAATCAAAGCCACCATTTTGAACCCAATTTCATTCATAGCACAAGCATGCCATCCAGTTAGCGTTCATCTTTGTATTGTAAGTGTATTTCCTTTGGCGAACATACACAAAAACATTTTATCTCTGTTTCGGGGTAATTGGGCTAGGCATCAACGGGTGGTTGTGGACCGTCCAGAAATTTGTTTAGGTTGATGGCAAGGACAAAATAAAATAATAAGATTATTACCTTTACACGATTTCCTGATAACGTCGTAAAATTGTCCAAAATGGTCGCCGAAGTATGGAATGGGTATCTCCAAGAACCGGAGAAATAAATCGCGTTCGTCAATACTGCTCTCGTTGTGACGGAAACATCATTTGGAGATAAAAGCTGTTTTATTACACCACGCGTCTTGTTGTGTACCCATTGGTTGATGGTCTTCAACGATTTCTGAAAAATATGCATGGACATTTTGTATCGGTTTTTCGCTATTAAATTTTCTCGAATATTTTCGCATCTGTGTCGGAGAATACTGACAAAGTTGGTCGAAGCGCTCGATGCATAGATGGTCGTATGTCTATTCGGTTACCTCAAGAAAATATTTCGATTTTGATTCGTTTAAATATCTAATCGTTTTCGTCAATTGTAATTTCGATTATTACTTATCGATTTCTATAAGAAATCCCAGTTTAGATTTTGAATTCCGAAACCCTTTTATTATGTTTTATTTGATAACTAAAAGATTCGAATTATTAAAAGTGGAATTTTTTTTCTGAAGAAAAATAATTACAAATTTAGACTTAAAGACAAAGGTTGATGCATCGGTAAATGTAAGCCATCACGAGGGGTGGGACTGCGCGAGAGTTGATTGTTGTTTAAACTTTAAAGTAACGATTCCAACATCACTTGTACTTTGTATCAAAGTTGGTATAGTCGCGTGAATAATTACTATCAAGTTCTTACCTCAGGACTGAATTTAAAATTCAATCCCAGTATATCAGCTTGGTGATATTCCAACGCGTTATTCATGAATTCACTCTTCAATTTTTCCGATTTCTCATAAAATAAAGCATTGGCCAACATTACATCTGCTTTCCCTTTTTCTCTGAGACCAATGGGCGAGGAGAAAGCCTGTTATATATTGGGATTATTGGTAAAGTATTTAGAAATTTGTTTCAAAATTTTCAATCAGGGAGAAATATATCGTTGCATGTAGCAATGTCCACCATTTTTGCAGGATACATACTTACTACAATTACATATAAAATCATTTTATTACGATTAAATATTTTAATATAGTTAGGAAAAAAATACCTGATAGTTTATATACTTGAACAATCTTCCAGTATCATCACCAAATCTGCAAGTCTGTTCTATTTCTCGCCTAAAATTGAACAAGGTGGAAGGCTTATACAGCGCTATCACGTTATGTTTTAGGTGGTTACTTTATGTTTTGTCTGCTCTACATAATTTTGGAGTAGAAAGCAATAATCTAGAGTGGCATTGGAAATTGTCAGCATTGAAATTCTGTGACTTTGATCATATGGATACTTGAAATAAAATTGTCATTGTACAGAAATACTTTTGAATCAAAGGAATATATAAATATTTTGCCTTATCTCTGTACTGGACAATCAAAACTACTTGCCTTGTTTCACCTCCCGCTCCAAGCCATAACATCCCCATCACACTGCTGATGCTCAGTGGTGACATGACAATATTGACGTCGCTGTTCAACTGCGTCATTTCCGTCATCAATCTACGCGAAAAATCTGATATTGCTTCTACCAAAACAGGATATCTCAGGGGGTTGTCGGTTTGATGTTCCTGAAAAATAATGTCCGTTTTTAATTCACTTGTATGAGATGCAGCCTATATCCTGAGATGAGGTCCATGGTTTATTGCATTAGTTTATAATCGTGCACGTTAAAAAGCGATGTAAATCTACATACATATATCGGATAAGTCTGCCGAAGTAATTAGTTTTATGATGCATTTTTATCGACTTTCCACTTGAAGTATATCACTGCTATAAGTTACAAAATGATCCAATTTGTTGTAAATGTTGTTTAGTGAAGCAAATCAAGATCCCGTGTTCCAGGTTTGGGTAGATGTTAAATTAAGGCAAATGGTTAGAGTGAGCTGCTGTGAAGGTCAGGCCCATATTAGAATAGCTTATTTTGAACAATAGGCTTCCTCGTTGACGACGTCGACCTATTCAGGCCACCCATTAAAATATTTGTCGTCTCGTTGGCATGTTGTAACTTTTTTGTGTGTTCACATATTCCCAAACTACTACACATCGACCTTTAGTTTTACATGATTTTCTATGATTCGTCATTTACAGGATCAGTTGCTTCCGAATAATTTTAGTTTTGATCTCGAGATCATACCGACTTAGGTTGGATTACAAGATGTTTCAATTGTGTGTAAACTGGTAAACAGGATGGGATTAGTTCGATCCAACATTCCTTTGTATGGTGTAGTAAATGTCACTCAGGTATTGACAAATTCTCTAAAAATACATACCACTTGAAATTCCTGTTTGTATTCAAAAGTGACATATTCATTTTTGATTCAGTCGTTCTAAGAATGCCGACTTTCCTGATAAATCAGATGACTGACTTGGTGACATTTTCATTTCTCTCTCTCACATGGCCTAATTTCGATTTAATCGCTAAGGCAGTATCGAGTATAAAAGTTGAAAAATTTGATTGAAATGGAAACCATATTAACTTGACTATCGGTCGTAGTAAAAATGTTTGACACCTAATATCCTGAACCCTGTCAATATGTCGAAAACAATTTCACATGTAACTTCGGAAGCTGGTAAAGCCGCGCCCAAATTTGCCAGTTAGTTTTCACTATATACGGAATTGAATTGTTACGCTCTATTCCTACAATTAGGTTCGATTGAATGCAATTCATCCAATAAAAGTGATAATACAGGGTTAGAAAGTACAGGTATTCAATTCATGTTTGTTGCCACCTACCTAAGTGCAAGTCATGTTGTATCAAATGTATCTCAATACACAATTAGCATTTCATTGCTGTTGTACAATGTGTAATATGCATCGCTTGACAATTAAGTACTGGTACGTATTTGTTTTCTTGCATGTGTGAAGTCGTTTTAACTTTGTTGCCACCTTTTCTTCAAAACTATGTTAGTGAGACAAATCGAAGATTTATGTTTCCAAGACATGGTGGCGATAAGAGTGTTTGACCGAACCAGTAAAGTCGGATTTTAGAGCAGTTTTTGAAACTCGAAACCCCCTATTTTCGAAACCCCTTTTCCTAACACCCGGTGCAATATGAAGCCATATTACTTGGTCACTTCTAAATTTCCACCGGGCATTCAAAAATTTGTGTACAAATAGTAATTTTAAAGTTGTGGTGGCATAAATCGCGCTGGTGCTGAGACTGCACGTAAAAGTATTAGTGTATGCTCGTTTTTTTTCTTTAAATAAAAATTGAGGTAGTAAACGCATCATTTATAAATAAATTGAAAGTCACATTGCGAAAACCCCAAAACCGGGATTGATGGCTTAAAAAGAATAGACCCGAATCGAACACCCGAGTAGCAATATGTCAAAATAGTATGATGATGTTCTTTTCTATCTCAGTATATTATACACAATGGGCTGGGCATTTCGAATCGAATAGTAAAGTATTCGAATCGGTTTAGAGCAAAATTTTGAATCGCCGCCATCTTGTTTTTTTTCTTTTCGTCGATGGTCGAGGTTTTGTTTGTACATCGTGTGAGTGTTGTGATCGAAAGTGAGAAAGGAAAAAAATGAAAAATACTTCTTTGCCTTAATCAGTATTGCCGTACTGAAAATACACATTTTACATACGGAATACGGTGAAGAACTGCAGAATGAAGTAAGACGCGATAAACCAGTTCAGGGACACTCTTTAATTTAACAGATCTTTAAGTCGTGCGGCAATTCGCGGTCGCGCTTCAAATTTGGCTCGAAATATTTCAAGTCGCGCTGCATTGAATGAACTGGAGGCCGAACTAACTTTTTCTCCCGTTTCGCAAGCCCAATAATTTCAGTTACATTTAAAATAGTTGTAATAGCTTATCATTACGTAGTTTGTTGACTCGTTGATTTACTGTTTGTTCTCACTAATTATGTGTTGATGTGAATTCCTCAATCGAAGCAATTAGCAAGAGCATGTTTAGCAATCCACTAATACCGTTAATTAGTGTTAATTTATACGATTTTTTTTTTTGCATTCAGATCTAAATTTAGTGGCAAAAAATTTACTTAATTATTGTGGATATACTTCTACAAAAATGATGGATTTAAATTGAAATTCGTGGGTCTTTAAATAATATATGAATGAAGCTAACAATCGATTCACTGTCTGATAGTTTATAGTGTTCCATAGACCTTTTGTACAAAGCAAAAGAGAGTGATACAAAAATGCTAGGTTCGAGAAATAAACATCTGCCGCGGTCTATTATAAAAAAACTAGTAATTATCCAGGTCGGGTTTGCGCGAGAAACGATTTAAAAATATAAATTTCCGAGGCAATCTGCTTACTAACCCTAACTGGATATCTTATTTCGAGTGTTGGCGTGGGATTTATACAAAAGATCCGATTCCATATTAAATTGTACGTACTTAATAAGCGCACTTCAACTGAATCGATATTTAGGTTAGTTTTACCAATTTTTTTTATATAACGCGATTATTATAATTGCCGATGTTAGCGGCACTTTTTATTTGAGAATTTGCAAAATTCTTGAGACTACTTAGTTGTTGTTTGTTTGTCACTAATTACGCGTCGCTAACATTGTAGTTACGCCTTCTCGCAAAAATTTTAGGATTAAACGGTTTGTTGTCATTTGTGGAAGACGTTTTACGTGGCAGCGCAATTTTGCTAAACTACCAATTTATATGAATATTGGAGTCAATTTTATTTTAAAACACAGTTCCTATGCACCTTGACTGAAATGCTCCTAATCATTTGCAACAGATGTGAGGATACATTGGGTTATATCAGAATTTTATCAAACCTTTTAGTAAAAAGGAAGCATCATAAAACCGGTCTTGACAAGTAAGAGAGTAAATGTTCTAACACTGACAATTTTCGAATTCGCACAACTCGGTGTTACACTCTGCGATACAATAAGCGTATGTTACTGACCGAAGGCTAATTGTGTTAGTTGGAATACCGTGGATATATAATTTTTGCGTGGATATATAATTTTTTTCCTTCACACTATTAGAGTGTTTCTGCGGCATAGAAAGCATAGACAATCGCTCTTTAGCAACGCCCTTTTCCGCCGATTGTGCATCCGGTATCTTGAACAAATAAAAGCTATCATTCACCATCTGGAATGATAAGCAGACGTCGTCGTCCCATGCCAGGATATATTCAAATTTCTCTCTTTTCGAAAGCATCACTCCTTTTGATCTCTTACCAAACACCACTACCTTTGAAGATTTACAAACCCTCTTTCACTAACTCGGAGAATTAAATAAATTAGACACTTAAATTCGGTTTCAAATGATGATTCATATTCAAAGATTTCGCCTCACACACTATACACAGTTTCGATGACATAATTTTTCGGCGCCAATTTTTTTGCCATTTTTCGTGTTCCGCAATTTTTTTTATTATATATTTCAAGAGGGTCCTTTCGTAATCTGCGAACGCGGTATTTTACTCGAAGCTAATGGGTGGTCGGAAATGTGAGAATGAAAATTTCCGCGAAAATGATATTTGTGAATGAGGTTCGTAGGCAACCATTATCTATTATCAAAATTGCAGGAGAAAATAATCCAAATCTGTTTCTCTATGATAATCAAGTTTATAGCATTATAGGAATATTAAACATTATTGAATTACAGTTCCTATGATTTCATTTTAATTATTGCAAACCAACATAAGGGCGAATGATGTCTTTGCCTTATCAGATCAGTCGTTTCACTTCATATTGGGGAATATTGCCATACTTTGTGTAAAACGCGCACAATTTGTAAGTAATAAGTACTCCGTTTACTAGTGGTTCCCAACCACCGGTCTATGTGATATCGGGAAAATAGCAGTGAAATGTTTTCATTAAATTGAATTGTCTTCTTTTGAATTGCACACTTCGTCGTAATCACATTAGTTTTATTATGTTTCCTATTTTTGACATTTTGGGTTGATTTTGAGGGTTGACCGGTCCGCAGAATTAGTTTTGAAATTTAACGCAGACTAAAAAAGGTTGACAACTCTGCTATTTTTAATGTGGCTGTGTAGGTGGACTTTACTAACACATTGACAAAACTTTACTTTACAGTTGAGCATTTATTGCCATAACAAAGCCCAGTACCAACTACTGAGTATGGCAATTCACTTAGATTCGTACTTTTGACTTTTCTGCTGAAAAAATCTAGACATCGATAATAGCCTACACGAGGCAAAAGATTATCTGGTCAGCTCTTTCCAAACTCAATCATACAACGCGCGAGCAGCTCAGCAAACTTGTTACACAGTTACACATAAAAATTCACTATTTTTCTCATTCAAAGACAATTTCGCGCTTTTTTTTATGTCTATAAATAAAACGATTCCGATACATAAAATTGACGTCTTCTGGATATGTTGTAACAGGGATATGCTTTACAAAAGTATATTCTGCTGTAAATCGTGCACTAATCATTTTAACATATTAAAGTTTTGTGATCAAAAAAAGATATTGTGCAAACGAAAACTCGGTCCTCTTTTCCCGGCAACTATACGCCATCGTATTTATTTAGGCAGTATTGCATTCTACGTGTTTATAACAATAGACGTCAAAATAAGAATGTGGCATTTGTGGTCTTTATTTCCCGACATTGAAAATGTCGTTATAAAAATAAATCGATTGGTTTATTGTCTTTACAATCAATAAAATTCAAATTAATCTAAACTCACCTGAATCTTGGGTCTTGCGAGAGCCTCTTCTTCAATGAAAACAATACAGATGACAGCCAATAACTTCCACATTTTGATTTAGGCGATTTTTTATATTTTTGTTTGAATTTGTAATTTTTTTTTTTATATCTGAATTTAATAAAAGTTTGTTAGCTTTATTATCGACAATTACAACTTTTTAGGGCCAAAAGCTGATTCATAAACGAAGCCTCTGGTACATCTCGTAACGCTACTCTTTGCCAACGTTAACAGTAAAAGTTAATAGATACAGCACTAGTCAAGTGCTTGGTTTCGCCACCACGAACTGCTCCAAATTTTTCAAACCTAAAAAAGATGCAACTAAGAATGTAGATTTATTGTCTTATTTTCAATCTACAAAAATGATTCAATAGGAATTTTAAATTACAACTCAATCAATATAGCATTATATTTCCTATTTCTATTGTATATATCATTATATCCAAATAATAAAAAACTTAAACCATAGTAAAAATAATTTCGTTCAATTTTTAAGGTCAATTAGTAAATCTAACCTTGAAATAGGTTATCGAAAGGCGCACACTTCGACGCGCGACCGTTATTTATGCACTTCCTTCCAACTGTGGTAACCTGCTATTAAGATTTTTAGTAATTTTTTGAAGAGGTAATTTGTGCTTAACAAACTTCTAACCGCCCTGTTATTACGCTTCGTGGTATTTGCTAATCGCTTGCTAGCAAAATGGCGGAAAATGATCAACGAAAGGGAATTTCTCCAATATTATTAGATGCGTGTATATATGTATGCTATGCTTATGATCTATCGAGGCTTGGTAGTGGTATATTTCGCTTGTATTCATTTTTATGATCATTTGACTTTTCGACTTTTGTTTGCTTCGAAATGACTGCCAACTGCTATATACTACGAACGTCGCATTATTAAATACTAGTAATTTTCGTTTATTACGATTGCTTTTTTCACTGCGCTTTCTATTAAATACGGTGACTAGAAATGAATTTCCATGGCAATACGAAATGTACTAAATTTTATACGGTATGCCAAACTGTAGAAAGAGCCATAGAGCCGTTCGTGATAACAACGAAATATCAGGGGAAAACAGATGAAGGATCTCAGCCTATGAAGCCTATGCAAATTTGACGAAGGTTGTATTATGCTCATTTAAACAAAACACACACACGAAGCATTTTCGAATTAGCACTCACTTCTTCATTTACGCTAAATAAATCACAGGTCGCCTTAATCCCGTTCGGATACTTGTTTGAAGCATACAGGCCTTCTAAAATGGTCACGGGAAAGTTGGGTCAACATGTGAATAATTTTTCCGAACAAAGCTTTCTCAAACGGTGAATAACCAAATTCAAATTGATAGGTTAAGCCATTTTGAACGACGCCAAACTGTATGCCTCACAAAAATGCTGTCGTAGAATCAAGTTTTGAGCGAAATAATTGAGAAAAAAATAATATGAGAAAAAAATAAAAAAAATTTCAACCGATTCTGATGTAACATTATTCAGATTCAACATAGCGCTATTATTGATTGCTGAAGTATTCTTGAAATATATTTACTGACCGTCTTAGTTTAATTTATTGTCAAACTGCAAATCTTTAAATTCACTACAAATTTGCAGCAAAAATCGACGTCAAGCCGTGTGATATTTGCGTCAAATTCTGACAACTCTTTCGGTAACAAAGTAGTTTTTTAACGTATTGACGCATTGTTGCCGCTTTGTTGTTTCGTGCCTTGCTTCGAGGTGTTGTTTAACATATAATTAAACACCTTAGTTCAACAACTTTCAAGCGGATTGATAGTCAAACGTGTTGCGATAAGTAGTGTGTAAATTTAATGATTTAAATGTTTTGAATAATGAATGTTTGATATTTTAGACGTTTTATGTTTGTAATTTAAGTCGCAATACATTGCAATTTGCACTATGACGTGGTTTCTAGCATCGACGGCATTCCGCTTGATATAGATCAGGGGTGGCCAACGTTTTTTCGACCGCGATCGACTAAAATTTTGAAACTAGCTCGCGATCGACTGTTCGGTAATAATAATACACAAAAACGAAAGAATGCTGAGTATGCAAATAACTACACAGACGCATACAAAAATTCCACTGCTGCCAATATTCTCGGTTCCGTGGGCGCATCTCTTTAATGTATTTGTTTATGTTTCACATAACATCAAACGCGATCGACTACCCGGGTCACGCTCGATCGCGATCGACGTGTTGACCACCCCTGATATAGATTGTAGAGAGTAATATTTCCAAATTTATGTTTATGCACTATACAATAGTGACTATTGGACACGAAATGTCTACATGGATCGTGTTGTTATTATGTTCTTGTTTTGGCTGATCTCGTTAATTTTTTCATCTTCTTGTTATTGTGAAAACAAACGCTACTGGATCACTTCTGAACCAATTGCCTAGAAAATTTCAGTGATTCAAGAATGCATTTTCTCTAGAAGGCTATTACTTTTATTTAGGTCAAATATGTTTGTAGTCTCTATGGGATACGTTTTTTGTCTGCAATGACGTCATCAAAATTAAAAGTTGCGTAACCTGTGACAGTTACGCATTCGGGCGAAGTTGTGAAGACTGCGTTACCGATAGTCTACTGTGACAGATTGCATGTCCGTACTATTTGGTTTTCTATATATTTGAGCATCGCTCTCTTGTCTATTATACGGAAATGAATGTTTTCGAAAATACCCTTTTTTTCAATGTAATAAAAATTTACCAACACTGTCCTAGGTTCCAAGGAAGTAGTCGGGAATTGAATGATAAGCCGAAATGCTTATAATTAATTTGTATCTTGATATTTTGACTGTATTATTTTCGTGCTAATTCAATTTTTAAATGTTATATTGGCTGCGTTATATGTCAAAAAGGAGATGAAGGCGAATAAGAATTTCTCCATTAGTACTGCGGTGGAAAATGAAAATTGTGTGGAACAGACATGCGGTACATCGGCGTAGACTGAGAGACTTAGAATTCTTTACTTTTTCGCGGTTGAAGTATGTTTGTTTGGAATGTGCCATGACGTGGCTCTGTTAGTGCTGCAAACTAGTGCGTTTCCAGATTTGCACGTACATTTTGAATCCAATCCAACAATTAAATTCGTTCAGAGCCGGTGAAACGCTTGCGAGACATTTTAAAAATTAACCCTGCTAAAACGCTTAAAAACAGTGAAAAACCGTCAAAAAACACCAAGAACCCTGCTATAACGCTTAAAAACAGTGAAAAACCGTCAAAAAACACCAATATTCGATATTCGAATTTTTTGTTTACAAAAAGGTTGGCTTGTTGATAGTTGTAAAATGCTTGTCTAAAGAAGTCGAACCTCGGTCAGACGAAACGTTACAGAAATATATTTGTGTTCGTGTGCAGCAAGACTCTTAAATCACTTAGGATTGTTATCTCTACTCTTGTTACAGCATCCTTGCATTATATGCATACGGATCCACCGACACAAAAGCATAGGAGAAGGATAAGTAGTTAATCTCGCAGAAACTAAATAATCAGCGCAAGTTAAAATTTTGACTTGGCTAATTTTTGTAACTGTTCAAAAAAGCAATAACTGCATTACTCTTGAATTGAATAAAAAGGTTGGCGTTCGCAAATCCCCAAGCTCACTAAAATAGGAGTAGTAGATTCGGTAAAATTTCTATCCGCTTTTCCTATGACTGACTATTTGTTTTATATGACTTACTATATTAACACAGAGTAATAAATTAACTATTTTTTTTCTGTAATTTGCGACAGCAAGGTTATTTTAAACACTGCTATCTGGTCATAAGGGTATCTTCAAAAACCATTTATATATATCATAAAACCTTCTATAAAAATGTGACGCAATTCTTGACCTAAACTATAATATTACCTCCCACATATTCGAAACAATTATTTGATTACGGAAATTTTGACTTTCGTAAATCATTTTCCGCTTCAGTTTATAATTTCTACTCGAGCACGTTCCCTATTTGTTGATAAACCAAATCCAGGTAGTTCAAAAGTAAATTGCGAACGGTCCATTAAAATTATCAGTGCCATATGTATTAGTGGCAGCTTCTCATTGAAATGTTGGAATAAAATTTAAAAAAAATTCCAGTAAAAGTAATTTAGACTAGATATAATAGGTGGTTATGCTTTAGGTATTATTATTGTATTTCTGGTAGCTCCAAACATAATTCAAAATGCCAGTGTTCTTTTACACGTTTTTTTGTTGGTGGTTGAGGTTTGTTTGTCTGGAACATGACGTGGCTCTGTGTCACAAAATTTAAACTAGTGCTTCACTTTACTAGTTACAGGTGTATTTTTTGTCAAAATTTAAATTTTAAATTTTTGTCAAATTTTACAGAAAATCCAAGTGAAGGTAATTTAGACTAGATATAATGTGATCCAGATCTTTTTGTGCTCGTCTGACACACCACTGCAAAAGCTGTGTTAAACAGTTGTGTGAGATGCCAGAGTACTTCAACATATTTTCGAATAGTCTTCTTTTTCGCGGTAAATTGTTGTTTGTTTGAAAAGTTCGTGATCTGAATTGCTTAGCCTCAGATATGGAAGTTCGCGAGTGTCTTCTATTTTTAAAAATTACGCATCTTTATCCATCTTTGCTAATTTTAGCCTTTTTTCTGAATTTTTTTTCATAGCTTTGTTGTTTTTTGTAATATCACAAACGAAAATTGGATAACCTTTGACAACATTTTGAGGAATTTCTGAAGTTAGCGAATTAAATGCCGTAAATGTGACTCATTTTATTACAAACTTATTGCTCTTTTATGTTGTACACGGGCTAATTAAAGTAAGAGGATCAGAGGAAGTGTCAATGAATTAGTACTTTACAATAGAAATACGCTCAATAGTTGAGCACGTACACAAACCGGAACTGCATTTTCATATTAATTTAATAAAAAAAACATCTGGAAGTTTTGAACAATGAATTACATATTTACACATTTCCTCAGATTTTGTGGTGACTATATTGAAGTTTTGTATATTACTTTAAATTCCTGATTTGAAAACAACACAATCTAAAAATCTGTGCAACAGACTCGTGTTTTACAATGTTTTAAAATTGCAATAATCATGTATTCCTAGCGCAAAAATTTATT